TTTGGCTTCAGGGAATTTTCCAGCAATGGGTAAAGAATCTAAGGAACGGAAGCGGATGCCAAGGGCTATGAGTGTTCCTGGAATGATCTCAGAACTTGACGATACTCTCAGTGTTTCTTCTGATAATCCATCAGCTGCTTCCAGTGATCGGATTATCATTGTTGCAAATCAGCTTCCTTTGAAAGGAAAGCGAAGAGAGGACAACAGAGGATGGAATTTCAGTTGGAATGAGGATTCATTGCTTTTACAACTAAAGGACGGTTTTCCAGAAGATATGGAGGTTCTTTATGTTGGGTCACTGCGGGTTGATGTTGATCCTGCTGAGCAGGATGATGTATCACAGTATTTGTTAGAGAAATTCAACTGTGTTCCTACTTTTCTGCCCCCTAACGTACTGGACAAATTTTATGATGGATTTTGCAAGAGGCAGTTATGGCCACTGTTTCATTACATGTTACCACTTTCAACTGATAAAAGCCAGCGCTTTGACCGCTCTGATTGGGAAGCCTATGTGTTGGCAAACAAACTTTTCTTTCAGAAGGTAGTTGAAATAATTAGCCCAGAGGATGATTATATTTGGATTCATGATTATCATTTGATGGTTCTGCCAACCTTTATAAGAAGGCGTTTTAACAGGGTCAAAATGGGATTTTTCCTTCATAGTCCCTTTCCATCGTCAGAGATATATAGGACTCTTCCTGTGAGGGAAGAGATACTAAAAGCTTTGCTTAACTCTGATATTATTGGTTTTCACACCTTTGATTATGCTCGTCATTTCCTTTCCTGTTGTAGTCGTATGTTGGGCCTGGAGTATCAGTCAAAGAGGGGCTACTTAGGGTTGGAATATTATGGAAGGACTATCAGTATAAAGATTATGCCAGTTGGAGTTCACATGGGTCGAATTGAATCAGTTATGAAAATGACAGATGAGGAGAGCAAGTTTGGGGAGCTCAAACAAGCATATGAAGGTAAAACAGTGCTGCTTGGCCTTGATGATTTGGACATTTTTAAAGGAATTAATTTGAAGATTTTGGCTATGGAGCAGATGCTCAGACAACATCCTAAATGGCAAGGAAGAGCTGTGCTGATACAGATTGTAAATCCACCTAGGGGCAGAGGGATACATCTAGATGAAATCCGAGATGAGATACAAGAATGCTGCAGCAGGATCAACAGAGTATTTGGGCGGCCTGGTTATCAACCAATTGTTTTTATCGATAGATCAGTTCCAATTACTGAAAAAGTTGCATACTACAGGATTGCTGAGTGTGTGGTTGTTACAGCTGTAAGGGACGGAATGAACCTAACTCCTTATGAATATATTGCTTGTAGACAGGGAATATCTGATTCTGAATCGTGTTCTGATGTTAGTGGATTGAAGAAGAGTATGCTTGTAATATCAGAATTTATTGGGTGTTCTCCTTCACTTAGTGGGGCTATCCGTGTCAACCCCTGGAACGTTGAAACAACTGCAGAAGCCATGAATGAGGCCATCTCAATGAATGATGAAGAGAAACAGCTGCGGCATGAAAAACATTATCGGTATGTTAGCACTCATGATGTGGCTTATTGGTCACGCAGTTTCCTGCAAGATATGGAGAGGGCTTGTGCAGACCTTCTAAGGAAAAGATGTTGGGGAATAGGGCTTAGTTTTGGATTCAGAGTTGTGGCACTTGATCCCAACTTTAGAAAGCTCTCAATCGATGCCATGGTCTCAGCTTACAAAAGGGCAAGGAGCAGGGCCATTTTGTTGGATTATGATGGTACTGTAATGCCCCAGAACTCCATTAATAAGAGTCCTACTCAGGAGGTCGTCTCCACCTTGAACACACTATGTGCAGACTCCAAAAATGTAGTTTTCATTGTTAGTGGAAGGGGGAGGGATAGCTTAAGCAGGTGGTTTACTCCCTGTGAAAAGCTTGGTATTGCAGCTGAGCACGGGTACTTCTTGAGGTGTGTTACCTTTCTCCTTATCTCTGTGTGCGTGTGTGTGCATGCTTACATGTGCTTTGTAGATAGGTAGTCATGTATTATGCATTAGGAAGCTGGGATATGCCGTGTCATTTATTGTGTAGCTATATTTTGCATTGCAATAATTTTCGTTAGATTACCTATTGCATGAACATCATATGAAACATGCGTTGATTTAGACTGATAATGAGGTAAGTCCTTTAGTCTGTTGAATTTATGACGCAATTTTGTGCCTTGATCTCCGTTTTGCAGCCTTACCCTTGCTCTCACTTAAATTAACTAGAAAAATTGAAATTTTTGTAAATAATGTTTTGTTATGGATTTGATTAGGCGAAAATTTCATGTTAAGTAACCGGACAGCTGTGCACATTCCTAGAATTTGGACTTTCTTCCATTCCTCTTTGTTTGCTATACTATCAGTTGCTCATATTTATAAAATTTGATCTTGTTTTCAGATGGTCTCATAGTGAAGAATGGGAAATTTGTGGTAAGAGCTCCGAATTTGCATGGATGCAGATTGCTGAACCTGTAATGAGACTATATACAGAGTCAACTGATGGTTCTAGCATTGAAAAAAAGGAAAGTGCATTAGTCTGGCAATATAGGGATGCAGACCTTGGTTTTGGATCTTCTCAGGCTAAGGAAATGTTAGATCACCTCGAGGGTGTTTTGGCCAATGAGCCTGTTGCTGTGAAGAGTGGTCAGTTCATTGTTGAAGTAAAACCCCAGGTAAATATGCTTAGAATTACAGTCAACTGATGTCCAAGAAAAGCTTTAATATTTCAATCTATTAAGAAATTTCTATTTTATTATTTTATCTAGGATTTTTGAGTTTTCAAATTTTATTTTATTATTATTAGGATATGATATACATATAGCAGACAGTGTGTCAGCTATAATAAAACATCCACCTTTAGCTCTACGTTTGTTTTCTTGTGAAGGAATATGCCTATAACTCGTTGCCTAATAGGCAGAGGCGTTGTGTGAGCAGTGTAGAGATCAATTACACTTGTTGAGGATTTTTTATTTTAGGAGTGTTATTCATGCTACTTCTGCCATTAAAGGGTTTTTGAATTGAGGGACTTCATTCTGTTACCAGAATTTCCTTTTTTGTTGTTTTGTTATTAAGGATGCCTTGTCCAGACAATCAGAGTTTTAGACTGATAATGCCATTTATATTTATATTTGTAATTTGTGCATGTGTCTATTAATGCATTGATGGGACAAGCTAGTGTGATTGGCTATATTAAATCCATTCAAATTGATGCTTTTTTTTTTTTTTGGGGGGGGAGGGGGGGATGTGTGGGGGATGCAACCAGAGTTTGTAAATGTGTCTTGTCAAACCATAGGGCGGAATTAATTTTTTGTTATATTCTCTATGGTTCTCCTACACACTTACGATTGATAATAGCTTTCAGTTTCAGTTCACTGGATTCACTAACCTTTCCTATTGTATCCCATATGAGATTCCGAATAATTAGCAGAGCTTTGAAACTTCTATTCTGACATTCTTCCTATGTTCTGGCCTGGAGTAATTTGGCAGTTAAAGTTTTCATCTTTCAATTGAAATTTTATTGTCAGTATCAATGGAATTGCTGAATAGTTGTTCTGCATTATATAGGGAAGGACTCATTCTTCAGTAATTATTTTTTCTGGGTCCATTTTGCAGGATGTGAGCAAAGGATTAGTTGCAGAAAAGATCTTTTCAACAATGGCTGAGAGAGGCAGACAGGCTGACTTTGTATTGTGTGTTGGTGATGACAGATCAGACGAGGACATGTTTGAAATGATCAGTGGTGCAATGTCTCGAAATATTCTTGCTGCCAACTGTTCAGTATATGCTTGCACAGTCGAACAAAAACCCAGCAAAGCAAAGTATTATGTGGATGATACTACTGAAGTAATAAGCATGCTAGAATCTTTGGCTGAAGAGTCAGAGGATTCAGATTCAAGCCCTTGAAAAAAAGGAAAAAGCATCTTCCAGATATTTTCTGGATTTAGATGTTGTTGATGACATGATGATTCTTTTTCCCTCCGTGGAATGTAATATTCTTCCTCATGAAAGCATCTTCCAACTTGTGGGGCGGTGGCACAGTATGGTGGTTTCTTAGGAATTTCCTCATTTTCTTCTCTTTTTTCTTCCAGCAATGATATTACACAGTTTTGGGAGAAGTCCTCCGGTATTATATTCGTGTATCTTCATTGATGACCTTAGTTCCGAAGAAGAAGAAGGATATTGATTCGTTATTTCTTTCTTTCTTTTTCCTTTTTCCTTTTTTGAAATATATATATTCTGTAACGAAGGAAGAAGAAATTTGTAGACTCTTGTCTTGCAACAGTTTTCAAATTTGTTTTTGGAGGACGGTACTGAAGTGTATAGGTACATTAATCCTTTCCATGATAGGGCCTTTTTCTTGTGTGTGTAAATTTTGTCCACATTTTAAAATCCTTTCATTTGTACGAAAATATGGATTCAATTTTCTGTGCTTCTGTATACTAAACAAATAATACGGTGAAATGTTATTTTAATACAAAATATTTGGAATAGGAGAGGAATACGAATAAAATGGTAAGCTCTCTAACAAGTTAGAACTTCATTTTTATTGATTGTTAATTGCTAGAAAAAGAAAGATTTTTTGCTGATAAAACTTCACTTCTATTGACAGAAAGTCCAGATTTATGTTAATTTGTGTGACGCCATCTTTTGTTCATCCAAGAACAGACTAAGCCAGTGTCTTTAAAAATAATGCTAAATTATACAAGACTTTCATGAATTTTGAACCACGTATAAATAATCTGTTTAAATTTTAAAACTTAATGATAAAAAGGGAGTCCCTAAACTTTCAAGTTTAAACAGATAATCTCAAATGATTCATTTTATACCCTTAAATTTTATTTTCGTATGTATATTATCTTTTTGACGACCCCACCTAGTGAGATAAGGCTTATTGTTTGTTGTATGTATATTATCTTTTTGAACTTTGGATTGTATGCATATAAATTTATTAAACTTCTAAAGATGAGGGAGGTTATTTATCTATCCAGCTAATCTGCTATTGTGTCTGGAGCAGATATTTTTCTGACATTCTTTTGGATCCGGACTATCTAATACATACAACGAACCATATATATTCCCGGCAACGAGCCTTATCCTTCACTCACTCCGCTTCCAATCTGGCTCTAGCATGGCTTCGACAACTCTCCAGTTCTTGTCATCCCCTTCCCCTATTCATCATCCAACCCATTTCAATCCAAATAAACGTTCACAATTTCTCATTCTAAACCAACCCAGAAAGCAACTTCCCATCAAATGCTCTGCTTCAGACTTCCCAGCCCCAGATCCCAACTCCAGCACACTGAACGACCCAGAGACATTCCCAATTGAGAAGAGAAGAAGATCTGAAATCCTCAGAGAAAGAAGAAGGCAAAGTTCAGAGCTTTCAAAGGCAGAGCCACCGAGCTTTGAAATTGGATGGAAGAGAACAAAAGAGATAAAACTGGAGAAACCAATAGGGTATGTGATTGCAGATTTCTTGGAGAAGCTTGAGGGTCTAATGGGGAAGGAGTTTGGGTCCACAGAGCTCCTGGCAAAAGCAGGGGAGATAGTTGCAGAGAGAGCAAGAGAGGAAGCGGAGGTTCTGAGAGATGAAGGGAAGGTGGAAGAGAGAATGGTGACTGAACTTTTCAGGGTATTGAAGCTGATGGAGATGGATTTGGCTATGGTGAAGGCTGCAGTGAAGGAGGAGACTGTGAGTGAGAGGCTTGAACAGGCCAAGGCTAGGTGCAGGCAAGCCATTCTTGTCGCCTACTCTTTCTAGAAACGATCTCTCTATTTCTCCCCTCTTCAGAGTGTAATATGATGAGAAAAACAAAAATCAACGGCCTATATGGATTAAAAGAAGTTGTGGAGCGTTGTTTTAATGATTTCATTAGGATTATCTGGAAAAACAGTTGTACGCGTGACTGTGTGAGTACAAAGTTGCAGTTTGAGATTCAGTGGAAGACGTTGGCTTTGCTTGGGATCATAATTAAAAGTATTTATATGCATATTTTGCATAAATTTAAATAAAACTTTTTTTACATTCTTATATTTCATAAATCATAATTAAAAAATTATTTATAAGTTATTCCAAATAGATTGATACTAAATTGATGTGTTTGAAAAATTGAAATATTTTAAAAATTTCCTATGACTGAATAATAATACTAAGTGTCAATTTTTAGAAAGGGCTTGACCTATCCATACTTAATACCTCATAATGCTTTACTTTCAATGAAAAAAATACCTGTGATTACCCAAAAAAATAAAATAAAAGAATAGGCGTGACCTTTTTTAAATCACACTCCAAAGATTTCTGAACAACTAATACTTTTTTTCAAATTTTTAAACCTAATCAATCAAATGTCTCTCTCATCTTTTTTTCACTCATTCTTTCTTCCCCCCCGCTTCATATTCCTTTTGGGTGACAATCACATACTTCGTATTTCATAAATAAGGCTGTTTTTGGAGGAAAAAAGAAAAGGGAGTCACTTTTTTTTTTTTTACATATTTATTAACTAATTTTAATCAATTTATTAATTTGTGTAATCTAGTCATTTGAAGCTTAAAAAAAGTGCAATATACTTTCTGAACTGAATCAAACTATATCTCTAAAAGCATCATACCCCCGAATTCATGTATCTAATTGAACAACGTCTGCTACATCGGTGAAACACATTTCTCAACCGGTCTACAAAATTTTGATGGCATTGCCCTGATTCTCAATCAAGTAAATCTTCCTCCTTTTCTTTCTTATTCATATTGTTAGTAAGTTTCTCCAAGGCAATACGACCATTGCATGTTTTTTGACATGCTTTGACGACACGACGAACATCAGGATCATCTTTTGGAATTTTCTTGAGTATAAAATTGGCAGATTTATAATCTTCTGCAACCAAAAGAGCTCGATACATCCTACATCCATCAAAACAATCAAAAAAAACAATTTTGAGCAGATCAATTTAAAAAGAACTACAGAAACATTGAACATGTTTAGAGAATCATAATATAAAGCCTACCTCACGTAACTTAAAACATTAAAAGGGTATCCGGCAAGCTGGTATTCTTTCCAAATTTTACGAATGTTCTGCAAATCTTTGGCGTTGGCACAAGCGGTTAGAAGGAAGTCCAGACATTGCCGTGAAGGCACAATGCCAAGTACTTTTCTGATCAGCCAATATAGGTCTAGGCCGAACTTCAAATCTGTGGATTCTGATGATGCAATTTTGGAAAACACCTATACATATATATAAGCAGAATTGCGTCAACAATAATTGGTAGAAGAACAAACATAATGATGAAGAAAGGTAAAAAGAAGCCTGAATTTCACTGTACTTCACTTCAAAAAAAAAAATCTTCCAACATATACACTAGTCTAGCATATTTAATAAAAATAACAAACCGCATTAGTAACCCCACAAATTATAATATAATATTGAAGCTAGCTTTGTGAAAATTAATCTGTAAGAAATGGAGCCAACCTGATCCAAAAGAACTTCCATGAGTAGTTCGTTATCCTGAACTTTATCATTGAGTTGCTTGATCAAGTCAACAGCAGAACTGATCCAACATAGAATTTAGTGTAAGCAATTTGCAGAATATATTTCACGACAGGACAAAATTTTGCTGGAGAACAGATACCAAACCTTAAATGCTTGTTCTCTACACAGAACATAATAATTCGAGAGCAACCATCTACCCAATAGTCTGGATCAGTCAATTCTTTAAGTAGAAGAAACAATATGTCCAACTCCCCATCAGATTTGATGTGTCCCTCCTATAGATATGCAATAAGTTGATTATAACTGCTTGTACTGTAGAGACTATACAAATTGCAAATATATCATTCTTACAATAAGACTTATAACAGCTTTTGGCTCCAGAGTGTTTCCAGATTCCTTGATTTCCTCGTAAATATGAATAGAATCTGACAATTGGCCGTGTGATGCAAGAGTTGAGAGAAGAGCACATTTGATTTCATTTAAGCTCTTTGGAGGAATGGCTGGATCTAAGACCACCTGAAACATGAACGATTATATAGTAACATAATTAGTGCTTTATGCAAATAATAAAAAGGTCATTTGTTCAAATAATAATATTAACGTAAAATAATCATAATGCTGTGCCCATCAATTGAAATTTCTTGCGCAGAACTAAATACCAAACAGGAAGGTAACCTAAATACCCCAGCCTCAACTTGCATGCACGAGTTTAAATGGCCTTCTAAGATTGACACAGTTCTACGTGCAATAATTCATTGGCACATCAATTTAAATGACTAAGGGTGTTCATGGGACAGAACGAGATAGGGATGACCTCGTCACGATCCCATCCTAATAATCAGGACTTCCTGTCTCATCCCAATAGTGTCCCGTCTCAATTAGGACGAGACAGGACATAATTGAGACGGGGCAGGGACATCCCATCTTTTTATTTAGATTTTTTTTAAATAATTTGAAAACTAACTATACATGAAGTATAAGAACTTATGATAAAAACTATATGAAGAAGTAGACAAAAATGAGGAAACAATGGCAAAGAAAAAATGTTTTTTGTGATCTTGGGAGACAAAAAATAAACTAACTTGAACTGTTTACTACAAAGAATATCATGTAACCCATACAAAAAACTTGGAAACAAATAAAAAAATAACAATTGATAAATATCATTACCAAAATACTATTATAATGATAAATAAAATAATTTATAACAACAATTTTAAAGATAATATATTGGGATGAGACTAGGACGGGGGCGAATAAATTTATAACAATTAAATATAAAGATAATATATTCAGATGGGATTAGGACAGGACACCCCTGTCCCGCATCCCATCCCGCTCCAAACAAGTTTATCCCATTCCGCTTTCATCCCGAAAACTTTCAGGACAAGATTGTCCCATCCCAAAATGACTGGGACAAGAATGGGACACTAGGATAAGACACAGTTGAACACCCCATATATCATGCTGTCAGAATGCTTCTTTATCTCTTTGGGTTTTCAATCAGGTAGTGGTATAGAGTGCTTGAAGCCCATATAATCATGGCAGGTCTACGTGTAATTATTCATTAAGGAGAGCTCAAATGGCTATGTATTTCATGCATAAATCATAATGCATCTATGTTCCTATTTGGTTTAGAATCACACAGTGACACTGCTTGGCATACCTGCTTTGCCTTCTCCAACTGTCCACAGGCTGCGTATGCAGTTACGAGGGCAACGAAAGTCTGCTTTGTAGGTTGGCAGCTGGACAACATTTCTTCATAATACTACATTAAGCAGATCGCCTCATTAGCATCTCAACAAAATCGAAGCGTAGGCTTAAAGAGTTTGCATCAACAGAAAATCTATTACCCACTTCAGTTAACAGTGGAATATAGCATAAACAGAGCCTTACACACTAATGATTAGATGTTATAACAACCAACCTGAATCTCTTGGGAAAAGAGGAAATTTTCTCAACTCCTTACTTATGCACGTCAATCAACAATGTTGTTGCAATGGGCCGTGTATCTTATTCAAAATTTTAATAATCATTTTTGGGGAGTTAACATGACTGAAATTGTCTTTAGTCCTTAAGCGCATCACTATGATACAGTAATAATCCTGAGTCCAAGCATAATGTAAAACATCATAGGTACACATAAACTGACAAGAAGGATGTACCCACATAATTCATGGAAACCATGGCATAATTTGTTAAACAAAATAGTGTTAAAAATCCTACCCAAAAGAAGTATTAAAGAAGCAACAAACACAAATTTTGAACGTGAGAAAAGAGTAAATGAATAGTTGGTCCTCTAACAAGTAGCTACGCCTTGTTAACAAATCAACAATAATTTTGAAGGAGGATGAAAAATTACAATATCACCAAACACAAGAGCAGTTCATGCTCAATTATCTGAAAAAAGCATGTAAGAAATTATTGACACAGTTGATCCCAACATACCTTGGTTATATCCTCCTCAGTTTTAGAGTTGCCAATCAAATGGTTGAAAGTACCTGAATCAGGCTTGACACCGGCATTTTTCATGCACTCAAGGACCCTCAAAGCATCATCAACATTTTTCTGCGAAATTTCAGAAAAAGGTGAGACGAGGAACGCATGAATTGAAACAAGTGCTTAATGCTTACCCTCATACATCTTAAGATGCTATATCAACAAGACTAGTTACACAAGTATTATCATAATCAGGGCTTACCACTCACAGCAGTCACATATCAACTAATCCATCATCTATAAAAGCCATTATTATACTTTTTGCAGTGCCAGGATGAGTTTAAGTTGAGAGCCATGGGACTGGCCACAGTGCCAGGATGAGTTTAAGTTGAGAGCCATGGGACTGGCCACAGCCATGTGACCTTGTGCAATCTCTAAAAGCACAAGGCAGAAATGTCCACAAATGGAGTTGGACATAAACTCGCTGAAACCTAACTTAGGTTGCAACTAAGTGAGGAGAGGAAGACCAAACGAAAAGAATACGTGGCAAGAAGTAATGAAGAAGACAAAGGACCAGAAACCAACATTGAAGAAAAAATGAGGAAGAAATTTTTCAAACAGCCACCAAACGTTGAGAAGGAAGATTGGCAATTTTAGCTCCAAGCTATTTCCAACTTGATGGGAAGAGTTAAAATCCCTTAATGTCAGCACGCTGTTCCCTCTAAGAATCCATGTTTATCATATGGTTTTTCACTGTTTTGTCTCTAAAGTCTGCAATGTATTTCCTGTTTTGTTTCCTTATTTCATGCTTTTGTTATTAGGCTTTTATTTCTCTGTTTTATTATATCTGATCACATTATCGAACAAGATTTATTGGTAAATGATATGTTTGAATAATTGGTAGTTGATACAGCACAATGGCATAATGTGATCCGTGAAACCAAACTTACTTATCAGGATAAGACATTGTTGGCACTGTTGTGTTGTATCTGATCACATTTGTGAATTGTCAACCTCTTTCTTTCCTTCTTTATTCATAGAATGTTTTCGCTTTATGGTGATCTATTTGTAGTTGATTTCAGGAGATGAATGACAGGATTGTTACCATTTTATTCTCTATATATTTCTTCCTCCCACCATGAATAAAATAAGAGTTTTCACAATCATTAATTTCTGAAAATCTTCAAATCGTATAAAGCCCAGAGAATATATCAAAGAAGAACCTCTTGATCAACAAGCAAGGAATAGCTCTGATCGTAAATTGCCAATCTACATCAGCAAACATGGTGGCAAGGATTTGATAGGTGGAATATATGTTTCAAAGCAGATGATTTGATGGTCATATATAACAAAGTACATGGAGATAGGTCTCAACGCAGAAAACAAAGAAATATTTCCATATTATATGGTATTTATTTGCACCGGATTTATCAGGCGCAGTTAAAAGGCAATGTTGAACGGTTGCCGTAGGAGGTAGCTCAGCAGTCCTTAAAATTCATTACAAAGAAACCTGATAATCATAATCCCATGGAGTATCCATTGAAAATGACACTCTTCAAGGAATCACATGCCTTCCACTTTCAGTGCAAATGGACATGTCCTGCAAATTTGCTTACTGTAGAGGGATGTATATTTTATTCATGTCCTTAGTTTTTTTTTTTTTTTTTTGACCAAGGAATTCATGTCCTTAGTTAAAAGTTTAGTTTACGATAATGTTCCCAGGTGTTCTAGATTAAATGATACTGTATTAGTTTTAGGTATTTCATTTTTTTTCCCTTTAGGTTGGCAGCAACCTTTGTAGTAATTTATGTTTAATGTTCAAAAAGAATTGCTAATTTACAGGTAAACAGAAATTAAGCCTTCGCAATACCTCAGACACACACATATTGCTACAATAGATATTTGCAATTTAAGCAAAGCATTCCAATCTAATTAGAGAAGCTTAAGATTTCTGAAAGAGGAAGTGAAAAGCATCTTCATCAAATAACCTCACCTCTCTAAAATATCCAGCCATAATAGCATTGTACATGCTAGACGTAGGCTTCAAATTCATTTCCTCCAAATCATCAAGCATCTTAGCAGCACTTTCAAACTGCATTAGAAGAAACTATATATAAGTGTGCTGCAACATTGGCCTTTACAGAAAGTTATTCTTCAAACCAAAAGCATAATAATATTTAATTAAATTTGGTTTAGAGAAGATGAAAGACAAATGCACAAAAGCATTTAAATCATGAATGAACTGATTACAACTTACATCTTTCATCCTGGTGCACATGTTTATCATACACCTGAATGTTTCACAATTTGGCTTCAAATGGTAGTGAGATATCAAGGAATAGATCCAGTGGACCTTGGACAAAAGAAATAGATGACAGATCAGATATAAGTCACAGAACAAAGTAAAAATAAAGAAGTTGTAGCTTGGAAGATACATCATACCAAATTATATTCACATGTTTCTTCAACACTTCGTAATATGGAGTTTAACACCTCGGTAGATAAAGTAAGGCCTGCTTCACACATTTCACAAACAATCTTAAGAGCTGAATGCACCTGCAATGTAAGTGAAAATAAAAGTTCAACAAAAATGCAATCAACAAGCTCATTATGGTGTATGCAAAACGCAAAGTTTACTCCTTGAAGTGATCTGCATCATAATATATTGACTGTTAAAACATTAACTTACAATATTTTGAACTTCTATCATCAACTCGAAGCAATAAAATGTATATAGAGAAAATGCAGTTCATCTTGGATTGTTGTTTCATTGTCTACTGCAGCCTCCCCAACCCAACTTCAAACCCCCCCCCCAAAAAAAAAAAAATCCCTCATCTCTTCAGCTCTCTTGTTCTTCCAACATGCTACTAATCTTCGAATTCTTTTTTATCCAAAACTAGAGATGCTTAGTGCAGAGGATCAAGTACATGAATGGAAAACTAAACTATTGTCATTTATAAGATTGTTAAAATGATCTTCTGACGAAGAGACATCGCTTCTAGAAGAAAGACAGCATTATTTGTGAAAAGGGTATCATTTGGCAAGGATACAAGCATTACATTATAAGAGAAGAATTGATCAGATGAAGATTCGAAAAATGCCCCTTCCTTTGTGTTGTAGGAAAAGGGTATGAAGAGGAACAGACGAAGAAGAGAAGGAGAGAGATTGGAGACAAAAGAACAGAGAGATAGAGAGATCATAATGGAATTAGTCTGAGATAGTCTGAGCATATTTTACAATGCACACCCGGAATCGCCAGTCCCTGATACACAACCTAGGCTATTGGACATAACTAACTTCTAAGATAACTAATTCTTATATCTTATTGTTTACGTAACACTTTGAAACTCAATTTTGGCTTGGTAGGTTCCTTCTCATGATTAGCTGGTCCCAGCAGTTTGCAATGCAAAAGGAGACCAACAAGATTTACAGACCAATCCAACATCCTGTAAAGGGGAAGTTGATTATAAAGAGCAGAGAATAAAATGGTTCGACTATGTTTATATTGCTTAAAAGCTGGCAGGTCATTATTATGAGAATATGAAGGACTTGTTAAATTGATTTGACATTTAAGCTAAGCCTAGCAGCATTGATTTAAAAATCATATCCTGCAAAAAGTTTAAAGAAAGCAGAGCCAACAGGTCCGTGTGGAAGTTTTTCCAGCCACTTGTTGCTATCAAAAACTTAAAATGAAAAAAGTGCAGGTTATACCTCAAGTAAGTCACAGGCATACACAATGAGCTTCGCGTATGATGAGGATGAAGGTGAAACTTCCAGTTTTTGGTGCAAATCCTTGAATTTCAAGATGACATCCTCAACCTTTTGCAGAACAAATAGCACACGCTTGCACATTAATAAAGCTGAAGAATATAACATTTTCCTTCATGATAGGGAGGGAAAGAGACAACAATGGGCAACTATATGCAAAGCAACATATATGATTAGTTAAAGCATTTGACATCTATTAAGGGTATTAAGAAAGAAACTACCAGCTAAAAAAATTTTCAGCAGAAACAGACCCTCTTGCTAGAGATGTTTCTGCAGTAAAAAGCTGAGGAAAAGGGAATACAAATGAAACATGGTTCAAAGACAAAAATAATCTATACATAGGATTCCTTTTTTATTCATTTACCAAGAGTCCTCTAACTGCTTCATTCTTCTTGAAATTCCAAAATCATTGATACATCATTTCTTACATGCTACTACAAACTAGCAAAAATTACATAATCCCCATCACAGATGAGGCCTCAAGTTAGAAACGGATACATGCTTCAAGAAGAAGCAAACTGAGGCAACACAGAGGTGCCTAATAGTATCATGGCCTCAGGGAAATTACCAGCAAAATTCATGATAAGTTCCTCACCGCTAAATTTGGCAGGCTAACAGTATAACTGGCAATGAAATTTGTAACGTTATTTGCTTCATCATCTGCAACATGAAAGGAGGTCTCATTTAAATACATGGAATGAAAAAAATTGATTGATACATCCAATACTCAAGCCTTCTGTGTAATCACATATTTTTGCCACCAATATTACCCTAGAAACATTCGGGTAGAGCATTCAAAAAACCTAACTCAGCAACTTTATCTAAAATATGACTCAAGTCAGATAGCAGCTAGTTAATTAAAAGTAGGTTTTGTTTGGTTTTGTTGGAAAATCATGCTTGAACGGAACTGACATCTAATGATTCTCAACTTTTTATATCAAGCATTCTGGTTTGGTTCAATTCTGATTCACGGGTCAATGTTCATATATTTGTCAAATTTTCTCAGGAATTTTCTGGTCCTTGTAAGTAATTTTGCTAGGAATCAAGAAATATCCCAAGATACCAAAAAAAAAAAAAAGTAATTAAGTCATAATTAGTTAGTGCCACCTAGAGTTAAGAAGAGGTCACACGGGATTTTCTTCACTCAGAGAGTGTAAGGATGAGTTGAGGACATGAGGATTGGATCTTGAAAATTTTAGTGTCCAGAAACCATTGCTTTGGCTGACAAGTAAATATGGCATTTTAATCATTATACTGCATTTAATAGCATTGAATTACTAGTATTTATAAGACTACAAGACCTTATGGAGGATAGTATTTAAATCAAGACATGAGGATTTCACACGTGATTCTTGAATTTCTAACTCTTGTCAACCTCTCCAAAATATCGGCCATATTTTTAATAATTCAAGATTAAAAATGATCTTAACTCATTTTATTAGATATAATGAAAATTATATTTAAGAGGAGAGCAGACTCTTTTCAAACTTAAACTCAAACTCCTACTCCAACTAAAAGACATAACTCCCAACAATACAAAAACTCTTTCCTAATCTAGACAAAACAGTAAAACCAATCTTACTCTAATCAAAACAGAACGCTCAGTATAATATTGAATGCATGAAATGTTAGACGAAAATAACTAAAATAAATAAACTTTAATCAAAACAAGATGATTAAAATAAAAACTTTAGCAGAATAGACATGATCTCCAATACGCTCCCTTCTTCAAGTTGGATATTCCCAGCCTGGAGCTATCCTTCTAGCATTGCCATCCGTTTTCTCCAAGACTAAGTCTATCTTGAGCTATATTGTAACTCCTATTTCCTTTTGGTAAGAGGACTGGTCTCAACTTGAGTTATTCTCTTATGGGTCACCATTAATTCATAATTCACATTGCTTGGTTTTGGCTTCTAATTGGTGGCTTAATTGCATGAATTTTCTACCAAAACCTCCTTGGCCTGAGCACTTTTTTGGAAAGGATCACACCATAATTTTCATTGTCTTTTTGGCCCATTGGACCATGTGGAGCTAGCGCAGAGGCTTAATCATGATTTGTATAAGTGACGGAACTTTGCATCAGCTTCCTTCAACTCTCCTCATGCCCAGCTTTAGAAGACAAAACTTACATAGAAGGTAGGGGTGTTATAGCAAGTATGCTCCCACATTCCTCATCAAGTGTGTTATTCGAGCCCATAAGAAATTTATAATTTCTCCTCTACTCAATAATCTTTCTGCAGCTTGCAAATCATCAACACTATGCACATGTGGGTCTACAACATGTCCAACTGCTGCTAGTAACATATAAGTGCTATGAACTATGAAGTAATCCTCTGGTCTTATTCATAAGACAAAGAGAGAAGACATTTTTTGGTCTTATTTATAGGGCACTTGGAGAAAAATTTTTGTATGGATGTATAGTTTTACCCTCTATTTATTACTGTGTTGACTTTATTTATACGAGGTATAATGTATATTACATAAAGTTAAAGTTGAAAAGTTGTTGAATTTTAAACGAGAGTTAACAAAGTTTAAGGTTTTTCTTAGTCTATGTGAAATATGTTAGAAATGACTTATAATTAGGACCAGAAGAGTATTGATTTGCAAGAATCTCACCCTGTTTTAGCTCGTTTATTTGGCTTTCTGTCTCAAACACTTGTGCAATGTTCTCATGGATTGAATATGGCTCTAGAGAAGTTCCCCAAATCTCGTGAGCCATATTGTATAGGACAAAGTTTTCTCCCATCTCAAGCTTCATAGAATAAACAAAGTCATTGCCATCTAATTGTTGGCATGCAAATCTTGTTCTTGTCAATTATATCAAAGTGGAAAGCTTGCCATCAAGGCAGCCCCGGTCCCTTCCCATGGATATAAATGGGGACAGATTAAGTCAATTAAAGATAGTTGTTCCTGTTAAGTCTATGACTTGTAATCAATTGGTGTGGTGTTAAGGGTGTCTGGACAATCTTGCATATTCTTCTCGTGGATTATCCTGGGGTTTTATTATTTATATTAAAAAAAGGCTTTCGTAGCCACATTTAGGCTTTTGGTTCAACCTGATGCGTTCAAGGTTAATAATCCTCTAAATATATTTGATTAGATGGAAGCAATATAACATATAGGTAATAAATATGAGAGCAGACTCTTAGCTTTTACTCCACCTAAGGGATGTAACTCCCAAAAATAGCATCACTCTATCCGGATCTAAACTAAACACTAAAAAAAGTTCTGATCCCAATCAAAACAGAACACTTGAGCTAATCCTAAACAAATTGAAGTGTCATAAAAAATAACTAAAAGAAACAAATAAGCCTTAATTGAAAGGGGCAAAAAAAAAAAAAACAATTTAATTGAAAAATATGCACTTTCCAATAGTCTTTAATGTAGTAGCTTTCCGTTGTCATGTCAAACATAAAAATTTTAATATAAAAAATAAGCCCTGATCGGCATGTTATTTTTAAGCATACAACGCAGCTAAGAATGCAAGATACAAACACCAACGTACCAAATAATTACATAATCCTTGTTTCTTAGTCACAAATCCTTACAGTCCATAATAGGATGTCTCAGTATGTGTATGCTAAGATATACAATGAAAATCAGATACGTTTTTCCTCCTTTTAGAAATAACCACATGTAACCTCTGATGCTATCCATACAGGTGCGTAAATTAGAAATTAATATCATAACCGTACCACAAGTTTTGAAAGCTGAAAGGAACTTTTCCGCATACGATTCCAAGGATAGCCTTCCCAATGATTTAAAAATACTTGTTGCGGATTCTGTAGATGAAAGCTTTGTTATGTCTACAATTTCCAACAGCTGTAAAAGCCCCTCCTTCCAATCACTTTCACAAAATGCCAATAGATAATTTTCTGCAACATGAATTGAATCCAGTTAGACTTACAGCACAAAAATAATTTACGCCAGTAGCCATGCTATTTAAACACAAAAGCTTAGCTCAAACACTTATACTAATGATCCCAATTCCCAAAACGTACTCGGATTAATTTATATGAAAGATAATTTGATAGAAAGAATAACGTACTTCTTTTGGAGGATATACCCTCAGAGCAGAATGAGATCAGAATATAATATAGCACAAATAGCATTTACACCACAAATCACCATGTTTCTATTAGAGCTCAGCTTTAAGTGAAGATAGATCTGCTCATTGCAATACAATGGCAAACAAATTCATATTTAATGTGGTTATCCACACGGCCCATGTCACTTGCTATTCCCACCTCATGCCAAGCAGTGGCACATCTAAATGGTAAGAAAATGTCATCAAAGACATTCTCCTACTCCTTGTTTTTTATAAGTAATTTAGAACTACTTATGAGATCATCACATCTGTTCTGGCTAAAAGTTGACCTAGATGTTAGGAAAAAAAGGTTGTGCAAGCATAAACCAAGCCACACAAAAAAAAATGCAAATGAAAATTAAATTTTCCTACCTCCTAAACCAGAAGAGTCTGTACCATCGTTGACTGCAATAGAGTTACAAAGATCCTGAATCTTTTCCTTGTTATCAACTCTAAGCCATAGCATCATTTCGTAGTAACCCAATCTTGAAACTGAACTGGGATTCTCATCTTTGAGTACCTCACAGAATAATTGAAATTCTTCGACCATACCCATGTCAATTAAATACACAAGAAAAGGGCTGTACGTTTGCTCTCGTAGTTCATAACCTTGTTCTCTCATTAACCTAAAAAAGCGAAAAGCCTTGCTCATTTCTTCAATTGCCACTTCTTCATCATTGGTTTTCCTGGCATTATTTATGCATACTTGTATTAATGCATTGTATTCTTTCATGCCTGTCTCTCTTCCCAATTTACCCAACACATCCGCAGTAGCCTTTGTACCCAGTTTATCTGCACAGAATTTAACTACCTTTTCAAAACGGTTTTCCAGTGAGTTTAAAAATCCACTTTTGCTTTCTGTCACGAGACTTCTCTTTCTGTCGCTGTGATGTATTCCCACCAAAAGGGTCAAGTATCCATGGTAAATCTAGTGCAATTTCCAATTTTTCCACATCATGTCCTGATCTCTCCAACTGAACATCTGCAAAAGGAGCACATAAAGATAATCAAACTTCTGAAGAAAGAAAAAAAAGTTTTAGAAATAAATAGGGGAAAGACTAAATATGTATAAGCCAAAGCACATATGTTTTCTTTCGATGAATAAGACAACACACATCTTTTATTTTTAACAAAATAGGCCAAAGCACCTCTTAGTTGCACTGCTATAAAGGAAAGTACCAGGAGATGATGCTGTAATTCAACCAAGACTACCAGATCCATGAAGGAACTTTTGATTCATTCGCTTTAATTTAATTAAAAAGTGATTTTTAATAAAGCGTTTGGCAAGCTTCCAAAGAGAGAATTTTTTTTCCCTTTTTTGGTTCTTCTTGTTCCCTTTTTTTTCCTCCCCCAAAAGAGGGAACCCTGTCCCAGATAATGAATATTGGTGGGTGTGAACTTGACCTCTTAAAAGTTTTTTTGCCATCTGTAACAAACTGGCTGTCAAATTCTAAAAAATAAAGATACAAGACTGACAAAAATAATATGGTTTCTTTTCCCAAAATTACAGATATTCACATTGTCCAGCTTCATATATTGTCCTTGTTAGCAAAGAGAATAGGAGAATCTTCACACTAAAGTTTGATTACACTTACCACATAGTATATCACTAATCTTCTCAGTGTAGAGGTTAGGTGAATTCTCTGCAGCAAAATGTCTGAAATATAAGATTTTCATACATAAATTGCCTAACAAGACAGAAACCTGTATTAAATATGGGAAAGAAAACAAAGGAAACTAACAAAATTTATCATAGACCTCAATCTTCCACTCTTCAGCTGTACAATGATACCCACTAACATAATGCAGATTAATTCTTAATTACCCAAAAACCATGTGTACAACAAGGGCATGCCTAATAGAAGTGAACTCTAGAGAAGAGTGAATGCAAGGACGAGTGAAAATTGAACATTGATTACAAGCATATTATACATGTTGACATACTGCACATTTTTGTTTGTCTCCCTGAGATTTTCCTTCTCATTCTTCTTCCAAGAATGAGGATATACTCACTGGTTAAAGTACCTGAAACAGAAGGTTGGACAAGGTCAAGGTCTTCAGGGCTTGAAGGCTTATGTTCACTGTCAAGTTCTGAAAAATCATCTTCCAAAATGGACGAGGCTTGAGGAGAAGATTCCATTATGGAAGAGTAGCGAATTTGACCTCTTGAAAGTTTTTTCTCTGCTCCATCAGATTCTGAAAATGACACATCAGCACGTACTGAAAGAAAAATATTTCTTTTCTCAAAGCAACATATATGCACAAATTCAATTTCATCCGCTGTCTTAATTGGCTATCAAAAAGTAGAACAACCTCTCATACTATACAAATACTTACTGCGCAACATAGAAGGAATATTCTTAGCTAGTGAACTAGGAGAATTCTCTGCAACAAAATGTTAGAAAATGAGATTTTACACATACGTTTAGCAAGATAGAAACATGCATTATGATTAGTGATAAAATAAATGAAACCAACAATTTTTCCTGCAAATAATAATAGTTCACTCATCGAGCTTTACTAATATACAGAAACCACATGCACATCTAGGGCATGCTTAATAGGAGTGAAGATAAGTCTTGAAAAAGCAAAAGTGGGCTGAAGTGAAAAATTGAAAATAAATTCAGTCATAATAAATATCTTGACATAGTGCAAATTTTTGTTCCTCCCTCGAGTGTCCTCTCCAATTCCACTAACATACTCGCTGGATTATGTACCTGAACAAGAGAGTGGTGCGTAGTCAAGGTCCTTGAAGCTTGTACGCTTAGGTACATTATCAAGTTCTGAAAAATCGTCCTTCAAAATGGATGATTCCAGAGCAGAAGATTCAAATTTTGCAGACTTTCGAACTTGACCTCTTGGACGTTTCTTTTTACCTGTTACAAAAGAGAAGCAATCACTGCCTGGAAAAAATATATATAGTATTTTACCAAAATACTAGATATTTACTACTTCCGGCTTCATCTACGGCTTTGTTAAGGAAGAAGGGTTAACATTCTTCCATAGGAAAAAGAAAATACAAACACTCACCAGACAGCATTGAAGAAATCTGCTTAGATACCAGGTGAGGCAAATTCTCTGCAGCAAACCGTTCGAAATTTGAGAATTTACACATAAACCCAAAATGAAAGAGACCAATACTATGATTCCAGTGAAAACAAACAAAAATAACAAGTTCTTGGCAAACCTCAATATTTCACTCATTGAGCTTTATAAAAGTACCCAGTAACGTAATGCAGGCCATATTTTAATCACCCGGAAACCATTTGCACATTTATGGCGCAATGAACAAGGTCGAGATAAGCCTTGAACAAGAAAATGTGACAATAAAGGAAACTGAAAATTAAAACTAAAACACCCAGCAACGTAATGGAGATCATATTTTAATCACCCGGAAACCATTCACACATTTAGAGCGTACTTAGCAGGATGAAGATAAGCCTCGAATTTGACCAGAAGAAGAAAACTGAAAATCAAAATTAATCACAATAAATACAATGACCCGCTACAAATTTTCATTCGCCACACCCCCACCGGCTTATGTACCTGAATCAGAGCGCTCAAACTCGAGAGCGTTGCGGGTTGAGTGAGAATCACCATCGAGGTCCGAAAAATCATCTTCATGACCGGATGAAGCCAGAGGATACGTACGGGGCTTACAAGTCTTGAGTTCCGAAGAACGTAAAAAAAGACCACTCAGTGTACAAAGGTTTCTCGCGTTGGAGGCACGCATCTAAACTCTATCCTGAAGACAAACTCGCTGTCCTTCCACTGAACTTGTAACCGCCGGGCAAGGCAGAATCGACTGGACTTGGCGGCGCGTCACCTCACCTGCTCACCAATACGCTCGAACTGTTACTGGAAAATCATTTTTTAACGTGTTTTTATCATTTTCATCTTATTTGGTTAGTTTGGCCATCTTATTTGGTTAGTTGATTGATGATTTTTTTGTGTGAAAATATTGAAAAAAAAATTAAATTAAATTACTGAATCACATTATACGTGAGCATTTGCTAATAATAAGATTATTATTATTGTCCATGTAAAATTAATATTTTTATGTCCTTCATGTTTTGACCTCTTCTTTAGAGAAGTTTGTCCAACAAAAAATCATCAAGAGAGAAAATTTTTCTCTATTCCTTTAATTAATTATTTTCCTTTTAAAGAGATAATTGATTATGATCACATCCAAACATTATAAAAACGGAGGCCTCCTCTGCCACTTAATAATTGGTACAATGTCCTGCAAAGGAAACATCAATAAAAATAATTTGGATAAAAACATAATAAATTTAAGAGACCAGGTGAAATGTAGCCTTATATTTAAAATTAAAATAAATTTTATAATAATCAATGGTTAGTCATCTCAGTAGCAATCCCACCTATCATGTTTAAATGAGGTTCCTAGTTCGAAGTTCGGCGTTGATGTGTTTATGTACATGCACCTAATTACATTATATAAAAAATAATTTTTTAATTAATTTTTATATTTAAGATCCCAAAAAATAACAAATTAGGTAGTCCAGTTTAATTGGAGGCGGGGGGGTTGTTTCTAGATATAATCATCATTAACAAGTTATTAATCTCACAAAGGAGCGGATTTTATAGAAATTTATAATCTTGTTCACTTGGATAAGTCTAACAACAATAATGCTCCTTATACCATATATGTTTGAATTATATACATGTTCCATGTCAAGAAAAATTATATACTCGCACATAATAGGACTATAATTAACAATAGCAATTAAAAATTAACAAAACCATGTGATTGATTAAAACTAGATCAATATTTTTAACTGAATAAAATTGTCCCGAGTTTATTTCCTTTCCTTTAGGCCGGAGAGTTTTTTTTTTTTTTTTGCTTTTTTTTACCAGCATTGGCCTTCTCTTATTACAAACAAAAATATATAGTCCCCATCAATATAGATTAAGTTTAGTAGAATGAGTTAGTCCCTCGTAATATAGTGAAGCAAAGTTCTAATTTTTATTGAAAAAAATACTTACATTTAATATCTACCTTCAATATGCATAGTGGAAAAAAAGAAAAAACAATCCACATATAGACCCCTCCTTGAGAACAAATTTCCAATAATTATTGATAATCCGATGGGCCCGGTTCAAACCATTGGACTGTATTCAACTGGGCCTTCTCTTCCTTTACTTTTCATCTTCTTCGTGAATTTTTTTTATAGTTCTCAAAGATTCATTTTGTAGTTTCAACTTATACCATAAAATAAGTTTTATATTTAATATCAGAGGAGTATAAAATTTTAACAACAGAAATTGGGTCTAATTGAAAGAACTAGTTCTTCATAATGTGATGAACTAAAGCTCCAATTATGGCTGAAAGATATATTTATATTTAGTGTCCAACAGTATTTCGAACAAAATGACCATATATAAGATACCCATGCTTAGAAAAAAATAATATAAAATATAAAGTTTTCTATTAATATGTATGTGCATATATATATATAAATGGTATCTGTCTGAATGAGAGTAGAATAATTTTTGTGGATATTTTCGTGATGGTGAAATAATTCGCGTATAATTTGAAGATTACCCGATTTAATTTTCTTATTTTTGAGACTGAAACAAATTAATTAAGTTTTTAATTGAAATCTTGTTACATCCATTTCCCCACTTCGATTTCGGACAAAACTGAGGGGAAAGAAAGAGAGAACTACCTCTGATCCTAATTATAAGAGCTAGTTCACTAATTTGAAGAGATTAAAGAAAGAAGTTAAGTTAGTTATTTGTAATAAATATATGTTGTTTTTTTAAAATATCCTTGCTAATTAAGTGTATTGGCTAGAATTACCATTGTTAGAAGGATTGCCTTAGAAAAAATGCATAAATATGAGAGATAAAGTGGATTGGTGTCTTATATTTAGGATCAAAATAAAAATCAAACAAAGTATTATATTCAGTACCAGAGGTAGTATTAATTAATTTACCCAATCACTTCTTACCCATGGAGTATTTTCTCACAGGATGAGAATTAGTCCTCCCGTAGACACAGAAAAAACCAGTTAAGGAAATTCTAAATCTGGCACTAAAACATGTTCAATAAAGAAAATTTTCTCATGCTACCAAATAACTACCAAGCCACTATCATGATAGCTAGATGAGTGTCACTGCCAAGTACATATTTATTAGAAGGGTTTTAACATTAAATGCTCTGAGCGTGACAAATGCTACCACTTTAATAGATAGGAATTAATCTCAAATTCAAAACAATTTGGAAATACCCTGAATTCCCAAAAAAAAAGAAAAAGGAAAAGGGTGAGTATGATTATTTGCTACCTTAATAGCAAGACAAATGCTACTTCTACAGCGGTAAGATGAGTTATTTAAGTAGAGAGATAACAATGATAAACTTTCATAAGAAAATATAAGTGGCCACCAGCACATACATAATTAAAGAGATTCCCTCGCAAGAAGGCAATGGCTAGAGTTAATCAAGTATGCTAAGAAGGGATATGAGCTTGTACTCTATCACAAAAGACAATTAAGACAGTCTTAAAACAGATTTATAGTTTGATATCCCAAAGCACTTGTTACGGTTCACCATCCCAACTCACCACTCCATCTCTTTAGACATGGAAATATCTAAAACTATTACATGCGCAAGCCAGGATTATGAAAACTAACTGCCCAATTTCAACCATATATTATAATTTAACACGCATTATATTTCCGACAACATTATTTAGCAATGTACCTTTAACTCTCAAGGATTGGATATAATAATTAAGTTCATCATATGTTTTGATCTGCACGTGAGGGAGACATAGGACTTCTTCTTCTTCTTCTTATCACACCCAATCCTCCAGAACTCTATATTCATCACACAAACACATAGAAATGGGACCTTTTGTTTCGGTGATCGATGTTTTGCAATTAGGCAACTTGAAATCAAATCGCGACTTCCCTGTCGGCTTTTCCTAGTCTAGAGGTTGAGCTGTTTTAATTTATCAAAGAACAAAATAGAATTAATAGAACCAGTATTTTTTGCTTGATGTGAAATATTTGTTTTACACGTCGTCGTAAGAAATATTGATTAACACTATATCATGGTATCATAATTTCATCTTCACCTCTCATTTGATCTCTCTCATCGATCTTGTCTTCTGTTTTCTGAACACGCGCATGATTTTTGTTTGATTAATTTGTCTTTGAACGAAATGTTAATTAAGCTAAGCCAAGTAATTAAAATTTTATGAAATGCAATGTTGAGAAATATCATTACTGAATAGACATATGCATATATTTAAGTAGCATTCCACACATAAACTTTTAAAAACGGATATTAACCGTAATTAAGACGGTGTTAGTGAATTTTAATAAAAGACACGCAACTCTTAGTCGGCAACGTTAAGATCACCCAAAAACAACCACATGCTCTAAATGCACTTTAAAATTAATTATTAGTCTTAAAGTCTCATCATTGTCTGCATAAAAGAAATATAAGAAAAGATATGTCAATTTGCACTTTGGCCGATGGAACCTCTTTGGCATGCTCTATGTTCCTACCATGCACTATTGTCAAACTCACGAGTTGACTCTCCGAGTTTAACATTTTTACGTTTTCAGTTAACAAAATCTTATCGGCTCGTTCTTAAACTCGTGATAACTATAAACTCGATTAAACTTACGAATTCATTTACCGAGTTTACCGTTTTTATATTTTTAACTTACAAAATCGTGTCAACTCACTCTTAAACTCATGTTAAATTTTTTAATTTGATTATGTTTAGTGACTTTATATATGATTTTTATAGAAATTTCTTTGTTGAATATGATAAATTATGAACATTGATAGATATAATTTTAATTATTTAAATTTAAAATATATTTAAATGAAATTGTTCTTATTTTTTATATATTAATTATTTGATTATATATTTTTAATATCATTTTATTAATAAAAATAAACTCTTACGAGTTTACGATTCAAATTTACATCATTATCACGAGTTTGTTTAAACTTGTGAGTTCGATAACCTTGCTACCATGTATCTAATCATGATGACTAATTACTCTCTTCCTCATATAGCATTATTCACTATTCAGTTTGCTCACTTTTTCCTATAATTTACAAGGTCTTAAAATTTTTGTTATTAGATGGATTTTTAAAATAAAAACGTGCAAACAATATAGAAATAGAATTATATAATAATTTGTTATCTTGGACTAAAACTTAATGAACAACAAGTTAATTAAGTATCCACTAAATTTCTGTTTGGTATTCATTTGTCATTAATTTAGAGATCTTAATAATTTTAGGGCGAACGTTTTGTTGCTCCAATATTGAGATTTAAATTGGAATAATAATTCATGACATTTTAAGATGACTCTACCACCACTAACTCAAAGTGTAATGATGATTAATCTTACATTATTTTGATTAAACAGCAATACATCAATAATCTGATTAAACTTAGTCTCTAAACCTTGTTCCTTTAATATAACCAAATCAACTTTAATTTCTTCTCTACAAAAGAAACCTAAAGAGCCCCACTTTATCACCAGTTTCCTTCACATCTTTCTCAATCTGCTGTTTGTACTCTCTGAAAGTGAAGCTTCTGTAAATCTTGGGGGTGCCATGGCTCTCTATCACTGCATCATACGAAGGATTATAGAAATATGCCACAGAGAACCTCTCTACCTTCTGTGCAGCCACAACTCTGTGCTTTATGCTTTTATAAACTCCATTGCTCAGTGCCTGCATCTACAAGCATATGTATGTTTTCAAGTTTCCAAGGTATGTTTTCTCTGTGTGTGTGTGTGAGAGAGAGAGAGAGAGAGAGAGAAACCCTAATTGACTAATAACTAAGAAAGCTCTCTCTTGTGGCGTCATATCATGCAGAAATCTCGTTTTTCTTCTTTAATTATTCTGATTCTGATTCTTTTCACTGTACATTTCTGGGCGCATCATCATCATTATCATCATCATCACTATCATCATCATCACTGTCATTTTCAGGCATAGCTTGGTTAATTATATGGCGGGTGATTGAAAATGAGTGGAAGATGTTTATATATGGTGTTTGAAAATTATTGAAAGTTCTGTAAGTTGGTTTGGTCATTATGATCAATTTCTGGGTAATTATAGCCCCTTTTGAAAAATACTCATACATACCAGTACAACACATGTTTGTATATGCGATATATTTGTTCTAAGTTCATGCATATCATGATGATTCATGATTCGATCGGCACTAAAAATGATCAGTGATGGAACAAGTCCATCACTAAAGAGCATTTTTTTCAGGTAGCATATGATGTATTAAGTAACAATAATTAGTGCAATTAGGTGTTAAAATTAATATGTCCCCTTACCATGTATCTACTCATTATACACTGGACTATACTAATTAAGTCAAGCAACTCACTCACTAATATGGAAAATAACAATTTCATTGTTAAAAGAAATTCTTCTTCAGTATATCTAGTGTGTGTTCCTCTCAAATTTCTCCCTCCATCAATAATAATCATATAGAATAAAATTAACGTCTGTGTGTTTGGATAGTATTACTACCTCCTGTTTTAATAGTAAGACCTCGTTTGTAGTCTACAAACGAGGTCTTATAATTAGGACTGGAGATAGTATGACCCCAACGAATAAAATTTTTCATTAAAGAAAATCTCATTTATTTATATAGGAGTTTCAATTAATTGATGATCCTCCCAACGTTTCTAAAGTCCTTCCTCCTTTATATTAAAGTCTCCCGAATTTAAAGGAACAACTTTTCCCAAACAAGAGAAGAAGGAAAATCATGATTTAATCATATTCTTGAAGTTCCTTCAATTTCCTTCCCTCCCTCAGCTCCCAAACACACCTCTGGGTAGTTTTATGTTGTGTTGTGTGTTTCTCTCTAACCCCCCCCCCTTTGGGTATAAGCCAGAGGTAAGGGATGGCTTGGAAGGCATATACATACCTGAAATAAATCACCGATATTAATCAAGAGAGCATGTGGATTAGGCTTGACTGAAACCCAATTTCCATCTCTGAGTAATTGCAATCCCCCAACCTGGTCTTCAAATACAATGGTGAGGAAAGTGGAGTCACTGTGAGGCATGAAACCAAACACGTGTTTGGGAATTGGGCATGGTGGATATCTATTCAGCCGAAGAAAACTTGTGTTTGGCAAGCACTTTTCTCGGAAATATCTGGATTTCATGTTCATTTCCTGACCTAGAATTTCCGCCAACTTTTCTGCCAGGGCCCCACCCTTTCTGGCATAAGCTTCAGTGGTTGATCTGAAAATAGAAATAGACGACCAATCTTATAAAGGGTGAAAAAAGTAACTAACTAAAGGCACCTAGTTAAATGATACTACCTCCAGTTTTTAATGTAAAATCTTTTTTTTTTATTTTGGTCTTAAATATAAAAATTCAATCTACTTTGTCTCTCATATTTATATTTTTTTCTCTCTAAAGAAGTCCTTCTAATAATGATAGTTTAGTCAATACACTTGATTAGCAAAAATATTTTAGGAAAGACAATACATATTCATTACAAATAACTAACTTAACTTGTTTTCTTAATCTCCTCAAATTAGTCAACTAACTTTTATAATTAGGACTAAAGGTAGTATATAATTAAGATTTCGTTGAATTGCAAGTGAAAAGATAAATTAAAAATAAAATGAAAAGAGATAATAATTTGTGAGTTGAAAAAAATCTTGTATGCTCAACGAAAAAATAATAAAATGAGATGAATAATGATAACAAAAACATAATAAATACCATAATTTTATTAATAGTAATATAAAATTAAAAAATCTAAAAAAAGTTATGCTATTTGAAGAGGTTGTGAATATGTACAGAGAAAAGGTATCTAGCTATATCCATAACAAAAATAAAATCCCGTTCCACTAAAAGGACAGAATCGTAAGTAAAATTGTGAGAATAGAGTATATTTTATTATGAAATTCCCCTTTAACTTATTAATCAACTAATAATATATATACTACTCTGGTCCTATTTATAATAAGACCTCATTTGTAGTCTATAAATGAGGTCTTATAATTAGGACCGAAAGTAATATTTGCCAAGATGAGTTAGCATATAATTAATTATATATTAGCATGCGCGCACATGTTGGTCTACAGTGGTGCATGAATATAATAATGCTAAATCTGATGCGGATATATATACTTTTACTCAAATCTTTGTTAGGTCGGACCATTAATAAGAGATAAGCATGATTAAGGTCTCATGAAATTAATTAAACCCGATTTCTGTGTGTGTGTAACTTTAATTTATACCTCAGACATTTGTGGTGGTCGTCCGCCGTACTTGGTGGTTCATGTGGAAGAATATGGAAGGCTTCAGACCATGAGAGATGCCGGAGATTAGTAGCAAAAGGGTTGCCCCACTTGTAGGAGAAAGCTCTGGAAGTTTCCCGGGATTTCTGTACAAAAGGCCTGTGAAACATTTTCATCTGTTCCAACAACAACCTCTGTAAGAGTTGTTGTGAAATCCCATGATTCACAACTTGGAAAAAAACCCATTGTTTAGCAGCTTCGATGATCTCCTTCATGCACTCTTCTCTCTCGGCATGTTTTGTACTGTTTAGACTGTCCAGATCAATCACAGGCAGCTCACAATCCGCCGCCGCCGCCGCCGCCGCTCTTGTGTCTAACGACAAGGAGCTTTCAAGAAGCTTCCTGCAGGCCTCTAAGAATGGAGGTTCGTAATCCATTATATTAATATTTCTCCTGAAAAATTGTATTCTTTGAAGAAAAACACTATATATATACGTAGAGACGCACCTATGTACGAGAAATCAGAAGTAAACACTAAAGCAATCAGAAGACCAACAAGAAATATATAGCTAGGGTTTTTTTCATTCATGCAGGAGAATACATGTATGCAACTATTGTACATAAAAAATAGGGAAAATTACTTTCCCAGTCCTTAGAGTTTGTATGAGTTTTGAATCAGGTCCTTGAATTTTTTTTCCTTTTTATGAGATCCTTTAACTTTACTCTGTTAGTTCCGTTAGTCCCTCATCTTCAAAATCGTTAAATAGGCAATAACAGTGTGAAATATTCCATTAAATTGATCTGAGGTGGCATCTTTTAAGGCTGATATGGAAAACAAATATGTTTATGTTTTTAAAAAAATGACACATTTGCAATTGGAATTAAAAAAAGATAACAATTATTAAAGAAATAACAAAAACAAAAAACAAAAGGAAACAAAGTAAGAACTTGAACGATCCAAAGAGCAAGCAAAGAAACTATCAGGTAGAAGAAGAAGAAGCTAATGCACGAATGAGAGAGACAAGGTTGAATAATATGGGGCGAGCAAACGTAGCACCAAAACTACAAAGGAGAAGGTGAAGACTCAAGGCACGGAGAAAGAACGACAAAACAAAGAGCAGTGAGAGGACGCAAGTGTCGACGTCGTGTAGAGAGACATGCCGACCTAGAAACTGTTCCTCCTGGCATCGACTCCGTAACCAGCTTCGAATTCAAAGATGTTTGAAGACAAAGCCATATTCACCAGGATTTTCATTCCCAAAATCATGAACCCGGATAAAAAATTATGGATTCTGTTTAGGATTTATATGACTAATGCTATCAGTTTCCTTTTTAGACGTGGCTAAATTTTTCCACCTAGATTTTTGTCAGATTCCACTGTGTTAAAATTTTCCGACTAGATGCCATCTCAAATCGATTTAACGGAATATGTAACACTATTATTGCCTATTTAACAGTTTTAAAGATGAGGGACTAACGAAACTAACAGAGTAAAATTAAAGGACCCCATAAAAAGAAACAAAAATTCAAGGACCTGATTCAAAACTCATACAAACTATAAGGACTGGGAAATTAATTTTCCCTAAAAAATAAAACCACTGGCCTCTTGGCCGAGTGGTATGGTGTGTGTGTTGGGTGTGTGCGTGCGGGTTCGAACCCACTCCCTTGCATCTCAAAATAATAATAATAATAAATAAATAAAGAAGCCAAACTTACACTGTGAGTATATAATGCCCGTCCACTTCTATATATAGAGTACTAGTAGAGGACATAATTTGGAATATCTGGTGAACAATTCCCTAAATTTTAAATATGGAATAAAACAAGTTTTTTTTCCAAATTTCACATATTTAAATAAATAATATAGTTAATTAATTAGGTTGAGTGAAAAATATATGTATCTTTTAAATAAGTTACCTAGTATAATGTGGATAAAAAAATCATGACGGTAGAATGACTGTCCTAGTTTACATTAAACACTATATTTAATTTAGTCCAGTTTAATTGATGATATATAACTCAACAATCAAGCTTCTATATGTAATTACATGATTATATATCTCAACAAGCTCCTAGTTATGATTGGCGGAAAAAAAAAAAAAACAAAACAAGCTTCTAGTTATAGTACTTAATATCTGTAAATGGCGATGAAACGCACAAGCAACACACACACAAATATATATATATATATATATATAGAGAGAGAGAGAGAGAGAGAGGTTCAAACTGATTAAAGACTCGAGAGTTTGAACTTCACAAAACTCAAGTTGACACAACTAATTGATGATAAATATGTGCTTCAATCTTACTACCTCCGGTCCTAATTATAAGACCTGGTTTGTAGTTCACAAATAAAGTCTTATAATTAGAACCGAAGGTAGTATATAATATTAATACGTTGTGTTAATTAATTGACAATAAACCAAATTAAAACAAAATTTTGCTGTACGAAGAGGGCAGCATTGTGTGCGCGCGTGTGACTGACCTGCGTAACAGAATAAATAACTCAGTAATATCTAAAAATTAAAGAGAGATCACAACAGCGAGATCACAAAAGCCCTGAAGCTGTACAAAAAATCTGTTACTCACCAAATATATATATATATATATATATAAAACAAATTGAGTTTGATATTATACGTAGAGATCCTAATTAACTCAAATCTCAGAGGTAATTAATTACTTGATCCATCGAACACTTAAGTTGCGTTTGGTAGGAAGCATTAAAAATAAGAGATTGGGGTTATGATTGCAATTGAGAAAATCTATTAAAAGAGTGTTTAGTATAAGAGATTGTATGTAATATGGGATTAGCCAAATCCATGTATGTGAGATTGGAGAATACTATAGGGAGAAGTGGTATTCCCCAATCCCACCTCTGTGGGTTTGTCTAATCCCATATAATAAGTAATTACTCATACTAAATACTACTTGAATGATTTTTTTCAATTGCAATCTCAATCCCTATTCCTTATTTTCAATGCTTCCTACCAAACAGGACCTTAAAGAAACGTAGCTAAAAGATAGACCTTGGAATAATGCCTGTAATTTCTTCCAAGTGTTTATAAGGAACAAGCACATATATATAAATATAAAAAAGGAAGAGAAGAATGTGATTCATATAATTATAGTTTGTTCCTAACGAATCATCAAACAGTTCATCATGTGGAGTCCCACTATATGCTGATTATAAGTCTATGGCTAAATTGAAGAACACGCGTTCAGACCCAATAGCACATACATATACACACTGTGATTGCAAATGAAGCTCTCAATTCGTTAATTAGCTAATTAATAATCATTTCATTTTTAGTTAATACAAAAAGAATAATATTCTCTCTCGGTTTTATATACTCTATAAGATACAGACTGAATTACATGAATTAAAAAGTTGATTAAAATTGACTAAAGACAATAAACATGTAATCAATTATCATCGGGACAAAAATGAGGAGAAAAAAGTGAATTAAAATTTCACGTGCACGAAATGTTATTTATGAAAAGGGCCGGTCCTATTCCAAAAATTGTGATGTATAAAGGAGCAGAGGGAAGTAAATTGCTATGCATCTTACATTCTATCGTAAATTTGATTATTATTTAATCACCCCTTTTAATTTAAAGATCACTCATTATGTATATAAGAGTAACTTTGATTATTATTTAATCACCCCTTTTAATTTAAAGATCACTCATTATGTATATAAGAATAACTGCTCATTAATTATTCTAGCAAAAATTTAATATATATATTTTGAAAAAAAAGGTTCGAATTGATTATTCAAGTGATGTAGATATATACTCAGTATGGCTTAACGTTGAATTGTGCCTGAGTAGGTCGTAATATAATAAATTATTTAAAGTTTTAAATATATGAAAAAAATTAACAACAAATATCATAACTTCATTTTAATTTCAAATCCAAAGAAAGAAATTAATGTCCATGCATCCATAATAAGAGAAATCAAGTACTAACAGTGAATGATCACACTGTGCTTTTTACATTAAACTAAATGTCAATCGAAACAAAGGCACACAAAAATTATTGGAATCTCCACACACCACATGGGCCTTATATAATTTACGAAACACCTGCCTAATTTGGTAAAAAAACTTTAAGTACCTTAAAGCGTGCATTAATTAGCTGCTGTAATCAAAGGCATTTTATATTTTTTTGCAATTTAACTTAAGAATTTGAAGCTGTTAAGTTTTTTTTTTATACCAATATAAATTATTTTGCTGGAGAGAACTAAATTTAGAGAATTATTTATATATATATATATCAAACACCCTTGGATACCATATATATATATATATATATATCAAACACCCTTGGATACCATATATATATATATATATATATCCATTAAGAAGGTAAAACTTTGGAAAAAAAATTAGGAAAAAGACGAACTAGATTAAATTCCTAACACCATACATTATCATATTAAAGGACACACAGATCCAACCAAATTAATGTTCACGGAGTCAAAAGAATCAGAATTTAGACAATGAGGACACATGTCAGGTTTTAATAGGGTGAGGCACGTGAATAAATTGTCGTGTGGATGTTAAAATTATATATAATGATTCATCTTAATAACCTTCACCTCAAATTCTAAGCATTTTGGATTTGGAGGAAATATTACAAATAAAATGAGCAAAAATTATTATGTGATGAACCATAGATAATAATGGAATTGACGTGATGATCTGAAGAAAAAAAATGAATGGACATAAATCAAATAATAAAAACAGTAAATATAATAATTCAACCCAAGAGATATGGAAAACCAATAAAAGTGAAGTTGAATAGATGTTAAATTGACTAGTAACAAGACATCACCAAATAAGGCTCCAATCGCTCTCCTTGTGCGATCATTTTGAGTAGAAGTTAATTGGAATCTAACAGAAAATTTGGAGGATCCCACAAATAAGTTAATATATTGGCTGTGAAACATAAAGTGTGTGTGTGTGTGTGTGTGTGTGTGTGTAATAAGTTTAGGCATATGCGCACACGCCCAATTAGACCAAGGCATATGTGTGTGATGAATGGGAAAAGAAAACATTTGTGAATATTAACTTTAAAATTTAGGAATATTTAGTTTTAATAATTATAATATTATTGTTATTTTTTTAGGATTTTATCAATTAATGTTATCTTTCAGAGTATTAATTTGCATTTGATTATTAGAGTACTAGAGCATTTTTACATTTAGTTCTAGGATTAGTTTAAGGATTATGAACGGCACTTCTTTTGATCCACGAGGTAAGTGACTTGTGAAAGAATTTTTTGGTCAACAATATAAGCAATTTGGATAGTAATTAATGCTTCTTTGTTAATGTTGCTTTTCATTAATGTTTAAATGTGATTTCTTGTATTTTTCTTGCTTCTTCAAAACCATATTTAATGCTGGTAAAGTTGATTTTGAGACATATTTAATTAGTTAGCTACTATTTATTGATTCTAACAGTAAATTAGTTAAAGTGGCTAATATTATAAATTGGATGGAGTAGTCATTAACACAACTTTATTTTTACGTCTTTTTTATGTTTGAATTGACTGTTGAGTTTGCCTTTCCCTTGAATTTTTTTTATTTTCTCGTACTGGTGATCTATTTTCTTCTATCTCCACCTCTCTTTTAAATGGTCTAGACATACCACTATGATGATCATGCCACAATTAATTATCAATTTAAAGTTCTATTATTTAATTTTTGATGGGCGGCCTTCGGAGCTCGTTTTCGAATTCGATGGGATCAGAAGTCAGAAGTCAGAAGTCAGAACCATCCTTTAATTATATATACCGGAAAGGTCCTCAAAAGCTTTTTAATAAAAAAAAAAACTCTTTTATCTTTAAATATAAAGAAAAATTTTTTGTCTGAAATTTTAAATTAGAATTTTCATTTTACTCGTATTAAATATATGCTACTCATTATCTCTTTACAATAAATTGTCGCTCATTATATTCCATACATTTTCTTTACAAATAAGAATATAGATAAAAAAATGTATATGTCTATGCATTTATCACTTTTAACTAAATTTAATTAACATTTTAAATTACGTGATTTGGATAGTTGTTTTTTTTTAATAAGGGATGGAGGAAGTATATCTAGTACAATCCCTCCCTTTTTTAAAAAAAAATGTTAAGCAATAATGATTCGTGAGAATTTAAAGTGTGCTTACTTTAGTAATTACATGTAGCTATTGCGGTTTATCTTAATCATCATCATCATCAAATGGTGTTAGTATTAAAAATCATCATAAAATATGATTATGGGTCAACATCATTGAGGAACTTTGGTTAAAAAAAATCTTTCGAGGAATAAAACAATTAAAAAGCTTAATTATTTATATAGAAGCCACAGTGCTCTCCCTGTTTCTTCTTTTCCCGATATTGAAAAGAGGATATCAATGAAGTTAGTATGCACCGTCCGTAGAGAAATTTCTCATTTAAAACAGGAGTAAATTTAATATTTTTTACCGATAAGTTATTATTCCACTCACGTTTCAATATAATGAAATATAATACTACCTCCAATCCTAATTATAACACCTAGTTACAATTTGAGGAGATTAAAGAAATAAGTTAAGTTAGTTATTTGTAATAAATAGGTGTTTTTTCTAAAATATCCTTACTAATCAACTATATTGGCTAGGACTACCATTATTAGAAGGACTATCTTGAAAAAAATGCATAAATATGAGAAACAAAGTGAATTGGAGTGTTATATTTAGACTAAAATAAAATAAAAGAAATATTATATTACGGACCGGATAGTATTATATTATATGGATAAATCATTATAAAGTTTTTTTCCTTGCAAAAGAAGCTGTTCCATAAAAAAACGATTAATGAACTTAATTACTCGTCATAATTTAAGAATAAAATTATTGTTTTGTTTTAAAGTTTACTTCAGTAGCTACTTTATATACCATTCTCCCGTGCGTATCCTAAAGAGGAGCTAAACAGTTAATTTATAAAAATTAAAAAATTAGTTGTGTTAATTATTTGTAAAAGATGTATGTTAATTTCTTAATTAAATATACTCTCAATCATTTGCAATAGAAACTATCCATGTGTGAAAATCCTTTTTTTAATGTGTGTAATCAACTGGAATAGTTTAAAAATTCTAAATTTGGTAGACTGGATTATTAAGTTCCTATATTTAGAATTAAAATAAATATCTCAATTAACTCCTATATTTAGAATCCGAAGGAGTAGCTGGGGTTGAATTTGGTTATATAATTACAAAGGGATGTTTTAGAGAGAGATTAGGTCATATTCGTCATAATCAATTAATTTAGTATAACCAAATTAATTAAATAGCTCTCTTAGATTAAGATTAAGGACTATACCCACGAAATCTAGCGTGAGATATATACTCAATTTGAAAAGCTTATCCAGATTTTCTACAAAATGAAATAACATAAACATAAACACACACACACACACACTGTATCCACAACCACCAATCAAACTAAATAGGATTGAAAATACCAACAGAAGAATATAGAGGAATAAGTTTATGGTACGATTGAAAAATTTGTTCTCACTTACTTTGCATAAATACACCCCACAACCACAGAAGTTTAATTTATAATTAAACTTAATTACACTAAGAACTTTGTCCTATCTGCTTAATCTTTTAAGCAAGAAACCTAGAGAGCCCCACCTTATCACCGATTTGTTTGACATCTTTCTCAATTTGGTGTCTATACTCTCTGAAAGTAAACTTCCTGTAAATCGCAGGCTCGTTGTAGCTCTGTATCACAGTATCATCTGAAGGGCAACAGAAATATGCCACAGAAAACCTCTCAATCTTTTCAGCTGCAACTACTCTGTGTGTTATGCTTCTGTATGCTCCATTACTTAATGCCTGCATTAATTAATTAATTCATTTACAAAATCAGCTTTTACACACACACACACACACACATTCTAGTATATATCATCCAAGACAGACAAATATATATAAAAGACATGGGAATTTCTCATTACACGTCTCTTGCCATTACAGCAGTATATATACCATCTTTGGCCTATTCACGTAATCATGAGAACGGTATTCTCATTGTCGGCTCTTCCCAGATGGTGCTGCTTGAAAATTGAAGCGTGTGTGCGCGTGCGTGCGCGCGCGCGCGCATGAAATTTGTGGTTGTACTAAATCTGACATGGCTTAAAAGGACTTGAAAGTAATCATAGTTTTTTTGGATGAAATCCAAAATACTATACTGAGGGGGGGAAAAAAAACCATTGACCATGTACACTGTATCATCTGGAAACAGAAATGAAATAAGCCACAGAACCTCTCAAATCTTTTCTCCAGCGACTACGTATGTATATGTATATAGCTGAACATATGACTTGAAAGCAGAAAAACAGTGTAATAGAAACTATTGATGTTCTATATATGCTTCTGTCCATTGTGTGTGTGTATCAGCCACTTATCTATTTCTGCGGGCAATAGATATTCTTGGAAGGCTCTAGCTAATAATATAGACAAAAGACGCCGACTATACATGTGTGTGTATATAGAATCTCACATTACACTACTGTAGTAATATACTACGTTCGATCCTAAATATAAGAGTTAGTTAAGTAATTTGAATAGATTAAAGAAATAAGTTGAGTTAGTTATTTGTAATAAATAGGTATTGTCTTTCTTAAAATATCCTTGCTAATCAAATATATTTGTTACAACTACTATTATCAGAAAGACTATCTTGAAAAAAGATCTTATGTTAAATGTCGGAGTAGTATTTACCAATTTTTGTCCATATTCAAATTTTGCCTTTTGCAGAATGCACCACATGCACATATATTTGGCCCTTTGACTTAATCGTGACATAGATATATATTTCTTCATTGTCGATTTTCCCCATGGATACTGCTGCTAGCTAATAGAAAAAGGAAGCATGTATATATGTTTGCAACTACTACAAATATAGGACAAGTAATCTACTTCTTTTTTTGAAAGTGATACAAAACACCTTATCCAGAAAAATAGACATTGACCACCATTTGCACACAACGCGCGCACATAATATATCACACCCCAAAATAGGAAGTTTTCAAAGCATACATATGCGTATAATTATAGCAAGGCGCAATATATCCATATATATATGGTACTGATGAAGAAGGGACTAGAATTATATTACATCATATTACCTGGAAAAGATCACCAATGATAACAATTAGAGCATTTGGGATAGGGTTGACAGCGACCCATTTCGTATCTTTCAACACTTGCAAGCCTCCAACTTTGTGTTGATAGACAATAGTGAGGAAACTGGAATCACTGTGAGGCATTAAGCCAAACAGTTTTGAAGATAATGGGCTTTGGGGGTATCTGTTCATTCGAAGAAAACAGCTGTTTGGCAAGCAATTCTTGCGGAAATATGTGGATTTTATATTCACTCTGTGGGCCAGAATTTCCACTATGCTTTCCACAAGGGCGGTCACTTTTGTTGCAAAAGTTTCAACGCTCCTGATGAATTCAAAAAAAAAAAAAATTGAGAAAAGCATAACAAAACAAAGTCAGAAAAAGTATATGATCTCCAGAAAGACCGTAATAGAAGAGAGAAGAGTAGTTCAATAATTTCACTGGCAAGAATTTTTGACAAAAAAAGACGAAGTTATATTATGATGTCCTGCAAAACCTTTTGTCTTTTAATTTCTTTTATATCTTTTATTGGCTTATCCGTGGCAGCAAAAAAGTGCAAACCCCTCTCTAGAGGGCTCTTCAAGTACAAGATCTAGCCTCTATACTTTAAAGGACTGAGAATATAATAAACTTTTACAGCCATGAATATATTGTTCAAACAAAGCACATGTTGCTTTTATTGGATTGAGACAGCTATGTCCATGCTGGAAAAGTTTGCTATATATAAACCGAAATTTTCTCCTTTTTACTGATAGTAGGGCTATCAAACTACAAGCCCTTGAAATTTGATGACAACTTTTTTCTCTCAAAGGGTAATTCAATATTTTATAACATACTTCCTGTCATATTTAGTCTGCAAAATTTTCTTAAATACTTATCTAGGCTACAAGAGAACTACTGTTAAATATTTATCATAAAAGTAAGAGTTATAGCAAGCCTCATGCTGCCTGCCTAGCTAGGTTCAATTCATTGAGTTGGACTTAATAACCCCTTCTTCATAATCCCTAAGTAAATCATCTCTTAATTATCATATATATTTGTCTTGCTGGTTTGGCTGAGAATTTTTGTTATATAAACAAAAAAAAAGTTTGTGTGTAATGTATAATATCAATGCGCGCTTCATTCTCATGTAGACAGTTTGAGGAATATATAAAGATGATTATATTACCCTATGAATTTAACTTAAAACACATAAAATATACACAAAAATCTCTAATTACCTCAGATTTTTCTGCTCGTCCATCCTGGATATGTCTGTAAGACGTATCTGAAAGGCTTCTGACCAAGAAAGTTGACTCAGATTAGTAGCAAAAGGGTTCCCCCACCTGTAATTTCTGAGCAATGACTTATTCATAAAAGGTTGATGGAAGAGTTTCATTTGCTCAAGCATCATGCTCTGGAGCAATTCTTGTGAAATCTTATGATTAACAAGCTGAAACAAACCCCATTTTGAGGCTGCTTCAATCATCTCTTTCTTCACAATTTCCTCGTCTCTGTCTTCATCTAAAAGTAGCCTCGCAAAATCGATTGCAGGAGGGTCCCATGAGTCCACCAGCAGAGAGGAGTGACTAGTATGATGATGATAATGATGATCTTCTGTGTCATCACTGAGGGGATTTTTCAGAAAGGCCTTGTAGGTCTCAAGAAATGGAGGATCATGATCCATTATACAGAAAAGTTCAAATGCTTCCAATAATTTGTCCTTTTAACCCTGGCATTCATCATTGAGTTTGATCAATTTCTTGTAACTTGAGGTAGGTTGGATGATAGATTTTGTATGTATATCATGATTAGTTGAATAGCCTCAGTAGCTTAGTTAGTTTGAATAGTATACAATGCAACTGGTTCTGGTTCTACACTAGTTCAATTTTGCTGTTGCTAGTTCTAGTTTTGAACAGCAGATAGACATGGTCTCAAGTAAGAAAATGAAACTTAGTATTTTTTTTTTTTAAAATGTTCCACATCAGTTATGGTTAAAACGGACATAGACATGATCTACATCAGTTGTTTTGCCGACATAAATTTAAGATATTCTACCATTACATTCCACCCATTATAAATCGATGTTAAAGAGTAATTGATGTAGAAAGTCCTACCGTTAGCGGCAAGGTGCTATATGCTAACTAATTTTGGAGTACCTTTAACTAAGGTGATTATTGTTAATTACTTTCCAATGTACATTATGTGAGTGATTTCAACATAATGTCAATTTAGCTATTAGCAGATTTCATCAGCAGCAGGAAGTGGAAAAAATTGAATGCAGGAACTTTCTTACCTGGTGGAGATGGAACAAGCTAATCAGTAGATAACCTATGTACTAAATAGATATTTATTAAATGATCTCATATTCAGATTTTGCAATTGAAGAACTAAAGCAATCTTGCTGAAAATTTTTCTCAGTGCTAATTGGTGCTGCTTAATTACTTTTGCCCTAATTTCTATGCCAACCCTGAAGGGTGATGCGGTTCTACTTAAGTACTGAACTTTGAGGGAAGCCTTCCACATATATATTATTGTCATAATAAATGGCTAAAATTCCATCTCCGATTAAAAATTTCTGGCTTCCAAATCATAAAACTATGAGGTTTCTTCATGTATAAGCGATCAAAGCAGGAGAAACCATACAACACATGTAGAAACGCCATATAGACGCACTTGCACAGTACATACATATGAGAGAATAACAGGTAAAATTATGCAGTGGAGATCAAGTTTTCACCTGTGTGCTTGAGAGTTTCAAGCGTGTTTCGAAAGCCTCTCACTGAGAGAAGCAGAAACTTGACGAATAATTCTGCGTCTTTAAAAGGAAAGAAAGGGCTAGCTACTTGTTTTGGACTTGTGCTTTCCTATTTTGTGAAGAAAGAACACATGAAATTAGAAAAAGGGTTAGAATTATTGCTGCTGGTTCAAAGATATATCTCAGAGAAGAAGAATGAGAGTTAGGTTGCATTATACAAAGAACGTTGTGGTTCTCTATATACAAGTTAAAAAGCGGTTTAGACCAATAATTGTGGGGAAATGCTGGTGATAGAAAGTCTATGGCCAAATCATAGAACACGCGTCCACCAAAGCATATTCCAGAGAGGCATTTTGCAGAATCATGTCAGTGTTCACTATATGTGTTATATGCAGAAGTTTATGTGGAGATTATTTAAGTTATTCTTTATATATCTTCCACACAAAACTTTAGTTACAGTAGTCTCTTTAATTCCGTTTGGTGGCGCTCAAATTAAGTTATATACACATCCACTAATAATTATCTCCAGAAGAATTGTGAGTTATCTTCTAGGGTTTCGAGATATATATTCAGAATATATAAGAAATAATAATACTTATACAGGGGAAAACCATATTAAAGATACCTATACTTTTTTTCTCCATAAATTTTCAATTTGGTACCTATGTGTTTTTCTCTTAATTAAATCTTTAATTTTGCTCTATTAATATCGTTAGCCCTTGCATAGAGACTAAAAATACTAATAGAACAAAGTTATAAGAACTAATATTGCTAAAAAGTAAAATTAATTGATTTAATTAAGAGGAAAAAAATAAGCACCAAATTGAAAACTGAAAGAAACTATAAGCATCTCAATGGAATACGTTGTTTAATTTTTCACTTAGTATAAAAATTATATTTTTGAGATTCGACATAATACTAAAAATCACATATTTTAGACTACTAAAGCTAGGATGAGAAAGGAGCCATTGACTAATTAATTTGTGTTTGCGTGTGTGGCCGGCTGGATGTGAGAGAGAGATCAAATGAACGAGTCGATCGAATGATTAATAAATGATTTGGGGTTTTATAAGTTGATGGCTAATTGCCTGATTCAGAGGCTAGATTAATGGCCAAAAAAGGTAGTGCCTAATTGCCAAAGCATTTTAACGTGTTGGTTTTATATTTAAAACTATGTAAACTATTCTTTTAACCGGAGGTGGTATTTATTTGTTCACCAGATGCATGATTGTTTACACTACAAAACATCACACACACACACACACACACACACACACACACTTCTTTGTCTTTTTTTCCCTTCAAGTTTTTGGGGGGGGGGGAAGTCTTAAGTTGAATTTTAATACCTCATTGATGCTAAGACAGACTCATAATTCTAACAGCATTTATAAATATATTTACAGACTACTCATTAGTAAAATTTTTACAATAATAATAGGTGTTATGGAATATGAATCCCTGTAGTCATTAGATTAATCTTCACCCACACATATAAAGTCAATTTTTTAAACATAGTCGAAATTAAAGAAGAGTTTACACAGATATGATATCATTAATATAATCCGGCGAAAAAAAAGTAACTTAAGACTCTAGGAATTTTTTTTTTGGTAATTAACCGAGTTATCATGCTTTAATAAGACTTAAAAAGATACTTTCAATGTCAGTTGAATCAAATTCCCGACTACCTCACATATTCTACGGTGGGAATCGATAAATTCATATATTGGTAATAAAAATATTTAGATATAAGAGTTCTCTCTAGAAAAATTAAAAAAACTCTTAAATTTTAAAATTATAAATTAATTTTGTTTACTACTCCATTTAGGAGGTGTTTGGATAAAACGAAACCATGGTTTGGAGAATAGTATCTGGAGAATAGATTCTTAAGAGAATAGATTTTGTGACCAAGTGATTCTGATAAAATGAGAGTATTTGGATAATTGTTATCAGAAACATTTTTTATATGTGCTGATTACTAAAAAAAGCATAAATTAATAGGATAATTACATAAAAGATGAATTTTATAATATATTTTAAATGAAGGAATACAAATGTTAATAATATATTTTTTACCAATATAATTAATGACATATAAGATAATATAATTAATAAGTAATTAATATTTGTATATATATTTATAAAATATAAGATTAAATATGTTTATAAAAAAATAATTGAAGGATATTAAAGTCATATTATCATTGAGATCTACTCTAACAAGTATAATCATAGTCTTCAATTTGAACAAGAAGCAGAATGGATTCACTTTTTTTAAAATCATGATTTTGAATCCAAAATCATGGTTTTGGCCTCAAACTATGATTTGTCAATTTTGCCTCCTGTTTGGCAACTTTTTTACCCAAACCATTATTTGGAATGTTACCCAAATAGGCCCTTAAAAAGTAAATGACAACACATTTTTATATAATTATTGATTTGGAATTTTAAAATTTAAAAGATAATTTTTTAAATTTTTTTCTTTTTAATATAAGTGGTGCTGAAGTAGCAAGTCTTGTCCAACTAAAATTTTTGGGGAATGGTGAATTGATTGTGGATCTCATATTATTGTGCTACGGTGCAGAATTCATCGCTTTTATCATTCAAATTAATTGGTTGGACATTGATGACTTTTCACCATAGTGAATGAACCAAACATCGAATTAAGGTTATATACAAGAATTGAGGAGAGGTTCTTGAAATTATTTTTACAATCAATTAGAGTTCATATTATGTATATATATATATATTAATGTGATAATATAATTATAACAATTAAATAAGAAAATAATAGTTTATAATTAATTGTAGTAGTCTAATAATTAATAATTAATGAAAGATAAAGTTAATTAGTCACTTTTTATATGATTTTTAATCAGATCCTTGTAATTTTTCCTTTTCTTATTAGATCCTTACAATTTACTAGTGCCAATGCTCATAATCTTTTAACTAGGACGGTTAAGTGACACGTAAATTACATAAAATAAAAATTATTATACTAACAATTATCTCCCTGCATCCGCAGTCCGCACATAGTTGTGATATAATTGATTTTGATTTTATTTAGATTTATATGTCAAAATTAATCGTTCTCTTACGAATTGATAAATTATGAGTATATGTGTCAATCTATATAACTGAGCAAACTATGAGAAATTAATAATAGAAGTAGAATGACATAATTAAAAATGAGTTGGAAATAAAATTGATTTGCTCTTTTTCTTTTTGGTAATTACCCAATGTAGTGAAATTAGTAACAAGACTAAAAGTATATATTTAGTCCTTTAATTTTATTTAATGTTTTAGTTTGATACCTTAACTCTAAAAAGTAAATATTTAGTCATTTAACCTTAAAATTAATAGTCTTAAATGATGGTTTTTTATAACAATAATGGTTATTTTAAAAATTAGACTTAATATGTTAGTATTTAATAGTGTTTTATCAATATTTTAAAGCTCAGTATAATCATTTTTTGTTATTGGTTTTATGTTTAGATGATTAAAAATTTACTTTTTAAAATTAAGAAACCAAAATGAAATCTTGTGTAAAGTTAAAACATTAAAAGTATACTACCTCTGATCCTAATTATAAGAGCTAGTTGACTAATTTGAGAAGATTAAGAAAATAGATTAAGTTATTTATTTATAATAAACAGATATTGTGTTTCCTAAAATCTCCTTACTAATCAAATGTGTTAGTTAAAATTATTATTATTAGAAGGAGTACCTTGAAAAAAAATACATAAATATTATAAACAAAATGGATTGAAATCTTATATTTAAGATCAAAATAAAAATCAAATAAGGCCTTATATTAAAAATCAGAGGTAGTAATTCATACTAATAACAAATGTTTTAAATTCAATAATAATCATTGTACTTCTCATATCCTTAATATAAGACACATTTAACTAATTGATTAGATTAAGAAAGTTAGGTAAGTTAGTTAATTATAAGAAAAGTGACACATTTTTCTTAAAATACCATAATCATCTTTCTTAATACCTCTCTCCCTCTTCTATTTAATTATGGTTGATAGAGTATCTATAGAAGTAATTTAGAGAAAATTAATAGATATAAAAAATAAATCTTATATTTAGAACTAAAATCAATTCTAAAATTAAGTTTTATATTAAAGATTGCAGGGTTAGGATATTACTTAAAAGTAGATCTTTCCGATTCATAATTATACTGGGGGACGCGACAAAAGTGGGAAATTGCACAATGCTTCGGAGGTATGGTGTGACGAAAGCAGCATGGCTTGGCGTGATTTGATTGTTTAGACTCAGAAAAGGAGTCTCTAATTAATTTTTTATTAAGGGAAAAATATATATAATTAAGTGCACGTCGGCCAAACCTGGATATCTAATCAGACAAAAGCATTCTTCGGCCGAAAAAAAAGAGAGGACAAAAGCATTCCACGTTCAGTTGCAATTGCGCAGCCCACCAATGTCACTTTTTTTTTGATCGAGTCATTATTTGTGCATTTTTTTTTGGTGCACCAACCAAGAGGGTTGTGATTGAAGGGACGTGAAGTGACAAATCTTACACAGAAATGAACTAAAGTTGCATTTTTTTTTATTAATACAAACTCTGATCCATTAAAGTTATTTTTGTTTTTATTTTTATTTTTTAAATTTTAAATTATAAGTTTTAGTATCTAAAATTTTATTTCATTTAAGATATTAGTTCTTATAATCCAATAAAAATTTAGAATATTTTACATTTGAAATTTAAAAAACTAAAATTAAAATAAGAACAAATTTAAGAAAACAAAAATTATATTAGCTTTCGTTTTTTTGGTACATTTTACCTCGCAACATAAATATACTTGGGGCTTTTTTCACCCTGTATATATATTTGCATTGCTCCATGCTCTTTTGGGATAAAACTTCCTTGTAATTAAAAGGTTGTAAGTTGTTCCTCTTTATGTAACTTCCCACTGTTATTGTCTCCTTCTCTAATTTTAATTCTAAATAAAAACATTTACATTCACAGGTTCAATTGTCCCATATTGGCCTCAGCAAGCTGCTCGATAGTAAGGTTACCCGTCACATTTGAATGGAATTTCGAGTTTAAATCTAATGTTGATGTATTTTTACGTGTTTAAATTTCCTATAATCGAACAAAAGGCATAATGCATTTATACCAAAAGGCATAATGCATTTATAGCAATTAAGGCATAATATAACATGAGTTTTATATTTAGGACTGAAAAAAAATATTGATGTTCAAATCAAATTCTTCCTATTCAAAATATAAGCGTTAAATAACTAATTTAGACAATTCAAAACGTTTGTTAAAATTAATTAAAGATAATAAACATATAAAAATACAATTTATTTTTGTAAAACACCCTTATTTATAGATAAAACAAGTGGGAGAGAGAACGAGTGCTGAATGAGTGGAAAAAAAGAGATGATAAAGACATATAGTTAATTATGGGGTAAAAATGAACAAAATGTATTAAATGATCGGATAAATTCAAAATGATACTTATAAAAACGAACAAACACCTTCAAATGTTTGATGCTTATATTTTGAATTAAAGGCAATATTAATTAATTAGCTATTGTATGTTCCATGAAGTGATCACCACACATATCTGCGATCTTTTTATGAACTCTTCCATCATGCAAAAAGGAAGATAAAGGTGTCATTTGTGGATGTAGAGAACAAAAACAAAAGCAGCAAAACTTTTATAAGAATAATTAAGAAAATTGAAAGACGCTGGCCAGGAATGATTAAATGTCGGCAACTAATTATCATTTTGATACATTATTATAACAGTTCACTGTAATTTTAAATTATCCACCTCGTCGAAAATTTAAAGAAGAAGAAGGAAATGGAAATAGTAAGAATGAAATCGACTTCTGAATTTTATAATTTTTGTGCACATTTAGGGACCAAGCTCCATATTTCTAACTATTGGAAATTTTTTTTTTAAAAATGAATTTTACTTTCTGAATTTTATCTGAGTCTTTATTTAGTTTCTAACTTTTGACTTATTACAAGTCACTTCTTGTAGTTTGTTAAATTACTGAATTACAGGAATTGGGTTGTTTAAAGTTAACTATGGGGACTAAGTTGTTTCAAATTAAGAAACTACATGAATCCAGTTGTTTGAATTAAAGTTTCAGGATTTAATTGAAGTGAAATTTAGGGATTAAAAGTTATGCTCATTTAGTCTTTAATATAAGACCTATTTAACTAATTTGATTATACTAAAGAAGTTAGATAAGTTAGTTAATTGTAAAAAATATGACATGTTTTTCCTAAGACACCATCATCATTTTTCTTAATATTCCTACTCTCTCTTCTACTTGATTATGGTTGAGGGAGTATCCATAAGGGTAATTTAAAAAAAATTGATAAATATAAGAATTAGGTCTTATATTTAGGACCAAAATCAAATCAATAATTAGGTTCTATATTAAGGACCGGAAAAGTATTTTTTTTTTTGGAAAAATTAAATGAGTTATTTTAGACAAATTTTGAGAAATGAGTTGAACATATAGAAAAGAGTTATGCTATTACGCACCGTAATATAATTACACATGGCCTTGTATGTTAATAACCATTGCACTACCGTTCAAGGTGTTTATTTTGAAATGCAATTTCTTAAAATAATTATTTTAAAAACAATTTTATAAAATTGTATTGAGAATAATAAAATTAAAAATATAAACAAACAGCCCCTACATTTTTGGGGATTTGTTTTCAAAATATATTTGAAGTTTATGAAAAATGTAGACTCATCATTGAAAAGTTTTTGGAATACTAGGAAATCTCATTGAGCGGCTTGCTGCAACTCTATGCCCCTATACGCTAAGTAGCATAATTTCTTGTGACACGCACCAACAGATGGGATAATATTGGCATTCCATTTCCTCCCAACTCTTCCATTCCCAACACAAATTAAGGAGAAGTCGGATCCTTTCCTTTTTTGCCAGCGAATTCGGATCCTTTCCTGTCAATACCCATTGTTTCCTTCTATCAGAAAGCTTCCTACCAAACCTGGGAGGGCTGTCACCTTAAGAGGATATTTAGGTAGAAACCAAACCATGATTTTAAAAATAATTTTATGGTATATAAAATACATATATAAAAGAGTTTATCTCAATTTGTGAAAAAATACTTTTAGAAAGCACTTTTAAACATAGCCAAACACCCTCTAAACATAATATTTAGGCAATTTTGGGAATTTGAAAGCGTTAACTAATTTTGAATGATTTTTTTTAATTTATATTGTTAACCGACCTTTATAATAAATTCTGGATATACAGGCAGTTTAGTGCATAAGACTCTCACCAAACGGGATTTAGGAAATGATAGATGTACACAGACTAGCCCACACAATCAAAGAGGCTGTTTCAAGGATTAGAAATTCTGGATATGAGACAGCAAGAATAACTAAGCACTTGCAAATAAAATCCTGACTTTTAAACTCTATGCATGCTAATAGAATAAACTGATGAAGTGTGAAAACAAAAAGACAGCTCAGACAGGGGAATGTTGTGCGGTAACTAATAATGTCAAAAGGATAGCTGTGATGTGAGTAACACATACGTGCGGATAAAAAGGGGTGGGAGTTGCTTTTCTGATGTTAACGAATACTGATGTTTCTCTTCATTCTCTCTTCCCCAACCTCTCCCTACAATGACTTTGTCGTCACATTTATTAGCAAGTTTTTGCGCCCATGAGAACAAGAATACTGGAGGAATTAAGACATCATATAATATCGGAAGACTTCTCTAAATCTCTAAATAAATCAGTCTCCTGTAATGTCAAAATCACATGTGATGACCAACATTTTCTATTCTAACAATTCATCAAATACACATAGCACTCTAGAGTCCAGATAGAGACTACCAATACTCTTTGCTTCAGAGCAGATGAAATAATAAAAATCTTGAGTATACACATTACATCACAGGGTTAGCTCACTCGTCATCCTTGTATGGGTACTCTTCAGGAACTTGCTTGAGGAGTTTTACTTGTAACTCAAAGACATCATCACCCCGAAGCATATCACGGACCCATGTAACCTCAGTCTTCATGGACACCTGAATATGTACATATAGAGGGTGAAGAACCATGAATTGAGTAACAAGTACATGATCTCAAAATAAACAAGAAATAGCAATTAAAGTCATGCCTCCCTTCCTCAAGGATTAAGAATGATATTATTATGTTTTATGATTAAATTAGAAGTTCATTTCAAATGATGAGTGTCTGTCTCTAAGAATTCAGCAAACTAAACTTCCTCAATCAGAGAAAAATTTCAGGGAAATGTTCACTAGCTCTCTTTATTGCGCTTGAGTAGAAGTCTTAAATTTAGAATAACAGCAAACTAAAAGAATTATAACAGAATATAACACCAAAAAAAGGTAAAGGCCAAGTGATAATGCTAAATTTTGATAGACAAGGTTGTTTCGAGCAACTCATCTATTCAAATGCTTCAGATAGCCGTCAATTAAGGGAGAAGCAGCTCAAAATTCTATACTCTTCCAGTCTTCTAAGTCTGATGCCTAAAACAGACTACTAAAATAAACGCGTTGGAGTTAAATGTCAAAATGGGATCATGTGGTAACAGAAGTTTACCATCTCCAAGGCACCTCTGATAACTCCACTTAAGATGTTGCAATAGTAAAGACCTTGACAGGTATCAGGAAGCTCAACAAAGTCCACCAAAGGATTATCCTCCAAAACAATGCTGCAGCACGTACCTTCAGCATCCCAATTGGTCACAGAAGCAGTAACACCAAGGAACATCTTGAAACCGACCTGTATTAAAAAGAAACAAAAATCAAGATTATTTTCTTTTCTAACTTACCCTTTAGGATCCAGATTTGTATTTTAGTTCACTAATGCATCAGTGCACAGGCGTGCACTGCCTGGCCAAACTAAAGCAAAGCGTAGTCCATTCTCATAAAGGTTACCATGCTGATCAACATCTATACCAGTCAATCCACTGTATCATCTTTAAACCAGACATCAATAGCCCATACCAATTGTGTCATGTAACTAAAACCAGATAGATATAACTAGGTTCAAAGGGATTGGGCATTGAAAGATCGTCAGTGCATTCACTTTAACATGTTAGCCGTCAAGATTGATGTACATAATGTGTGTGACCAATATGCTACCTATTTGCTATAATAACAACAAATGACAACGAAAGATGTTCAAGAGCTTAGATCATAATTCTTAAAATTTACACACACACACACACACACACACACACACAAACAAGCGAAGCAAAGAACCATACCATCATGTTGTAAGAATCAATTACAACTAAGTCATTGGAATTAGTTCTCTTTGCTAGCGTTTACAAGAACTAACTTTTCATACTTGGCTATGCATGTTATACGTATATCATGCAAATGCTACCTAGAATAAATTTTCCACAAAAAGGCCTTGGCTAAATAACCCATCCTCAAATAGACTTTTAATCTATACAAAAATTCGCTTGTTATATCTGGCACAATCCATAAGAAGAGTTCTTAACTGACACAGCTATCACCTCCATCCCATTTAAGGCTCCAAAAAAGTTGTGGTTTCTTCAAGTACTTCCCGATGAAATAAGTATAACCATATAATTAAGCACTGCGCAACGTATTGTGAGTGTGTTAATGGGTCAATGATCAGTCTAGTTTTTAGCTTAAAAACTAGTTGCTTACCATGTCAAACTGATATTAATTATGCACCGAGAAAACCACTCAAATTATGTTCAGACTTGCCAGCCAAAGACATAAAACAAAGATAACCACGACAACATTAAGAAGAAAGGTATTGCCAGAAAAAAGTGATGTCCCTGTTACTTCTTTCTGTTTTACGTCAATAAGTACTAGAGTGAAAAATGTGTTAGGGGCCTTAGAAGAACACGCGTAATTTTAGTACATGTTACAATTCACATGACAGTAAGAAAAAGAATTTCAGAACAATAGTCACATGTTTTAGGGTGGTTAGTGGCTCCTCATTTCTCACCTAGAACCACTCCTCATTAGATAAGTCCCCTGTGTTTATTGCACTGAATGTTAAAGAATTTAAATGACAATAGAATACCTTTGCTATTACTTCAGCAGTTTCTTTGAAGTCAACACATCTTGAGACATTAGATTTAGCCAAAAACTCATCAATCAAACGGGTTCCAATATTATAACCCCTGAAAACGAATCAAGCACAAGTAAATGAATAAATTGTCACCATCAAATCTAAAAACTGTGTGAATACGTAAATAAAATTATTCGCAAGACTATAACCTCCGGGGAAAAACATGATCCGAATTAACAAAATGAAAGCAAAGGGTAAAAGTATATGAAGAACTTGCTACTTATATCAAACTGAAAATATATCCAGACAACAATGCAAATAGAGATTTTTCTCAAAAAACAAGAAGAAGAAGAAAGAAAGCAAGAACGAACGAAATTGAACAACGCTGAATCAGATACAGAATCTCAAAAGAGGTTCTCAATTGTACATTTGGTCAAGCTGTTTGTTAACCTCCTCAACTTCTTCCAGATCTGTAAGCAATTGACGCACGATCGCCCCGTACGTTAAAGTAAACAGCTCCGCATTCTGCAGAAGCGTCCCGTACGTTAGTGCAAACAAAGTTGAGAAAGGCATCCATCAAAAGATTATCGAGCCAAAGTTATTATAAAACTTGAAAAAGAGAAAAACATATTGCGGCCTGCAGGATCGATTAAATTATGATCGGTTAGACATAGAGGAAACCGTGCATTTCCCAGATGTGATTATCCGGGATTTGTCGGGAAACAAATAGATAATGAAACATAGAAGGGGATTGCTTCTTACCACACGCTCAACACTGGCGAAAATCGCTTCACCGGATCTAGGACCAACGGGAGCCATTGCCGGACCTCACTGCGCTTGCTCGGAGGAGTATGGTAGTTACGGGCGCATCGATGAACAAGTGCTAATCGTTTTCGAACTGTAGACTGTGGACTGGGTAGTGTAATTCTGTGGTCCGAGGACGCAAACCCAAATAAAACCCATAGTTGACTCGGGCTTCAGAAATTTTTTTCCTTTTTTGGGCCAAAATTCTATTTTAAAATTTTTAGACGAAGAAGTTTTTGACAAAAGATTTGGATCACCTTCTCGTAGTGGCATGAAGGGTTGATGGTTATTAAGCCCATAAGCAATCAAGGTTGATGGTTTGAGTGTTGTTAAAAATTGTCAGCATACCAACAGAGTTGAGTTTGGCAAAAAAAAAAAATCTCTCATCATATAATGAACTAATGTTGGAATCTTCATTAAAAGATATATCAACATTTACTGCTCGACTTGAATAGAAGTGGAGAATTTTTTTTTTGGACTCAGAAGTGGAGAATAGTTATATACAAAAAAAAAAAAACGTCAACATATTTATGATTCAAACAATTTAATGTAATTAAAATATATAAAATATTCATATACTACTTTCGAGACTAATTATAAGAGCTAGTTGACTAATTTGAGAAAATTAAAGAAATAAGTTAAGTTAGTTATTTGTAATAAATAAATACTCCTCCGGTCCTTAATATAGGACCCAATTCTTAAGTTGGTTTTGGTTCTAAATATAAGACCTATTTTTTATATTTATTAATTTTCTCTAAATTACCCATATGGATATTACCTCAACCATAATCAAGTAGAAGAGGGAGAGAGGATATTAAGAAAGATGATTATGATGTTTTAGAAAAAATGTATCGTTTTTCTTATAATTAACTGATTTACCTAATTTCTTAATCTAATCAAATTAATTAAATGGGTATTATATTAAGGACATGAAGAGTATTGCTTTTCTTTAACAAAAATAGATAAATATAAGGAACCAAATGAATTAAAATTTTATATTAAAATTAAAATAAAAATTAAATATGGTTTTATATTAAATATCAGAGGTAGTATCATTTATAAATATTGACCAAGGTTTTATGAGACACCCGCACACACCCATGTACATGTACATCGTCCGCTTCCACCGTTTGATTCTGATGATGATCATGATTTTAACGGTGTGATTATGCTCCGTGCTCGACTCTGGGCCTAGAGAATGATTACTTTATGTCCATTGACATGATTACCCTTGCTCCAAAATACAATCTGCAATCTCAGAGAAACAAAAGAAGCCTCTACTCGCCCGATGCTCCGTAAAAGTCTACTTGTGCGTACGTGGCATGGTTTAAGGAGCGCGTGTGTTTTCTTTCGTACTTCCGAGAGTGTAAGTTTGCATTCCCTCATGATGTTTGTGCAAGTGCCTACCGCCTGACCGAAAGCATCCCTTACGTTTATCTATTTTTTTGTCTCTGTGAAGGCTTTTTTCAATCTTCTCCTCCCTCTTAACCAGACCCACGCTTCAGAGAGAGAGAGAGAGAGAGAGAGGGTTCAGCCTTATCCAATTTAGGGTTTCGGATCATCTCCGCTCAGTTTCCGACGCATCGGAACCCTAATTTAGGATCAGGTAATTTCTTTCTTGAATATTTTGGCTTATTATTTAGATCTAATTTTGTTCTCATCGATCTTTAGACTTGGTTTTGGTCCTTCGTCGTTAATCTGTAATATTCGGTCTGATTGATTATTCTTGGAACCTCACGGTGTTTGGGGTTCTTATTTGTTTTGATCTGATGTTTCTGGCCGGAGTTGGGTATTTGGTCGGATTGAGAGATATTTCTTTTCCTCAAAATACTTGTTTTTCACTGCGTTTTTTGTCGTGTAGGTGCCTTGATTTAGATCCCGAGGGGCCTACGGGGATAAAATTGCGATCTTGCTATTGTGTCTTGTTTTGTGCCTAATAAGTAAATGCTTAAGCTGTACAGTTTTGGCTCAAGAGCGAAGGATTTTTTTTTTCTTTTCTGCTTTCTTTCTTTCTTTCTTTTTTGTTGCTTTTGTGGAATCATGTGAATTTAAATTAGTTTGACTATTTTTGTCTATACCTTCTTCGTTCTGTATTCTTGTTACCTTGTATATAAGCTAACATAATTCTCTGCGCTCAGGTCTGAGCAATCTGGTCGGTAGGACCTTCAATCCAGGAGAGCTAAATTTCATGTCTGAATTAGACGCTCAGATCCCTACTGCCTTTGGTATGTTGTAGTTTCTTCATGTTTTGTCGTTGGTTAGTTTTCCTCATTGGAAATGTTGAGATTTTGATTTCGGTGTTTGACGTGGATTCACTTTATTGTTTATTTTTTGGACATTTTTCTAGGAATTCTTCTAGGTTTTTGGCTTTCATGGAAGGGCATTTGTTCTGACTGCATTATTTGGGTTTATTGAATAATAATCATAATTTTAATACTGTAAGCTGTGTTGAATGTATGGAAATCATTTGCAGATCCGTTTGCTGAGGCAAATGCTGAGGACTCAGGTGCTGGAGCAAAGGAGTATGTTCACATTCGCATACAGCAGCGGAATGGTAGAAAAAGCCTGACAACTGTCCAGGGATTGAAGAAAGAATTCAGCTACAACAAGATACTTAAAGACCTCAAGAAAGAGTTCTGCTGCAATGGCACTGTAGTCCAAGACCCAGAGCTCGGACAGGTTGGTGTTGACAACTATTATCAAACAATGCTCTATTATTTCTTCTATTGACAAAAAGTTGCTGTCTGTAGGTTATTCAACTTCAAGGTGATCAGAGGAAGAATGTGTCTACCTTCCTTGTTCAGGTGATGATCATCTTAGCTATGTTTCTATGCTGCTCTGAATTAATTTCTGCTTTTAATGATATATTCTGTTGGCTTGGCGCTGCTGCTTGTTGGCTAAGAAAAGTGCTTATAAGGACTGTTCCATTATGTTGGGTCATCTGTTTTTATAAGTTGGGAGCAATTATCTTTCTTTGATATGATTGAACCGATCTACCATTTCATTTGGGTAAATCAAAACCTTCATTGGTTAGTAACATTGCAATCTTGTTTAGTCCGTGTTCTTCTAATCAAGGTCTAAATCAAATACTAGTAATTTACTTCATTAAAATGAGGCTGTGGTGATGTGGATGGATTGTCATGACTGGTGCACGTCATCTATTTTTTCATAAATAGATGGATGTATATCTGGGATGGGGTGTACAGTGGAGGATTTATTCGCTTTTAAGCGGACTTTAATTGGGGTGCTTGGAGTAATTTTCCCCAGAGGGCTTGGTTAGTCATTGTATCAAGATGTTTTGGAGAGCGCGGAGCATGGTCATTTATTGCTCCTAATCTTTATGCTCCCTTCCTCAAAACTGTTTTTGGACGCAATCGTAGTGATTAAACTATTGGAGAACTTGTTTTTCTATTTTTATTGCCTCATTGGATGTTTTTATTGTGCACTGAACAGGCTGGTATCGTGAAGAAGGAGCATATCAAGATTCATGGTTTCTGAGCTGCTGGAAGCTTGATAATCAACTCTTACCTGCCTCGGTCCAGTCAGGCTCTTGTGCTTGGTCTTTTTAGATGTTATTTGTTGTTTCTAGACTTTGTTTTCTAGCGTCTGTTATGTGGGGTTATGGAAGCTATGACGTTGCGTGTCATTGTTCTTAATAATGTGTGTCAAAGAACTTTAAAGCAGTCTCGCAAAATATTCCTGTTTCTTTTTTTCAGATGATTTACGGACTTGGTATGGCATCTGGTACTCATGATTCTAGTACAAGTTAGTAAAAGAACTCGGCTTTTAAACATATAAAGCTGATCTTGTTCTAGATGAACTTAATGGTTAATTTCCACCGGGTGAAGGCTAGGAATTGAAAATGGTTGTTCGACCTTTATTAATTTGTAGATTTCCGTTTATGTCGATTTTGTGCTCGGGTTATAGGCGTCCCAATCGAATTAGAAAAGAACAACTTGTATATGGCTGGCATTGAAATTTCAATAATGAAAGTCTCAGGGCTGGGTTTAATGGATGAAAAACTTTAGTCTTCTGTTACTATCTCCTACATCAGGTTGGTTATACTGCAATTGGTTTGATTCAACTGGCGAGGAATATGTAGGTAGAATTTCTCACCCGAAGCGTCTTTACTGCCTCTAATAGGCAGCATCGAAGACCCAACACATTTTCATATGGTATGTTGTTTTGTTAGTATTGGGTCCTTGTAGTATTTAATAGTTACCTTACCTGAAATAAATTTATTTTGTTCAACAACACCCAAGAAGATTCTGTCCGTAAAAAGTGTAAGTATAAATTGTTCTCAAATTTTGTACGATTATAGAAAACAAATCCTAATAATTTGAGATCTCTCTTTTCAAAGAAAATTCGATATGTTTTTTTATCAATATTCTAAAAGGGTAGATCTTATTCATCAAAATTATGTAGAACTAATACTAATAAATTGTGCAATTATATAGAACCAATTCGATCGCATTTAGCCTGTGAGAAATTATAATAAAATCTCTGGATAAGATGAGTCCGTGAATCATATGATCCGTTACTTAATCTCACACACTGTTTTTATGAGATATCAAATTATTCGTAGGAAAAGACGGCTTAATGGTAATGGCAATTCCAAGGAAAAGATTACTCCCAACAAAAAAAAAACTCAACTGGTTTTATTTATAAGATATTTTTAGTTTATTTCACATAGATTAAAAAAAATCTTAAAATTCATTAAGTTTTTATTAGAATATAATAAATTTCTAACCTTATCTTAATTTAATATATACACTTTTAAGACACATTTTGAAGACTTGTTTTTCTCCCTTTTTGTTACCTATATAAGATTCAACTTGGTGTCATATGATGAATTCACAATACCACTTTAACATTAACATTGTTTATGATATTTTAATAGATTTTGACATTGTTATATCCACGAAGACTACGTTTTAAGATAAATTAAATTTTAAGAACTAAAATTATGAGTTTAAAATTTGAAGGACTAAAAGTAAAATGAGTCCAAATTTAAGGCACAATAAATTAGTGCTGGTCACAAAATAAATCCTAAGAAGAAAGTTCAATAATTTCTTGAGGAACGAAGCTCCCAACGACGTCGTCGCCGAGAGCTGTACGGTACCGGAACTCGTCAGTCGTCAGTTCTCGGTTCGGCTTCAGCGATTTATGTCTCGGTCAAGTATCGTCAATATCTACGCTTTCCAGAAATCAATCTTGTGATTCGATTGCTTGCAAAGCAAACCGAACAGAGAATTTCGGAACGTACTTTTTTTTTTTGGGGGGGGGGGGAAGATTTGAAGAAATGGAAGAAATACTGCTTGCTATTCTTTCGATGCTTCTCGTCGTAGCATTGATTCCGTTGTACCTTTGGAAGCGCGGTCAGGATTCTCGATCACCTTCTAATCAGGATGAGACTCATGAGGTTTCCAACTGCAAACATCAAATTTTCTTCGATTTCCCTATTATATCTTGCATTCATCAAGTTCTCTCTCTCTCTCTAACCTTGCAGGAACCTCGACAGGAAGCTGTGGTACGTGCCACTGGCACGCGTCGAATGCGTCGTAGACCGGCTGCTTCTGGTGCCAGCTCTTCATCAGCTACAGCGGCAACAGTTGAAGGTTGGTTATATAATTTTTGCGTTATTTACTTAGATCAAATTGTAAAACATATTATTTAGTTTGTTGTTTCTGCTCTCTTCATTATATTTTGTGATGTTTTATTTTATCAAAATCTCATGTATAGTACAAAAGCATCTGTAATTAAAATACTTAAGTTGGAATGGAAATTGAGATTTTCGTTAAAAATAAAATTTGGTGCAGAAACTGTAGAGGAAAGTGACGATGAAGGTGCTGGCGCTGGGTATTATGGGGCTAAAGCGTCAAAGAAAAGGGAAAAGAAACGGCAAGAGAGGGAAGCTCGCCGACAGGTATTGTTCAAACCTTTAGTACGTGTATAGGACGCTGATTTCTCCACTAGAATATGTATTCCTGCTTCCTATTAAACCGTGCTTAGAAATGTGAAGGGGAAAACAGTTTGTACATTTTGTTTACTGAAAGTATAAAAGGCTGTTCTTTTGCGGTGTCCATAATTGAAAGAGAATATGTTATTAAGGTTTTATCAGAATCTTATAGTGGATTGTACATGAATTCCTTGCATTGAGTTTCTAAAACTATATTGTAATTTCTGGGCTTTTCTGTTAAATGAAGTTAAAATCATTCCTTGCATTGTGGTTCTTTATTTTGGAAGGCTGAAGAAGCTGCACGGGAGTCAAGGCAGACAAAACAAGACCATTATGCAGAGATGCGGAGGAAGAAGGACGAAGAGCGTGAGGCAGAGGAGCGTAGGCTGGTGGGTTTATATTACTGCTGATTTACGTTCAGGATTTTCTTCTTTTACGTTTGTTAATAGCAGAAGTTTGACCATGTTTCACATAGGAAGAGGAAGCCAAAGCTCAGAAAGCCAGGGAGGAGGAAGCTGCTGCATTAGAGTTTGAGAAGTGGAAAGGTGAATTTTCAGTTGATGATGAAGGTACTATGGACGAAGCGCAAGATGGTAATCAAGACTTGCTATCAGACTTTGTTGAATATATAAAGGTGATTCTCTATTCCTCCGTTCCATCTTTATGAAATTCTTAGTTTCCTTATTTTTCTTCTTATTAAATATGTGAAATTCATATATTTCAGCAGGGCACCAAACACTAGTTAGCTTATATTTGCATTGCCACGTTCAAAGAGTTTTTATAGCCATTTTAATTTATTTGTAATAATTGTTTTATCATCCAGAAGCACAAATGTGTTCCTTTAGAAGATCTTGCTGCCGAATTTAAATTGAGGACGCAGGTACATTTTCTCTTCTTAAACCTTTCAAGTGCCTTGTTTTCCACTTTATTTTCTCTTTCATTATATTTACAAAAGCCTATGGATGAAATACAGTAAGAGTGAATTCTGGATGAAATAGAGTAAATAATTGTGAATTCTACTGTTATCAATTACAAGTAATTAAAGCCAACTATCTAGTTTATGGCTTTTGGGAGGCAAAGGAGCGTAGAGTTCTCTGGCATTTTGTAGTCTTTGCAGTTTTTTTGGTGTCTTTGATTGGAGTGGAATGGTAGAGTATTCATTAAGCAATTCCTTCTATCACATTGTCATTAAGAGAGATTTTTTAATATATATATATATTTTAAATAAGGACCATAAGTTTGCAGAAATTTCAATTGAAGACCTAAAAACACATTATTTTGAAGGGCTAGAGGGTCTTAATTAGCGGACAAAAATGTTCTTTAAGAAGCTTATAATCTGGTAGTGATAGTGATAAACTTGTTTTGTAACTTTAGGATGTGAGATGCAAAAGGCTCTTTTGGGGGGTGGGGAAAAGGAGGAGGGTGGTTTCCTGGTTGCCCTTGTGGAATTAAGGGATCGACAGGCTCTTCTGAGTTGGAGCCTGGGTGGTTTTCTTTTTTAAGTGGCTTTTGATTGTATAGGAGCGTTTATCCTTTGTTTTTTGTACATTTTTAGTAAATTCTCTTCATAATTCATATGGAAAAAAGTGATCAAAGCCCTATTTCTGAATCACTTTTTTTTAGTTTGTACTGTCTCAGTACATTTTGTTGATTTGTTCGCTGGCCTTCCTTTCCTGATATAACCCCTAAACTGGTACAGGAATGTATTAATCGCATCGCCTCCTTGGAAAAGATGGGTGAGTTCCACTATTTCTTTCTTTCGGAGTTGGGTCAAAAATTATGTCACATCCAATGATGAAAAGCTACAAATGGACCTCCTATGGCTGCACTTATACGAAGGCATCTCTGATTGAACGACTAGACGGAATGTTAATAGCAGTTGATACACACTTGTCATCACTTGTTTGATTTTTTTTTTTGTTGACATTTTTATTTGTGGCTGCAATGCATCAGTAATAGAGATCAATGTTATGATTGTCATGGTACTTTTGTTTCATATCGATGCATGCGCTGTTTGAGATTCTATTGGGTTTTGCATTATATATAGCTTGATCCCTTTCAAGGTATATATTATCGTGTGCTCTATTTTGGGTATCAGGAAGGCTTTCTGGTGTCATGGACGACAGAGGAAAATATATTTACATCTCTCTGGAAGAGATGCAAGCTGTTGCTGACTATATTAAGAGGCAGGGGAGGGTTAGCATTTCTCACCTCGCCAGTAAGTCCAATCAGTTTATTGATCTGGAGCCTAAGTCCCAGCATATTGAAGACATTACTACTGTGGATGAGATTATTGCCAACTAGCATCTTTGGGGTAGATGAAGCTATGCCAAGACAAAGGTGGAGATCATCTTCATTCTGTATTATTTTCCTAGACAAGGTATATGCTACAACACTAAAAAGAATGCAATGATGCTGGTAGTGGTTTTTTATGGGGAAAATTATCAACTTGATAGCATTCTTGTGTTGATATTCAATGCTCAAGTAGCAAATTGAGGCAGCCAACTTTTTGCTTATGGTTTGGACTTTAGTAATATTGGCTAGGTTATTAACTGTTGGATTCTAATTTTTAAGCTTCATAGGAAAATTTCTTGAAAGACGATCTGTAAGTAAAAGGTGGACCGAAGTAATATGAAATACACTTTCGAGTGGGCTGAACGTTTCACATGTTTCTGTGTTTTCTATGATTGGTTTAGTCATATTTCTTGGGTGGCACTGTTTCCCCCCAGCTTTATTGTGTCACCGTCTGTCTTTTTCAAGTCATAGTTGCATGATTATTTAGGCCCTGTTTGAATCAGGGTTTAAAATCACTTATAATAAGCATATTTTACGTAAATGGAGATAAAACTCTTCCTATATATCTACTTTGTATTTTGTAAATTAAGATTGAAAAGTTACTTATAAAATATTATAAACGGGTTTTTATTCATTTTCTTTAGCTTCGGCAAGTAACTGCAAATAGTCAGCACCAACCGAATTTAACTGAGACAAACCATATTTCTTGAGGAAAGATGACCATGAGAGATTAATCTCACCGGATCGGTCATAGGAACAGCGACTGCACGACCAAGATGTCACCAAACACAACACGCAATAAATTTTCGGAGATCATAGTCTTAACGGCACTAATGGAATCAGCCGCCAAAATATTTGTAAACCAAACCGATCCTGAGGAGCCATGTCATGTTGGCATGCTGAATATGTGTTTGATGTTTTCTGCCTCTGAAATATCACATATTTTTACGTTTAGAAAATTCCAAAGATCAGTCACAACAAGAAGCAGCCAATAATTCCCATGTTCTCCAATCGCCTGCATATGATGTAATTAAATCAGGAAGATAAAAGTATTCGGTTTCAACGAGTACATGGTCACCTTAATGGAGCTGAACCGGAAAACCAACTAAACTAACGTGGGGAGTATTATGAATTTTGAGACTCCATATAACAGTGTCCTCCGAGAGATCGTCTCCTACAAAAACTACCTCCCCCTACTTTAACAAGAGGAAAAAAAAATTATATATTATGATAAACAAGATTCAAATAGCTGGACACCAGAAACTGACTTATGTGATCTATGTCTCTTCGCCGAAATTTAGGTTAGAGAGAAAAAACCGGGAAAAAAGTTAGCTCTGAAGGTGGAATACGCAAGGCCAAAAATAGAAGAAAGAAGAAGGACTCTGGTATATATTAGCTACCGGCAGAGATCAAGAGAGAGAAGTATCATTAAGATTGAGAAAACCAGTAAAGGCATAGCAAATTTTTTTTTTTTTTTGGGGCCAACGGCATAGTAAATAATCTAATTTTTAGAATATCCCAAATATTAAAAATGAATAATTTTTTCGAAAAAAATATATCAATGATCTTGGCAATAAATAATGACCCTTAAAAATAATTAGTTGAAAATATATCCACTTTTCTTGCACGTCCTCCGAAACAGACGACAAAATTAGAGGAATAGAATACAGGAGGACCCTGTCTCTCATTGTCCCTTCCATTTATAGTTGTTAAACTTCTCTCTCTTCATGATTCTGGGTTTTACCAGAATTCCCCCACCTTCTTTTCCCTGATCTCCTCTCCTGAGAGCCGCGTCTGAAACCGCGGCCACCACCGCTCTTCATCGATCGGACTTCTCTTTGTCGTTGCTGTTCAATTCTTCCTTCCATCATTTCCAAACCCAACCCTACAACTCAGAAAATCAAAAACTAAAAAACAAAAAAATAAAAAAAGAAGGAGGGACAGCACAAATATGAAAGTTCCTTGGAAGGCCTTCTCGTCCTTCCAATTCACATTGTTTCTATTGTTGTTTCTCTTAGCTTCTTGTTGGAATTTTGAGGTAAGTTATGGACAAGCACAAGACGATTACAACAGCGGCGGCGGCGGCGACGACAGCGAAAAGACGACAAAGAGACCGAAGGAGCTCGATAACTGTAACGGAGTCTTCTTGACGTATAACTTTCAAGGTCGGACGAAGGAGTTTCCTCATGTGAAGAACGTCTCGAAGCAGGCTTGGGCGTTTGAGGCAGACGCGTCGTTGACGAACGTCGGCGACGAGGAGGTGGTGGGGTGGAATATGTTCGTTGGGTTCCAGCACAATGAGATTTTGGTGTCGGCGGATGGCGCGGTGCTCCTCGACGCCGGCGACTTCCCGGCGAACGTGAGCAATGGGACGACGTTGGCCGGCAGCACCATGACGGACTTGAAGACGGCCATTGATACAGCGAACGATTTTGATCAAATGTCGGTAAATGTTAAGTTCAAAGGGACTATGTTTGGCTCCAAAACAGGAACCACTCCTATGCCCAAGACCATTAAACTGGTTAACGATGGCTTCAAATGCCCCGCTGCTACTCGACGACGTAACTTCTCTTTTTCCCGCCTTTTATTTTCTGGTCGCAATTGGGATTTTTTTTCCCTTAAGGTTTTTTGAAAAATAAAACGCTATGAAAAAAGAAATTAGTCTCTACGTAGAATGACTTGGTGAGACAATATTATTTTGGGAAAATTAATAGTGATGAAATTACACGGATGTAACACCATAACAACCTAATAAAAAATTATAGGATTTGATTAAAAATCATGTGAAAATATAGGAACGTGCAAATTAATCTTTGCTACCCTTCCTAGATAGTGAATACTATTGTAACCCTGATGAGAACCCAGGAATAATTTAGATATCTTGTACGTGAGAACAAGTGTTTGATATTTTAAATTGTAACAATTTGGAACATATCATTTTTTTTTATTTTATATATGCATATAATTGAATATGGCAGAGAGATGCACAAATACTTACTTTGAATTTCAGTTGTTGATGTAAAATAGAGTCGAACATGTTTGTGTGCTGCAAGAAGGACCCGAAGGCGGTGCTGAATAAGAGGAGGACCAAATTCCCTCCGCGACGGTACGGTGACATAACCATCGGCTACGACGTCCTTCAGGCCAACAAGAATAATTACTACGCTCAGATCACCGTCGACGCGTGGCACCCACTCGCCCGCCTCGACCACTGGAACATCTCCTGGGAATGGCAGAAAGGCGAGTTCATTAGTTCCATGAAAGGTGCTTACTCCCACATGAGAGATATCTCCCAGTGTCTCTACGGCACCGCCGGCAAATTCTATGGCGACTTTAACTTCAACCAGCAAGGTGTTGACTGCGACAAAACCCCCATTCTCTCCGACCTCCCCGCCACCCTCAAGGACGACGAGAAGCTCGGCAAACTCCCCTTTTGCTGCCGCAACGGCACACTTTTACCTCCGTCTCTAGACCCGAGCCGAGCTCGATCCATCTTCCAGATCAACGTCATGAAGATGCCACCGGATAACGGCATGGCCACCGCCATTACTCCTCCCTCGAAGTGGCACATTGACGGCGTCGTCAACCCGCAGTACAGGTGTAGCCAGCCCATCCGGGTTTCCCCACAAGAATTCCCTGACCCGAGTGGACTTCAGGCCGTCACCCTCGCCGTCGCCAGCTGGCAGGTGGCCTGCAATATGACGAAGCCTAAGCCCAGGGAGAATCGTTGCTGTGTATCATTCTCTGCCTATTACAACGACTCTGTAATCCCATGCAATACCTGTGCATGTGGGTGTCCCGACACCAGAAAGTGTGATCCCAACGCCAAATCGTTACTTCTTCCACCGGAAGCTCTTCTGGTTCCGTTCGTGAACAGAACGGCGAAGGCCAAAGCCTGGGCTGCTTTGAAGCACCATAGATTACCCAGAAAGCTTCCTTGCGGAGATAACTGTCCGGTGAGCATAAACTGGCACGTCAACTCCGACTCCGTCGCCGGATGGACGGCGAGGATGACGATCTTCAACTGGGACGACGACTCTTTCGAGGACTGGTTTGCGGCAATCTCGTTCAAGAGGTCGTACCCTAATTTCGATAAAGTCTTCTCCTTCAACGGCACGAAGGTGGACAACATAAGCACAGTGATTTTCAACGGGTTAAAGGATATGAACTACTTGGTGGGAGAGACGAATGGGACACATCCGTACGATCCCAGAGTGCCCGGAAAACAGCAGTCAGTGATAACGTTTAAGAAGAAGAACATTAAGAATTTTGATATCAGAAAAGATGGGTTTCCAACGAAGGTCTACTTCAACGGCGAGGAGTGTGCTATTCCTCCGTACGTCCCGATTCACAGCTTAGGGCACCGCCAAACTTCTTCTTCCATAGTTGCAGCCATTTTGGTAGCGTTGGTGACATTCCTGATGACGACGACGACGAGTTCTGGGGAAAATCCCTACTACTAGTTGTGATGATGAAAAACTTTTATGGATAAATCTGGTTCTTTTTCTTTGCTTCCTGGTACGTAAGCTTTTTCCCTTGTTTGTGTATGTGTGTGTGTATATATATATCTTCATCATCACTCTCATATATATGATGGATAAAATAATATATATAGGGGCAAAGAAGTGATGGTGCAGGCTTATGATGAGTGAAGAAGGAGGCATATAGGGATGCAAAGGGCCAGTGTTTTCTGTAAAAGGATCATGTGATGATAATACATACAGCACTTATTTAATAAGCAAAATTGTGTGTGTGGAAATTTCGATCCAGTACTTGCAATTTCTACATCTACACTTCTTATTTTTGTTATTACAGATTTATTAGTCTTTTTTTTTTTTTGTCATACGTACGTTACTGATGATGATCTCCGCTGTATTAACTAGTTCAATTTTTTTTTTAATATATGTGTAAAATATTACACTCGCAACACAGTACAGTGCACCCTCTCGAGAGCGTAATGATCTCGGCATTATTTGATTTTGATTTTATACAGTTATATTTTCCCATTTTCTTCAAAGTTTCCTTGCATCAATATTTGGTATGTGTATTGTTAATTGAATTATATAAAAATAATGTTTAATGAAAATTAAAGTTGCATAAAATAAAGCCTTGACAAAAGAGCGAATTAATGGTCATCAGTTTGCACCGCAGGGGATTGGTCTGAACTGGAATATGGTCATTGAATTCCAGGCTAATCTATATTAAATTTAAGGGAGAATCACATTAACTCCTAAAAGAATGAATTAATGACAACCTTATATATTGAAGAAATTAAAAAAAGAATGAGTTGTGAATAATAGATAGTTACAGAGAAATTAAAGAAATCTCTCGGTTACAATCTGATGAGTTCATATTTGTAACTTATTTTCCAAACAACTTTGTAGGAGGCATAATTCTCATTAATGTTGCGTTCTAACAAAAAAAAAAGAAAAAGAGCAAGCGTTTGTGAGTTGTGACTGTACGTCAATACTTTATCATTTGTAGGTTAGAAGAAAACTCTACAAATATATGATTGTTATTTTATAAGAAACTTGATATAAGTATTGTGCATAAATATTTTATAGTTTTATGTGCATATTCAACCCATGCCATAATTGTTATTACGGTGCTTGATATGACAAATCTATTACGACTTCTGTTCCACAAACAACAGATGTGGAATTGTGTGGTTAAATTAGTATTTTACACTGATGTGCGTGTGTGTATATGTATACATATGTACGTATATTATAACCAAAATGTTACACTACCTTTTGGCAAAAAAATTACACTACTCTATCTTTCGTTTTATACGATAAGAAAATATACGGGTTATTTATTTTAGATTTGTTAAAAACAAAATGTTACACTTACTAATATCTCTACCTATCTATTTTCCACTTTTCAATAATTTAAGTGTAACATTTATTTTTTTAGAATAAGTTTTTGGTCAACCTTATTCAAAGTGTTGATGAGATAAATATATCACCGTAGAGTCTGGGATTCAGATTTCGAAATGAATTTGAAGTACAAATATAGAGTAGACGTAATAAAGTGATTTTGTGGATCGAATATATAAAACTTTTGCCTAAAATATACATTTGGTCTTTTAACTTTATATAAGGTTTCAGTTTGTTTCCTTACCCTTAAAAAGTATACTTTTAGTTCTTTAACCTTAAAATTATTTTTGTAACAATTATGGTTGTTTTGAATATTAAACTTAATGTTTTAGTATTTAGTAATGTTTTATCAGTATTTAAGAGTTCAATATTATCATTTTTTGTTAATTAGAGGACTAAAAGTTTACCTTTTAAAGTTAAGGGATGAAAATAAAATCTTATATAAAGTTAAAGAATTAAGAGTATACTTTAGCCAAAACCTTTTCTCTCTGTTTCTTATTACACAACCGCATTTCTTTTGAGAGCTACTATATTATTATTCCATAATTCCATTTATTGACTGTTTTGATTTGCTTTACACAGGATTCGATGATAAATCCAATACTATTTATATTTAATTATTTTTCTTATATTTTTTTGCCATCAATTATTCTTCTTATATATCTACAGACACAAAAAATATTCATTTACCACCAATTTTTTCTTTTTAAATTTCATTCTTTCTCTTTTTTATTATATTCAGTATTCCTAACGAGTTTTTCCTAAAAATAACAAAATCAATTTTATCCACATAGATGGCCGTTGTTTAATTTCCTATACCTTTCATCTCTTCGTTTTACATATATCATTATATTACATATTACAAAGTACAAAGAATAGAAGGTTATACAAAATAATCATCAATTGTGTGCACAACCTCCGTTAATTTGTCCGAATATACAAAAAAATTGATTATTTTTTTTGACAAAATTAATGTTACAAAGAACGTACATTTTCTCTGAAGGAGGAGATTTGAAGGGGTCGCAACCATTTTTAACTTGGGTGAACTCCAAGCCGAATTTCATGAAATTAAAAATATCAAGAACTATGCTCCGTACTACTACTCTTCTTTGGCACCTGCAACATTATATTATTATCATTATATATGAAGAAAGAATACATCAACGAAAATACAAGCAAGCAAGAATATGAAATAATATATATATTTATATACAAGTGATAGAGAATATACAACCTTTTTCAAATATTTTTTGTGGAGTTTCATGGCTCCTGTGCAAGCCTTCTTTGCATCTAGATTGCCAGTCATGTCATTCAATATCTGAAAATAATAATAGTAGTGATCATTAGAAAATGGAGTAAAAAATCCCTAATAATGGTGCTTCTAATGAAGATCTGGACCTAGTGATGAATTGAGAAAGAGAGAGAGAAGGAAGAAAGGGTAATTGATTGACCTTGACGACGTCGTCAAGGCCTCGAGCCTCAGTAAGGAGTTTAGCGCTCTTATCTTTCAAGACACTGGCAACGAGGAAGACAGAGATGGGAAGAGGAGCTTCCGAGTGATTCTTCAGTTTCTCTCTCTCGTATTTCCCACACTGGCTCTTGGACTTTGCTTTCCTCTTCAATTCCTCAGGCTTCTCACTATCTGAATCTGGCTCTTCGTACATCATGAACAAGTCTGGATCATACTCTAAAGCCCACATCATCTGTTCATCATATCATCGCATATTAAAATTAATTCTCTACTATACATTCCTTTATACTCCTCCGATTCTTAATATAGGACCTAATTGTTGAGTTAGTTTTGATCCTAAATATAAAAACCATTTCTCATATTTATCAGTTTTTCTAAATTATCTCTATGGATACTCTTCAACCATAATCAAGTAAAGAGGAAGAAGGGTATTAAGAAAGATGATTATGATATTTAGGAAAAACATGTTACATTTCTTATAATTAACCAACTTACCTAACTTATTAATCTAATCAAATTAGTTAAATGGATCTTATATTAAGATCGGAGAGTACATGTGTATATACACACACATATTACCTCCCAAAGGTAGAGAGAATCACAAAAAGAGAACTCTCGACGAAACAAAACCATAAGCATTCGGAAAGCAAACAGATAATCACCTCCACCTAGATGCTCTGCACTCCATAACATTCACACATAAGTCATGTCATGAACATAATAAAGCGAAGAACCAGTAATATATACTGTAATGGTAGAAAAGTACGTACGTACCCAAATGTTCATGGAGTTTTGGATCAAGGACTTGAGTAATTGAAGCCAAAGTACTGAGTTGTGACTCCACACCCACGGAGCTATCAGTACATCTGAAATTCCCTCGCTTTAAAAAAAAAAAAAATCAATAGCATAATTAGAATGAGAGGGAGATTATAAAGTTGACACGAGCACTTAAAATACTTACAAATGAAAAACAACATATTCATAGCAAGTTTAATTACCAATCTGCGCATGAGACGTTCAAAGCACCAAAACGCATCACCTTCATCTTCCAACAGCATTATCATGGGGGAGCATAGATCACTCATTCCTGCTCAGAATCGTACGGTAATTAATGTTACACATATGTATTAGAACCCAAGAGGGTAACACTCGAGTAACAGTAAGATTGTTCATGTGAACTGGAGACTATGGATAATCTCTGCCCCAACCCCACCTGATGAGAGCCCTATACTCAGGCTGCCCTTTTATACGTACGTATTAGAAACCCTAATGGGCACATAACTCAACAATTAACACTGACCTTGACAGTAACCAACATCTGTATCGACCCAAGCATAAACGGCCAGAATATCCCATAATTTTGCCAAGTTTTCTTGCTTCTCATAAAATACCAAAGTCCTATCAGTGCGAAGCACGTCGAGTCCTGACATGGGTTTGAGCAAACAAACAAGGTCTCTAGGTCACTGAACAGCCATGCATATACAAAATGTAAACTCTTGACTTTCTTAATTAAGTCTTGATTAATTAAGAGATAATAATGAGGAAACCTATTTGATGGAGAGTTAACATCCACTGAATAATTCTCTTGTCGGTGACCATTTCTAAGTTATTTGCGGCTTCTGAACTTGCAGCAGAAGCTGCATTATCAGGAGGAGGCAAAACTGCGCCATTTCCTGGGTTTGTTTCTAAGAGCACTAATGGATCTTGAATGGGTTGGCCCTCTTCAGTTATTACGGGTGCTGTGATGAATTTACCACTTCCTATCAGAGGAAACAATTGGTGGCATACTTCCTTCCACGTATTGTATTGAACCCTACATATACAGATAGAAATTTATACATATACAAAAAGTCGTGGATGTGGAAGACCTAGAACTTGACGAATGAATTCATGGCAAAACAACTGATGATCAATTGATTACCTTCGGCGCTGTCTTATCTGATTTCTTTCTTCTGTTGAACTATTTGGGTCATAGCAGCCAAGTAGGAATTCCCAAACTTCTCCTCTGATTGATGGATGTATTCCCTGCTTTCAAAACCAAATTCAATAGTAAAAACACAGTGCTACTTTAATTTGTCTTCATAATTACATATAACCTGAGATAGAGAGAGAACTAATCTTTTCAACTAACGATTACCTATATCAACCATACACACACACACACACACACACGAAATAGTTTAATAGTATGAATGGTATTACCCCACGTTGGATTCGCCCCAGTGTCTTGCCTATATCGAGATATCCATCTGGATTAAATGCGGCCTGCCATTTTCTGACACTTAGCGTTTTTCCAGCCTGCACCACATAAAATACGGCAGCTCACAATTCCATCATACCAGAATTAAAGATATATGCAAATAAATCTGATAGTCCTTAATTATCAGCTCAAGGCATATGTATATATGTAAGCTAAAAGACGATATATATCTGGAAAAATGAAGTTAAGAAATGGACCTTGATCTTAAATCGTGTCTTGGGGACGTCATCGATACACTCAGGCCGGATTTCATAGTAAGAATCAGCTGCTTCTCCACCGTCTGATCTCCACATCCCAAACCACCAAAATGATTCTTCTCAACAAAAATCAATATAACCTTGCCACCCCCTTGAATTTGGACCCCTTTGAGCAAACCCAGAAACAAAAATTTGTTCAGTATCGTCTGATCTTTAGAGAAGAATTCAAAGGGATCCAGGCAAGGTGCTACAGGCAAGACCGAGCTCTGAATTGAAACTACGTAGAGGGGAACAATTCCTTTTTTTTTTTTTGGGGGATTGGTCTTTTCTGTTTTTTCTTAATTTTTTAATGTACGTAAAATCTATGGTGTGTTGATGATCATTGTGTTTGAAGAAGGTAAGTGAATGAAAGGGAGGAGTAATACCCTGTTCAAGGGGTGGGATAGATGATTCACAACCTCACGACCATAATTTACTGGCCTGTGTGTATTTGCTAAATTTCTTTCTTTCTTTTTGTTTCTATGAGTATTTACCAATTTTGTTTGTCTTGTGTAATTTAGATTTTCCTATTTCAAACTTGATCGCTTTCTCCCTTTTCTCTTTTTAGTAAATTATATAACCTCGCAAGTAGAAACAAAGATACATATAAATTACCAAAAGAAAAAAAGGAAATATGTGCATGATGAATTGATGTGTATGTGTTGACGAGCGAGGGTGGTATTCGTTTGGATGGTCAAACGTTGAAGGCGGCGCAGGGTTGGCTTTTGCTGGCCAACTTTTTCGCTGCCGTCAAAACATGGTTGGAATATAGCTTCGCATGATTTTTATTTTGTGGGGATATATAAATAAGTAAAAGGTATAGGAGACTATCTTTGATGAAGTCAGAAAATAAATTAAATCAAAATTAATTATATCGATATTGATCGATGTTTTAAAGTGTAAAGTTAGGATATGATTCGCCAAAACTATATAATCAAAATATTTAATAAAGTTTCTATTTTAGAAGTAAAATACTCTCTTTTCTTCGATCCTAAATATAAGATTTATTTTGTAATATAAATCATACTACAAAATCGATATTACATTTAGAACCTGAGGTGTATAATTTTTTTTTATAAACTTAAATGATGTATCATGAGCAATTGTTTTTTTGAAACCTTGTATATAAAGCGCACAGCATAGCATTAACATTTAATAATTATATTAATCTTGCATGTTGGAAAATGTGTGTTAATATAATTGCTCCGATGAAAGTGATTTACTAGTTAAAGAGACATGATAAAGGAAAGGAACGTAGTTGAAAGATTAATAAAGACACATGATTGACCATCGTTTTCCCGATCATAGGTATCTGATTGATGACGATAAAGAGCATGTTTTGAGCAATGAAACAGTGAGGGGAGGATGAGATACAGGTAACCCCAAAGCACAAGACATGAATATATATTCTGATAAACACTGAAGCAAAGCATAAACCCACAGGCCAAGTTATATGCTAAACCTAAGAAAAAGATTCAAAAAGAGCTCAAGAGTCATCCCTATAGTCTCATCAAAACAAATAATAAAAAGTGAACCTTATGCTTTGCACCAGAATCAAAGTAAACCTCAAAGAGAGGAAGAGAATAACAAAAGGTTGCCTCCAAGCTTCCACCTCACTGTTCTGACACCTACTTAAATCCCCTTTCCATGCATCATCCTCCTCAACATTGATTTGTTGCATTTTCTTCTTTTTCCTTGTCGGTTTCCGACACGTACATACAATCAAATATTAATATTTGCTTGATATCTTTTGTCTTCAACAACTATGGGAAAGAGTTACAAAGCAATTCACGGAGTGTTGGGGATGTTGTGTTTGGTTTTGTTGGTGGAGAAGAGTGGTGCGTATGACTTCGTAGTTGGGGGACAAAAGGGTTGGACTGTTCCAAGCGATCCAAATTTCAATCCTTACAATACTTGGGCAGAAAAGAGCCGTTTTCAGATAGGAGACTCCCTCGGTAAGTTCTTAATGCCCTCTTCTCTGTGTGTGTGTTTTCCTATAAAGAATAGAAATATTGACGAGCCGAATGGTCCTGTATCTAATGGCACAAATATTCATATGTAAGGACGTCGCGAGCTTGATCCTTCTTGTAATTTTGAGTCGCTATTGTTTGTTCCTCTGATTCAAAAGAAATACTGACTAATAATAATTGCAGTGTTCAACTACAATTCTGGGCAAGACTCGGTGCTAGAAGTGAAGAGTGAAGACTACGCCAACTGCAACACTAATGCGCCAATTGCAAAGTACACGGACGGCCACACAGTGTACAAGTTCGATCACTCCGGCCATCACTTTTTCATCAGTGGGAATAAAGATAACTGTCTCAAGAATGAGAAGCTTGTCGTCGTTGTGTTATCTGATAGGAGCAAAACCCGACAAGCACGCTCACCTGCTCCTTCTCCCTTGGCTTCATCTTCAACCTTGGCTCCATCACTATCTTCTGCCGCTCCTCCCCCATCACCACCGCCTTCAGCCGCTTCTCCCCCATCACCAACTCCTTCTGCCGCTTCACCTCCGTCTCCACCACCATCCGCAACTTCATCTCCACCGGCTCCGTCACCAACGTCGACAACCGGGACAACCCCAACACTGTCTCCAGTTGGTGGGCCTCCAACTTCTAATACCAATGGTGCTTCTTCGGTCTTTTGCACCCTTGCTGGATCTGTTGGAGGATTCATGGCTTCAACTCTGGTTTTATCTTTCTAAATAAACGAGTCTATATGATGGACTGAGTGTGGTTTTCTTTTTGCTTGTCGTGGTTATTGAAATGGATCTTTGGGTCTATCGGCCCAAGGTTTGGATGCTGTTTAGTACATTCATTTGCGACGATATTTGATGAATAAGAGGACAATAATTTATGTCCGCTTTTGTGTGCTTCGCGTTCTTCATGATGTAAAATTACTGTACATGTAATGAAATAATACCATTCTTTTCGGTGGGTCTGGTTTTATTAATTTAAATAAAGCACTGCCTGAGATCGATGGAATTAAAAGGAAAGTATGAATCAGAAAAAAGGTAGAAGGTGGTTGAGATTTTCAGCTAATTATGAGAAGAAATTAGAGAAATGGCTGCAACACATTGCATAAATCTTAATTATCATATTTAAAGCTTTTATTTTATAAAGTAAACAAAGTGCTAAAGAAGACATTTCTAGTGAAGTTGCGTATAGCAAAATCAGAAGTCCTATGTTCTAGGCTAGACAAATTTTTCGCCAATCTATCAAAAATTTTTCCCAATCTCCACTTTTTTCATTATTCGAAGAGTGTTGTGCAGAATCGCGTCCAGAATTCCAGCTACCTGAAACCAATGAAAACCCTAGTCAACAATCAACAATGGTCAAAAGACAGTTCCTACAAAGTACGGAACCATGATGTGAGATACGAACCGTGAAAACACCCCCAATAATAGCACAAACATTCGTAATGAAGTGTGAAAAAGACTTCTGATTTTCTGTTATTAAGACCTGATAAAAATAACAACAAAGTAAATATATAAGAAGAAAGCAAACAGTGTAAGGGAACAAATTAACTAGAGAGGAACAGAGGAAATTATAGAAATATGCTCAGTCCATCTACATACCTGCATGGGAGAGAGCTCAAGATGGAACTTAACAACAGGAATGTGTAAACTCTGAGCAAGACTGCTGTGTGCTGTATACTCGTACTCCTCAATTAATTTATAACGCTTCCTAGTTATCACCTCCGTTTTAACGATCTGAAGATAATGCTCAATCTACATGCACAGATTCCAGACGCTTGTAATGTTTTGTGGTTATTTGACTCAATATCCATACACAATATATTCTACAGTTTCTGCACTAGGTTGTAAACAAATCCATGGAGAAGGAAATAGAGAACCACATTAGGATAAACAAAAGACAACAATTGACTTCAATCCTAAATTGTGTTATCTCAATGACTAAAGAAATGTGCCTAAGAAGTGAGTTCCTAAATTGTTCGATAACTTCTTGGACCCATCAAAACCCAGATTAAGGGCGCATGCCAAACCAACATCCGAAAAAACTCAGGATAAACAAGTATACTTCTTTTGAAGAGTGTAAAATAAAGAAGCCAACCAGAGACTCCAATAGCAAAGTTGATTATATTAAAAGCGTTAATAGGGAAGTCAAACTTACAGTAACATTTTCTCCTAAGTCACGATTATTGATGAAAGACCGACCGTTCAGCCTGTCATGGCTGATACCAACATGAGGTATTAAGCGTTTTACATCACTCATAACTCTAGGTAAGATTCTTCTCCCAAAAGACAAGTGGTGTATGACATGGGACATGTTCATTTGAGAAGCATCAAAAGAATGGGCATCAGATCGAGCTGAAATGATTAAATTTCCTGGAACCTGCAGACAGCCACACAGCATATATTTAATTTTCAGTCATCATAAAGAGGTCAGATTCCCAATTTCATCCATTTTTCTGCGACTAACAGCTGAGGAACCAGTTACAACTTACAGGCAAAAGAAATATCCAGACAAAAGAGCTAGGAAGATAAGCTATGGGCTTCTTCAAGTGAAAAAACATGTAGGGAATTTATAGTCGTGACTGCATGTGAATTATGGTAAGGAGCATTTCTTTCAGAAGAGATGGATGTCTACAGTTTACCTTCTTCACTCGCACATATCCTTCAATTCTGCATCCCCCTGATGAAGGCGCTGGTCTTTTTGCATGCTCTCCGGTTGCATTGGATTTATCCTCCAAAGCCAGCTTCCGAGATTCACTTGGCATGGATGCCACCAAATTTTCCATCGTCTGCAATGAAGAAAATTCACATCATTTCATGTTTCATCCTTTTGAAAGTAAACACTGATGTTTGGTAATCACAATCAGGTGGTTTAATGTTGAAGGTAAACATGATTGGGATTGAGCAAATTCAAATATAGCATGTTTGGCCCAAAAAAACAGTTAATATAGCACGCAGCAATGTACCTTCACCAAGCTGTCTGTATCTCGATCTCCATAATATGACTCGTGGTCATGATGTCCATGGTCAGTTCTGATAAAGTAAAATCATTCAAAAAGTAAGATTCATTCATCAGAAAATCCAAAGGTTATTGAAAATTTTACAGATTAAAGAGACAATATTCATGATGTGCACATAGAAAGCAAACAGTATGTCAACGGATGAAAAAGCATATTTGGTTCACTAATCCCAAGCCAAAAATGCTATTTGGTTCCTTTTCCGTTAGTTTAATCATTGAAAAAGTTCGTTATGCTCAGGGAAAATGTAATATCATTAATCCGATTCCAAAAATGCTATTTGGTTCCTTTTATTTTAGTTTAATCATTAAAAAAATTGTTATGCTCTGGTAAAATGTAATATCATTAAGTAATTGAAAAGCACATAACACCCAAAATGGCCGGGGAGAGTAGCACATACTCAAGTTTACTGTAACACATTCCAGAACAAGGACAAAAAAGGATGAAAAGAATTCTCATCCTTAAGGATAGAACCATGCATTGTGGGGCATTAATATGCATGTTATTATGTAGTGTGACTGGTGAACTTAAGGCAATAAAAAATTACAGAACTGAAAGCCGTGCATGTTATTGTGCGCGCAAATGGAAAACTTGCTACTGAATGTGACAGAAATAAAAAAAGAAAAAGAAAAACAATGATGATACAGCAAGATGATATTATTACCTAACATCAGTTCCTTTACGAAAGATGCGAATAGAGGGATACCCTTGTATGTGATTCCTGGAAATTCATAATGACAAAATAAATGTTAATTGAAGCACAGTTGAAAATAAAACGAGGACAGAAAAATTAGAAAACTAAACAAAAGAAGATGACAAATTAACCTGAAGAACAATAACCCACCCATACACAAGTCTTTTGGCCCTCCCAACTTCAGGGGCAAATTAAACACAGTAATAAAGCAACCATGTCCCATTTTTCTATCATCTATCTTTCTTCCTTCCCCCCCCCCCCTTTCCATTAAAACAAAATGCAAGTTTGTGTTAGGCAATCAGTGTTATTGATTACATTAATAGCTATCTCAATACTTATATTTAAGGTAAACCGGGTTACACTGTCTCTGTTTCAAGACCAAAAATATGAAGAATGGAAAATTTTATATTTCTGTTAATAATTGATAATTGAAAGGAAACAAAGTGGGAAAGGAGCTGATCAAATCAGCTGCAAGAATTAAATCTGCATAGAAAAAATAACTAGAAAACCTAACCAGAAGAAGTTTACAAATTTAGTAGTACCTCCTACACAAGTCACCTTCTTGAGTGCAGTCAACCTTCCCCAAAAGAATACGCCCATCCATTTCTGGGTCATACCTATGCAAGAGTGATCATTCAAATCATATATTGGGTTAGCGAGTAAAAATAAGATATCTCACCCCGTTCCAAAGAAGGGGAGCATGAAATAAACCCTTTTAAAACGTAATGTCAAGAAAACAATAGGAACAAAGGAACAATGATACAGTACCTCTCTCTTATTGTCTTAGCAGCCTTCTCCCATGAGGGTTTCTGAGAAGAAAGAGAAGAACAAATTAACAACAAACTAAATTGCTATTAACAACACCATCATCCATTAAAAATATTACTATCAGATGATTACCAAACGTTGACTCCAATAGCACCAAGGAGCAAAAAAATTTACAACCAAAATTGGATACCTGGAAAGAGATTATTTAGAATAATGTAAGTAACGCATCATATCATGTAATCCGCAATCAGAAACACCCAGCTTAGCTGAAAGTAGGAAAAATCAAATAAGTCAATCTCAGATTGCCGCCACTTACTGATGAGTATATTTATCAAAGTTACTTGATGAGAGCGAAACTGATCCTTCAGTGGACTCTTCATCTACCTCAACATCATGCTTGATATAGGTTGCAACTGGTCCTGAATGAAACTCAGAGCCAATCGGTCTCAAATGTGAATCAATAGAAAACTTGCGAACTGTTTTCGTTATATTCAGCCTGTTCTGAAAATAAGAGATCATGGATTAAGGACACGGGATGAAACATCAAGAAACAAGCATCAGAATGAGTAGGCATAACTGAATACGAAATTGATGAAGCATGTGTATGAAGATTTGAACTTGCAGTTGCAGAATGATAACATATGAAAAAAGATCCAAAACATTTTGAAGGAATTCTTTCCATATCAAAAACTTATGATGTTTCACAGGTAAGGGCTGCTACTAACAAAAATGTATAACATATAATTTCAGAAGTCATACAATGAACTCTTTTAAAAAAAAAAAAAAAAAACTCAAAAAACTTACAAACAATTACAAGTTGAAGCAATGTTTTCTGCAGGAACCCAATAAAACCAATTTCTATTTCTTGACAGCAGGTTGCTTGCTGAATTTACATGTACACAACTAATCTCCCTTCATTATAAATGTTTCGTCATGTTCAATAGGTATTATTGATCTAATAAACAAGCTATCATGGCCTAAGTTACTTTAAGAGGATTAAAATATTAAGTAACTTCAGATATTGAAACTACTTTCACCATTTAATTGGACGGCGGAAACTTCACATCAGTCAGCCAAGGGGGTATGTTTCAATCGTTTAAGTACCCAAAGTAAGAGTAAAAATTCTTAAAACAAAAGCACATATCTCTTCCGTAACAAATAGTCAGATGTAACCAATGAAATAGTAGAAACTTACTGTTCCCAACACGTCGCTGACATCAACTGATGCAAACTCACATGAGAGCGCAGGAAAACTACAAGAGAATGTGAAGCCATTAGCCAGCAACAATTAAGAGAGTTTATGAATTATAAATATGAACAGTGTGATTCACAATGTCTTTTATTGACCATATTGTAAAACCACAGCTCACTCCCCCTGAACATTCAACCATATTAATAAGCCAGCCCAATTTAATAGAATGCTTTTTGTACGCCCAATTAAAAAAGTAGCTTAAAGGCGTGAAAAGGTTGTAGTATTTGAAGTTCGGAACAGCATTATCACAGAGCACTAAACTATTAGCCTTCTTTCATAACTATTAGCCTTCTTTCATTCTAGGAAAGCGTTTCTCTTACACAACGTCAAACTACCAATAATTTTCATCAATAGTTAGCTTAGAAATTGATGAAGAATTGTCAAAATCACTAACACTCCCTAATATATGTATCATCATAAATATTACAGCGCGTTTCTGCATCCTTGAGAACAAAACAGAAATAGGCAGATGCCTGCTTTTTTGCAGTATGCTGAGGTCATGATGAAAATCCATGATGCTGCAATACTTTGCAGGTTCAAGACGTGCATGCAGATAGCAAAGGGAAATGTTATATGCAATAGAAGCAAATATAGAAGATACTCAAGTTGGTTTCTACCTGATATTGAAATCTATACGTAAAAAGTCCCCATCAGAACTCTTATCAACAATCACGGATGTAGAGGTGCTGGTAGCCAAATAATTATTTAGTTCCTGCAATCAAGTTTGCACAATATGGATCAATTAAGTTTTGACAACCAATTATAAGAAAGAAAGAAATTTGACAAACTCACATGATAAAAAACATCATGAGGATGAATGCTCAGAGGCATAACAGTATACATTGTATTGGACCGAATATCAATCTAGAATCAATAATCATGTTCATTGATTTACATGTCATGAACATTACAACAAAAATGTAATAGAAACTGACCATTCCAAATAAAAACATCATAGAGAGAGCTGCTATAATAGATAATCCTGCTCCTGATACTGATGCCTCAGTTAAATCTCTTGGAATTTTTCTGCAAAGCAACATATACATGCTTATCTCAAGGAAGCTCAAAATATTATTAAAACCATTCATTAGACATCACAACTGAACAAGCAACACCATCATTTTCATTTACATAGACTTCCGTCTCCTCATGCAATGTAGTAATATACAAATTCAATGTACATACCAACAATAAACACTGACTTTACTGCTCTCTAAAGAAAAAATAATAGCAGTCACCTATTAGTAGCATATTTCAAAACGTAAGAGCAGAAGGGTTTGAGTACTATTTAGTCAATCAAAAGGTTACGCTAATGGAAGGTTCCATGAATGGTAGCCCTCCTAGCACTTGCATTAGCCAATTATCGGCTAGCTTCAACAGCCTTTTATTGAGATTGAAATAGATGCTGATGGCAAATATTTTTCTTTTGCTTCCTCCCTCAAAAGACTGACCGAGATGGTCAGTAACTAGTAGAACCCCAAAGTCCAATGGTGATTGAAGCAGAAATGCACTCAACTAGTAAACCAGTCCGGTAATTAGCAAGTATTTTAAGTTGTAACGCACACATCTTCCTTTGGGAGGACAGGTAAGAAGACAAATATTAAGCCAGCAAATAACAGCAAACATTAAGTCATCGTACCTGCATATGAATTATCAAAAATACGTTTCAAGCCCCCTCCCCACAAGAAGAAAATAGACAATAGATAATTAAATAAAGCCAATTATTTGCGTACTTAATGAATGAACCTACTATGGAGCGAAAGATGCCACCATGAGCACGTAAGGTAAACAGTATTACGGACAGGGAGAATAGTAGCCATTGGCAGTGGGAACCTACACGCGGAAACCAACGACCCAAACTCTTAAGTGATTGATATCCTCGCGTTTCTAACACAAACAAAGTCGCATTCCTCCCCTGCAGCCCTCTCACTTCCCTCAAGCACGCAGCACGCATCCTCAGTAGCGCGTACGTATAAAACTTGATTGCACAACGATAAATTACTTCATTCTTTCCGTCAGATTGACAACTTGAGAAAAAGATCACAGTGGCATTCTCTTATAAAATTAATCAAGCTACCGGCATCATGAATAAAGAACCAGAGATTGAAAATGACGCTCGAATAGACACTTTCGATGCATTCACACACAACCATCTGAAGCACAAACGCAAAAGGTGCGCATAGAGGGAAATCAAAAAATTGAACACATGAAAGGGAGATCCTGACCGGTAAAAATCGACGGATTTGAGTTTGCTCGCTGTAATCATGGCTGCTGAAGTAGAATTTCACAGGAACAAGAAAATGCGATCAGCAGAGGAAAATGCTCAAATCGCTGGAATTGAGAGCATAACAGATCGAAGCAGCTTCAGCCGGAGCCCCGCTTCGCTTTCCGAAGCCCACCGCTGACAACAACGAATCTAGTGGAGAGGATGAATATTGAATAGTGTTGATTTACCGAACATAATAAGAAAAAAAAGTTAAAGTGAAAATAATAAAGATGGACTATTGTGCTTCGCACTCAAGATGCACGAATATTCTCTATAATTCCATGGCCGTTGGATTAGATGACTATTCTCGCTTTCCTCATTTCAGTGCTCGATAATGACGACTTAAAAAAAATTATGAATTACTTTTTTAAAGTCGTTACTTTACAATGAAAATTATATTTTATATTGATGGTGGCAAGAGTGAAATGAGGTGAGTATCATAAATCAGAATCGTCATAATATTGATATTCTTAACACAAGATGATTAATTTTTTATTGATTAAATTTTGTATAAAAGTGCCAAAAAAAAAAGTATTGATAGAAAATCAAAAGGGATTAAAACATGGGAGAATTATAATCAAGTTTCATACAGAAGAAATACCTATTAAAAAATTCAATAACAACCTGAACAGCCTATAATGACAAGTTCTAGAGTGAAGAATAATAATCTTTGAGATTTATTTTGTAATTTTTTTTTACATGAGACCTCATTATAATTCTCTCTTAAAATATGACTCTTGGGAAGTGGTCCGTGTTTTTATTTTTTTTCCGGTCAGACGTATTACTTTGCTTAGTGCTAAATGGGCCAGACTATATCCCAGAGAGGAAGCCCAAGAAAATAAGTCACGAAAAAGGGAACGTGATTAGGCCCGCAAAATCCGAAAAGGCATTATCTCACGGCAATCGTGCAGAAGCCAGATTGCTCCTTGGGGGTAAAAGAGAAAGAAACCAGATTGCTCTTTACAGTACTGCACTTGTGTAGTCCGATATTAGTAACCTTTGGGAAAAATAATTTCAATTTTATCAGACAAAAATAAATGTTTTTATGACTTCGGTTCTGTTGTTTTTTACCTTCATTAAAAGGAGGGAACTGTGATCGTGAACACACAAAAAAAAAAGGCCTAATAAAAAAGTTATATATGTAGATGACTTTGATTCACATTTTATGGCCTAATTAATAAGAAACAAAATCAAATGTTTGAATTTAAGTATCATTATAGGAGTGGTAAATTATACTCCTCCAGTTCTTAATATAAGACCTAATTAACTAATTTGAGTAGGTTAATAATATTAGTTAAATTAGTTAATGTCATATGTTTTTTTTAAAATATCCTAATTAAGCATATTCCTTAATTTTTTTTCTTTTCTTTTCTACTTGATTGTTGTTGAGGGGATATCAATAGGGTTAATTTAAAAAAAATTGATAAACATGTAAAAGAGGTTTTATATATAGGACCAATATCAACTCACCAATTACATACAACATTAAGAACTGGAGGCGTATTAGAGATATAAAAAAAATTGTTATAATATATATATACTTAGTGCTGTTTTAATTAATTAAAATGAAAGAAACAAATTTACAAACAATTTCGATATAATTTCTATATAGGGGTAAACAAGTTCGAAGGAATATCCTACACGATACTCTATGAGAATATATATATCTAATCAAATTAGTTAAATAAGTCTTATATTAAAGACCGGAGGAGTAGTTCAAAGTAGGTCCTCTATGAATAAGAAATAAATAAAGAAACCCGTGCATTATTTAATTTTAACTGGGATGAGAGTTGAGAATATGCTTATTACGCCAACTTATTCAAATTGTCTCCTTCCCTAAAGAATCTCTTCATACGCAACCCAAAAATAAACTATATTATTTATGTGGAATAAGTTGTCTTGATATTTATTTTATATTTTCCTTGTTCTGTTAATGACAAGTTCTTATAGCTCAATATCACCCGTCATTGGATAAAGTCCCAAATTCAAATTTAGAATTCTCATGTTTGTGTGTATAAATGTATTTAAATTGATTGCAATTAAAAAAAAATACTTATCTTCTTCTTCATATTTGTAAATTGGAGAACATTATTATATGTTCGCTGGCATTCTCATGCATGTATCATTCCTCTCTACCCTAAACTTGTAGGGTTGCTACTCCAAATCACAAACCCTATCCAAAAATCTTCAAAACCCTATTGGATGATTCAGTATATACGGTAACCTCGCTTGCTTTCCAATAATCTACATACCTAGCTAGCTACATATATAGAGATAGCCTCACAACATATAGGACAACGCAAGAAATAATAAGCTTAAGCTTATTTACACACACACACACATCTTGATAATATCGGGTCAGACTTAAGTATTATCAACCTAATTGAAGGAACCTCTTATAACAACATGATTTTATCCATCAATATAATAAGATTGGATATGAACTCTCAATCTTAAAAAGATCTAAATTTCTTCCAGACTATCCACTCCTCATTTGAGTTTGCCTTTCACTTTTGATTATTCTTTCTGTTCCCATACTTTCTGTGTGTGTATATTTATATAGACATTCTAGCCATGTATATAAAAAAAAATAAAAATTCCTCAATTAGAAAGGTAAGCACTAACAGCTTGAAACAGGACCCGAGGAGTGACCTTACACTTATGGGGAAGCTTTCATACCACCAGGCAACGTATAAGACCATTATTGGCAGCCAAGTATATTAAACTAGAAAATGCTGCTACCACTGACACACTATGGGGCTGTTTGGATGAATCTAAATCATGGTTTGGAAAATAGATTTTGGAGAATAGATTTTGGGGAGAATAAATTTTGTGAAAAAATGATTATGAGAAGTGAAAGTGTTTGGTTAGTTGTTACCAAAAGCACTTTTTACATGTACAAATTACTAAAAAGGACATAAGTTAATGTGATAATTATATAAGGGATAGATTTTATAATATATTTTGATTTGAAGAAATAAAATTGTTAATAAAATAATTTTTACTAACATAATTAATAATATATAAGATAATATAATTAATAAATAATGAATATATATTTATAAATTATAAGATTAAATAGTGAAGGACCGAGTGTGGAATGAAGAGTGAGGCGTCAATTATGAGGACTGCTTTATCATATACTATTGGGCCCACACCAACGTCTAGAAAATTTGAGCTAGAAGCAACTTCAAACCACTTCCACCAAAATCATGGTTTTGGGGTTCAAAATCATAGTTTTACCCCAAACTATGGTTTCACTTTCCCCCCCGTTTGGCTGACTTCTTCCCCAAACACCCAAACCATGGTTTGAAAAGACATCCAAACAGGACCATAGGTTATATCTCTATTTACCAAACACATACATGTAGAGAGAGAGAGGTTTAGAAGTTGTGGAGATAGTCATCAAACTAAAACGCAGTTGTTCAATTTGCATCATATATATACCACACTATATATATATGTGTGTGTGTGTGTATATATATATATATATATATATAAAAGAGATATTGCATCTTCTTCATGCACTAAATAGAGATCCAGAGAGAGAGAAGATGAAATTAAGCAAGCTATATAAATGATATATATAATCCACAAACATAGACAAATTAAAGGAACTAAGCAAAGGCTCCTCTCCAGTTCTGTGCAGTCATCACGTACTATGCCTCCCTTTCGAACCCATCTCTTTTCTGTCTGAGCGACTACCTTTCTTCTGCAGAAATCCAAACAGAAAGAAACCGACTTGCATTGTTAATTAAATTAGCTATCTAGAGAATCTTATTTCAGTTTTGAGAAAGCTGTCGTAGAACAAGTAGAATATGGATTTTGCAACCCAAGTAGAATATTCTCTCTCTCTCTCTCTCTCTCTCTATATATATATATATATATAAAGAAATAGTGATATGGTAGAGAGGAAGGCAGAAAACTAAATAACCTTGAAACTATTGATGAGAGGAGAACTTGCAGTATCTTGAAGCACATCATCATCAACAATCAAATCAACTGCTTGGGCTTTCTTCCTCTTCCTGAAATTACTCCTTCTACAGCTGACATTTTTATTCACAGAAAACTCCTCACGAGTTTGATCATCACTGTAAGTTACTTTTTTGGCAGCCAAATTCAAAGAAGTAGCATCAGACACTAGAGAAGAGGAACTATTAACATCAGAAGACATAGGCGAAGGCTTTTGGTTGTTAAAGAAATAATCAAAGTGTGTAGTCCAACCACTCTCCTCAGGAGACTCAGCATTATTTTCAGAAGAGAAACCCGCTTTGCTTATGGAGCCCATTGAACAGGAAAGCTATTTCTCAAGAGGGCAAGCGTCTCTCAAAGGAAGCATATAGAGGACGGGAATTGTATATATAACTTAATACAAAATACTAATTCATTCATAAAAGAAATATTTTGAAGTGATGATGATGACGACGACCTTGGAATCTTTTGGGGGAGGGTCAAAGTCATAAAAGTTTGGAGGAGTTAAAATGATGGGAGAGATTTAGGGATTTGTGGTGAAGGCGACAGGGTACGCACTAACATAGATTTGCCAGATAAATTTTAATTTCCTAGTGGATGGACTTAATTAATAGATATTTTGAATTATATTACTAATTCGGTCTGAGTTGGAATAATTAAGATTCTGCCTCGGCTTATCCTAGTATCGTAAGACCCGACACTGAACTACTTTTTTTATTTTTTTTATCGGTCTAATATTCTTGTCAGAGGGATATTCAGGTCTTCCGATTCTTGAGTACTTTTTTTGAGAATGTGAACTTCCAACCCTTAAATAATGATATGATATATCTGAAAATTTCAGCTTTCGTAAGTTTTTAACATGAAATTTCAACTCACTATTTCGGATCATGATTAAATTATTAATACTTCATCTTATATAGTTTGTACAGTTTATTTTGGACTGAAAGTAGTATCGCTGTTAACTCCAATTTTTTATCATCTGCTGGACAATTTTTTTGTTAGAGATTAATAATTAATAAAATAAATAATTTTTAGAGAGCATGTGTAGAACTAACTATATTTTATTAGCCCCATAATGAGAATTTCGATTTTCCTTGGATAATGTAAGACTCACCTCGGATTACCAATAGGTAAATCTCACCCCTATATATTTGTCTCTCTTTTCATTTGAGCAATCAAAGGAATCCAAATCCCCACATTGAAGGTTTTATATCGTAGATAACAAATTAGTTTAACTGTACACGTTTAGTGTGTGTGTGTATATATATATGTATGTATGTATAGCAAGATGCAAAGAGTTTGAGAAAATATTAATTTATTTACCCTTTTTTTTTTACACATTAATTATTTTGGAGACATCACTGAGTGGATCATGACTAAGGCCTCAATGTGGCAACCACTCTAATAGATGTGCAGTGACTTAAGGAAACAAGAAGCGCTTTGGTGTTAAAGAGAAGAGACATCTAAATCAATTTTACATATTACACACACACACACACATCACACATTGCCTCTTCTCTCTCTATTTGTATAGTTCCTCCATATTAATCGCTTTATTTTTAATTTACAGATGATTATATGTATGTATGTATGTATTTGGTGATTTCTTAATTATAGTGTGAAGAAGAATATGTCGTCCTGTAATAAATTTTATATAGATATAATTAAATTGCTCATTAGTAAACCCATTTAAGATCTGCACTAAGTAGTCATTTAAGGCTACAGGCGTTGGATGTGGCAGCCAAATTGTTGGTGAGCCCAGACATTAATTATTCTCTATGTTACTAGTATTGGTTATGTTTAGCTGTAAGCTTAAACCAGGAAATTAATCAATTAATTATATTGTCAATGACCTTGTTAATTATTAGAGTTGAGGCCACTACGGATTATTAGTGGAGTCCCAATTCTAAACATGATATTGTTGAAAAACCTATATCCTTGGGGAGGTCAAAAGGCCTTGTGCTTTCGTTTTTAAGAGGCTTCTTGGTCAATGACTCTTTCAAGATTTAATTACAGGTTAAGACCACCACTTAACAAGCAAGTATATATTATTTATATTTTAATGTTAATTAATAATTAATACACTCCTGTTATATATATATATGTATGTCTTCTCCTTTCTAATTAATTTTTATGATTAATATAATTTTTAGTCATTTAACTTTGTCCTCAAGTGTCAAATTATAGGTTTCGGTCCCTCAAATTTCTTTCCGTCTAAAATATTAATCTTTATGATTTAATAAAAACCTAGATTATTTTGCTTCTTGAAAAATCAAAACATATGATTTTGAAACTCGAGGTACCAAAACTCAAATAAGAACAAAGTTAAGGACAAAAAATTATATTAATCCTAACTGGGTCTCTCACTTACCTAAAGTCATCATAACTTTTTAATTAGGGTCAACACTTGTTAATAAAGTGTTATCTCTCAACTTAATTAAGTCCTCTTCAACTGTACGTTTCATTAAATTGAAATAAATACCAATGTTTTTTGTTTACCAGAAAATAAATGCCAATGTGAGTCTTATTATCTGATAAATAAAGCTAATAATTATACTCATCGTATATCTCTATTCTATTTTAATTACTCATTGAAGAGGACTCTAATAAAAATTACTACCATTACGTAGCGTGATAGATTCTAGGAAAAATCACAAAAAAATTATGAAAATAAAAAAATTGTAAATAGAGACTTATTACAATATTAGTATGGGTTTTGACAACAATTGATAAGCAAATGATTACAATTTGTATGAATGAGTCCTTGTATACAATTTTTTTAATTTCTAAGGTTTTTTTGTGATTTTTCCTAAATTCTATCTTCAAGCCAAGTTTTTTTTCCCCCTCTATAACTCTACAGTTACGATAAATTAAATAATACCCAGACATTTTTTCTTTTTCTTGAAATGACCATATAGGTAAGAAACAAAATAGTAAACTGAAGTAGCAAATAGTAACCTAGTTTAATTTAAAAATAAGAAAATAGCTCAGATTGAGGGTCATTAATATATACTCTTATGATTTTATTCAGGGTTAATACAGATTTTGATCCTTTAAGTTTGCCCTAATTTTAGTTTTGGTCCCTAAAATTTTAAAATAAGTTTTGGTCTTTTAAATTTCTTTTCATTTAAAATATTAGTCTTCGTAATCCAATAATGACTTAAATCATTTTGTCCCTTAAGGAACCAAAACCTATGGTTTGAATCTTAAGGGACCAAAACCAAAATGACTATAAATTTGAGGTACTAAAGATTATATTAATCCTGTTATTTATAAATTACTTTCAACATTACTTTATATAAATCAAGAAAAATCTTAAATTTTATTAGTTCTTTTTTAAAACTTAATAACTTTTTATTTTTATCCGTATTATACTTCATGACAACAAAATCAATATAATGATAAATAAAGGATAAAATTAAAGATTTATATAAAAGATTTCTCCCTTTATCTTATAAATATGACAAATTTTTTTTCTTTGCTTTATCAATCAGTAGCAGAAGAATATGGAAGCATTCCACCACTTTAATACAAAAAGATGAGAGAACTCATAGTTTGATGACTATCATAGCATCATCATTACAACCCGATAAATTAAATTAAAGGCATAAACTCCTACTGCCAACTCCCATATTAATATCCTCTGCCTTTTCACCAAATGATTTCATTTCATAAATCTTACTCTCTCTCTCTCTCTCTCTCTCTCTCTCTTACATATTTAATTCAGCCTTCGATTCTTCTTTTTCTCAACCATATATAAGACTAGCCTCTGGTAAAATTAAATACGGAGAAAACGACTTGGATATCGATATGATCTCTTCCCTTCCAATTTTCCTCCAAACAGCAGCAGCAGCAGCAACAAAGAAAAGAAAAAAGATGAAGGAAACGTCTTGATTTACCTTCCTATTTTTCAAACTACGAGGATTTTAATCTGGCATCTTCTTGAAATCCTGATGTTTGGCCTTTTGCCATACCTGACCGGCTTGACCTTTTTCAATTTTTATCAACCTGACCCGGTTGTCATTACAATATCACACACACACACATTCCCATCCATATTACAAAAAATTTCAATAGATTAGTTCATAACTTGAATGTAATGAGATCGACTTGCTATAGGTGGGGTATATTGACATGGATATTTCCACCGTTTAATTGAATTTATAAGAGATTTTAAATTGTATATTGATATGCATACAGATTAATTGAATTTAACAGACCACTTCTTCTTAGCAAGAGCGACCTTATTTCTGTTGAAAGAAATGCTAAAACTTAAGCATATTATATTATTCCTCCCACTCCTCCTCTATTTGGTTCAACTCGAAAACTACAATAAATGAGAGTTCATACGGATCAGCACCACACGGATCATAATGGCAAATCGATTGCACGCCAAGAAAAACCACTTTCCCGAGAAAACAAACGGGAAAGCTTGAATTAAATGCAGAATTAAGATGGGTTCCTTTCTTTGTAGCATTTTTCCGTCCCTGAAAAAAAGATACTAGTACACAGGTCCACAAGATTGCTGAATCACAAGAATTATCACCTTTATAGAAAGCCCATGTGCTATTAATCATATATATTATGCCTAAGGCCTGGGCACGTAGTGTGTCAATGTGTGACCATACATAAAAATTTTCCAAGAAACTCCTCGAAAATTTTGCTACTGGGACGTTTCATTCCCTCATACTTTTACCAATATTTTTGAACAACACTGGGAAATATTAAAAGGTTAAGGTGTATTCACTATCCCGAAATATTTTCTTAAGTACATCTAGTATCTTAAAATATTTTATAGTGTATCCAGTACTCTAAAGTATTTATTTAAATGTGTTTATACTTTGACATATTTTTTGGTATATCCAGCATCCTAAAATATTTTTTAGGTATACCCAACACCCTAAAATATTTTTTTAGTACAGGATTCACTAAGGCAAAAAAAAAACTTTAAGGTGCTAGATATACTTGAAAAATACTTCATAGTATTAGATACATTACAAAATATTTTATGGTACTAGATGCATTTGAAAAAATATTTTAAAATGTTGGATGCACTTTAACATGATATTAAATCAATGATAGAAACTCACACTGTGTTACATTGTTTTCCACCGCGCAAACAAAGATGCGTAGAGATCATACGCATTAATTTAGCCCTATTGACCCTAGTTACGTTGATGGATACTTACCTATATGTGTACACAGATATATAATAGGAAAATAATAATTATTCCCTATATATATGTGAGCAAGGAAAGCTAAAATCAAGGGGCTAAATTTAGATATAGAGTTATGTTTTTTGCAATATAGTCGGTTAGACTTGTCTGGCTTGAAAGAAAGCGAATAATCAAAGGGATGGATTCGATGGAATAATCCGAAAGCAAAATTTTTGTCATTAACACATGTTGGGTTACGTTGTACTAACGACAGATTGAAGTTCTGTTTCTATTCCTTGAATAGTGTAATAATCGAACCACTAAATAGTTGTGATCAAGAGGTTTATAATTAGAAGTAAGCACAATTATATAATGGTTATAATCAGAGTGATATAATAAAGAAGATGCGGCAACTTTAAATACTTAATAATAGAATTTACTCTAAAAGGGTCGTACCCGATTTGATTCGGACTTGCTTCAGTCTCTGATAAATTCTCTGGTTGATCGCATTTTATTTAACGTGAGGGCAGTATGGTTTTCGCACTTTTTTCTTTTTTACAGAAAAGGATAGTGAGGTTTGGTAATAATTTCACAAATTCAAGGTCCTTGAAAGTAAAAATTTTCTAAATTTTGGTCTTAGGCATAACTTTTCCAAGTAGAATAATTTGTTATATTGTTCAACTCCAGAGCCTTGTCTCACGGCAGGCTCACCATGAGAATAAACCTGCAAATAGATTCCCCTCCCCCACACGGAAGGAGGCCGGGTATCCAATCAAAACAAAAAGTTGGGGGGGGGGGGAAGAAGTTGCAAAGAAAACTCGAAAGTAGCTGTTGATTTGGCAAGAATTTGGTTTATTGCCCAGGAAGCTTTCAAATTTTACTCCTCGATATATATGTGTATATATGAACCATATGTCATGTTGATATGTGATGTGAGAACTTATGAAATCTTTGTTGGTAGATAATCTATAGGCATTCTTTAAAATATTTTTTGAGTCTAAAAGTATATGCCCAAGATTTCTAGTAAGTTCGAGAAACCTAACTCATCTAATTTTATACACACAATAACAACAATAACAAGAAGTCTTATCAATCCCACTATGTGAGATCGGCTATATAGATCGCATGATGTTATTGTGCCCTATAAACAATTAAGTCTTCAAATATATTATTGACCAAAAAGTCTTGTTCAATGATTTCATTGAGTCTCCTTAGTTTTCTTTTGCCTTTTCATAAGACTCCAAACTATTTTATCTATCCTTCTCACCGACGCCTCCAATAGTCTTTTTTACACATACCTAAACCACCTCAATTGATGTTCAATTATTTTCCGTTTGATAGACACCACACCTACTCTCACAAGAAAAAAAAAAGCAGAATAATGAAAATGATTTGGGTTTTTATTTTTGTATGGGCTGGGCTAACCCAACAGTAGAAAGTAAAGGAAGTTTGGTGATTTTTCCCCCCAGGCAGTATGGTGGGGGTATACATATACACCGGAAAAAACTGTGGATTTTTTTTTTCACCTTGAGAAAAAAGTGTGGGTGACATTAAGGAAATTGCGAAGCGACGTAACGGAATCACACTCCACGAAGCAAGCGGGAGTTACGAGAGTTTGTTTCTTTCAGAATGAAACCCTGTTTCGATCTCAATGCAAAATTATATACCAAATAAAATGAAAAAAATATTCCGATTTTGAATCCCCACAAGTATGTTTTGGTCAAACAGGGAAAAAAATTAAATATATACGGAATTCATTTTTCTATTTTATTTTTTTTAATTTTCTTCTGAAATTCGTGTGTGGGGTTGCCACGTAAGGCTCCAGCCGCAATTGAACTGTCGAGAAGTACACTGAACCCATCAATAACATTTACTGAACCTAATGGCTTCAATTAATTTATTTATTATCAAACATTTACTGGCATTTAAAATATCAGATTCTCGTATATTACTCAGAGAAGAAATTAGAGTCAGTGAAAGAGTTGGATAGCTTCTAATTAAATTGCTTTGAACTGCATTGATTCTATTCGTCGTATCTGTATGTGTTAGAATTCTATCCTATATAAACGTGGTTTTCCTTTTAGAATTTCACAGATTAATTCTCTATATGTATTGTGTACCCCATTTTTACTTTTGTTTTTGTTTTTTGTTTCTTCGGAAACTAAAAGTATCCATCATTTTAATCTTTCAAAGTGTCAGAAATTTCTTGGGTGGTTTATCATAGCTGCTAGGCATTGAGTTAACTTGTAGTTTTTCAGGTTCCATATGGCCATTTTGCATTTTGGTTCTGGTTTTCAAATTGCTGCTCCGGATTTTCATGATTAATTTTTTTTTTTCAATTTAAATTTGCATAGCTAGGAGCTTCAATTCGAGAGGTATGGAAGGTAGTAGTCATCTGAACAGAAGTGGGTTTGGCGAAGATGATGCAGACGATAGAATAATGCCCGGATTGATTGAGAGCCACGATGAGTCACTGATGGAGTAGGGTTTCAGGATGATATAGAATTAGCTATAATCTATTATATATATATATATATATTGATTTTTGGTTTATTATATAAATTATGTTTGAATTTCTGTGGGCTCTTGTGGAAGAAAGAAAAATTCATAGGATTTTGGTTTGTATGTGATCAGCTTTTTGAAACAAGAAATTGCCGGGATGGATCAGAACAGGAATACAAGGTCAGGAGGTCACTTGAATATTTTAGATTTAGACAAGGTAATTAATCAGGCTGATTATATATATAGTTATAAATGGAATATCAATATACCGCTTGTTTCATCTCATTTTCTCTTTGTTTGGAAGGGTTGGAATTGTTGCTAACGAAACTCCCTAAATCAAAAATTAGGGTTGGAATTGCCTAGGCCAGTGTTTGAATCTCTTGCCCCAACTTAAAAAAAAAAAATTATGAGATGCATATATATAAACTCAATATAATGCATCTTGACTCAAAATTTCATGGGTCTTTTTACTTGTATGCCTATTTTTCCATCCAACTATATATATATATGTATGTATGTATGTAGACGAATACAAGTTTAAAGGGAGAGAATGATTAAAAGGCTAAAATGTGAGGGAACAGAGGTGTCAACTTCCCAGGCAGCTCCATATATATCATGGTACTTCACCAGCCCCTTGAATTTATATATAAACCGCACTTTACTTCTGAGGGTCCCGACATAAGACTTGTAACACTATTCATGAGTCACAATCCTAACAAATCCATTCCTAAGCCTAATTACTAGTCCAAGGCATAAACATATATAAAGTACAATGTGTTTGGTAAACATGGCTTTTAAGGGAAGTATATCTCCCATGGTATATATTGTGAGTGAGTCTATATATTTACACTTGTTTCACCTATGTCTCTCACTCCTAATCTCCAAAAGTTTAAAACTTAACAAGTACCATGTCTGAGTAAAAATGTGGTTGTAGAGTTCAAAAAGATCCCCTAATTAATTTAACACTATAATAATGCATGCTAAGAGTAAACCTACCTATTCTCAGGTCATTATCATTTTTGTGGTCATTGCCTAACCTATCTATTTTGCTTTTGCGTTATTATTATGCCTCATGTGTTATCATCAGCCTGATACTTCAAATGAGGAAGGAAGTGGCTCTGGTTCAACCCCAAATCCAAGTACTGAACAAGCTGGAACCAACAGTCCAGAACGAGCAAGTGACCTTCTTCTTGTAGTGTCTTTTTATGCAGAGCCAGTGAGAACAAAGATCATCGAGCTTTCTGGTTCAGCCATGGATGAGTTAACGAAGCTGGCTGTTTCAGAAGGAATGTTTTGGCAGCCCAAACAGAACTATGAAACCCTAGATGCAGTTCAATATATTAGGCACTTTGGGAATGTTGATGGAACTCTGAATGAGATCATCAAGATGGTTGAGATTGGTGAGCCTGAATATTTACCCTTCTTTAACTCTTGCCCCATTGAAACTGAATTGAATCTCAAGCAGGCTACTCCGGCAGAAGCTTACGAGGTTGAAGCTTCTCGAGATTCTGCTTATGTTAGAATGAACCCAATCGAGATTGCTGAATGGCTTATGGATGTGGTAGGTTCAGTCATTCATTTTTTTATTTTTGGATTCAGTTTATAATCTTCTGGTTATTTGAAATTGTATCTCATTCAAAGATGTTATTGTGATGGTTTAAATTATAGCGGCATATATTTTCTATTCGAAGATCTTAACGGCAACGAGGACATTAATTATGAACTTTTTTTTTAATTATTAAGTGTCTGTTATACTCATATGTTTATATAAGATTGCTGTTGAGATTAGGTAGAGAAATTCGGCTATATTTTAGCAACTTCTGTGATATATATGTTACGATGAAATTACTAGTCATTTTAATATTCATGTGTTGAACAAAAATACTTTATTAAAATACGAAGTGCATTATTTTAAATTCAACAGAACGGAAAGGAGTGAAGATTTACCTTTTTTATTTGTTTTCCTTGCTGTTCTATAGATGCATATTCTTTTGCTTATTCATTCAATATCTGAGTGTAATAACAAAATCAGTGTGTGTGTGTCTTTTGCCCCCCTTTTATGTGTTGTGTGTAAATTTTCAGGAGAAATGGTCGAATGTGTTTTACAAAATAGTGTCAAGAGCAATGAATCTGGGAATTTTGTTGGATGGAGTTGAAGGGAGCTTAGATGGAAGATTGCAAGTTGTAAGCTAATATTCTCGTATTGATCGAAATTTGCTTGTCTGAATTTAAAAATTATAGCTCCTATGTGTGTGTGTGTGTGTGTATAGAGAAATTATTGTTTAATCATTTAATATCATTTCAAATTCTTTTCAAATCTTCCTCTGACCTCATCTTATAATCTCGTCTACTTTCTATCTTCTTTGTATACCTCTCAATAGTCTTTAGCCACGTATAAGTATTTTTTATTAGAGATAATACTAAGACATTCGAGTACTAAATGTAAGCATCTCTGTCAATGAGATATGTCTTAACAGTTTACATGACACATTGCTTTCTAAATCTCTCTCTTTCTAAGAGGATTAAGCATTTGGAGGAGATTGTAAAATCAATTCGAACCTAGCTTATGTTACATGTATGATGCTCAACTTCTTTAAACAAAAGTTAATTAGTAAATTGAAAATATCTAATTCAAACTATATATAGAATAGAAACTTTGCTTCTATTCAAACAACATATCCATGAACACTTCCTCCTAATAAGCAAACTTTCAAAATAAGAGATGTTCTATATGTTAGAGATATATGTGTAGATAGAGGAATACTTCAGAAGAAACCATAGAATTAATTGCTGTAGCCTTAAAATAATTAAGATCAAGTTTAATGGTGTGAAACTTAACAAACCCAAAATTATTATCCAATTCCTATGTATACCATTAGACTTCAGCAATCCTATTCCTATCAATTACTCCTCCGGTCCTAATTATAAGACCCAATTGACTTATTTGAGGAGATTAAGAAGTAAGTTAAGTTGGTTATTTATAATAAATAAGTGTTGTCATCCCTAAAATATCCTTGCTAATTAAATATATTGGCTAAAACTATCATTATTAGAAGGATTATCTTGGAAAAAAATGTATAAATATAAGAGACAAAATGGATTGGGTCTTATAATTAGGACCAAATAAAAAGTCAAATTGGGTTTTATAATAAGAACCGGAGGAGTACCCATTTTTCCTTTACAATAATGAAAAACCTTATCCAACTTAAGCGAGGTTAACAATATGGATATCCCATGATGTCATTATATTCTAGCAAAATCCTTTTTTTTTTTCATTGGTTAATGGCTGAATGTTGTATGTTTTTTTTTTTTTTGGTGGGCAGATGAGTGGGGAATTCCATGTGCCGTCAGCGCTGGTGCGTACAAGAGAGTGTTATTTTGCAAGATACAGTAAGAAGTTATCTGATACGACTTGGGCCATCGTAGACGTATCCTTGGAGAAGTTTTTTCCTCATCCATCCATCAACATTCGAAGAAGGCCTTCTGGATGCTTCATCCAGTTCATGCCCCATCAAGGATTCTCTAAGGTGTGTCTCCATATACAACACACCTTCCAGTCAAGAAAAACCCTGTATATCATATGAAATAGTGTTAGCTTCTGAGATGATTTATCTGACATGACGGATCAGATTACGTGGGTGGAGCATGTGGAAGCAGACAACAGAAATCTAAACTCCACATTCAAAGACATAATCAAATCAGGTTTTGCTTTCGGAGCAACTCGTTGGGTTTCTGCTATAGTTCGCCAATATGAGTACTCTCAAACTCTCAAAGCAAAATACTCCCCTCCTGAAGATGCAGGTATGAAAGTCTATATAATGAATATACATATGTGTGTGTGTGTGTGATGGCTTCATTATTGTGAGAGGAACAGTGAAGAGGATAGGAGAAGCAGGAAGAATGGGTATGGTGAAGGTAGGAGACAGGATGATGAGGAAGTTGTGTAGTGAGATGAGTGGAGCCATGCGAAACCAGTGGTTCCGATTGCCTCCATCTTCCTCAGATATTGAAGACGTGAGGGTGGCCATTAGAGAGCACGAAGCTAAGCCAGGAAAAACTTCTTCTACGACACTCATCTTCTCCACTTCTCAGTGGTTTCCCATCGCCCCTCGCCGATTATTCGACTTCCTTCGTAGTGCCGATAACAGGCCCATGGTACGTATATGCAACTCCAACTCCTAAACCCTAATTATTATAGGCTTATAATTAATAGTCTACTAAAAGAAAGAAGATATGGGCTTTAATATTGTTTGCTTCATTCATTAATTTGTGGCTCCGTCCCATAAATGGAAAGTCAAATAAAAGACTGCATAGGATATTAAATTTTTGGCCGGTCAGTGTCTCTGACGTTTGGTGGTTTGGGTGATGGATTAATGATAGTGGGATTTGCTTTCGCGGGGATTTTGTGTTCAAGAACTGTCGTACGTTGCTAAGGGAAAAGATTCGGCAAATCGTGTTTCTCTATTGCAAGTCACCGTAAGTTCTTTTTCTTTTTAAATATTTTTCATTGATTCTCATTTTCTTAATTTTACAATAATTCACCTATTGCAGCATGTATGTGCTATTGAAATTAGATATCGTTTAGGACGTTGATCGCTATTAATTAAGAAAAATATTTTGACAGCAAAATTGCATTAAAAATTACTCTCTCCGTTCCTTATTATAAGAGACATTTGATGCTTATGGCATGTTCCTATATATAAGAGACACTTAAAAGTTGTCTCTACTTTTTTGTGTTGATTTCCTATTTTACCCATATTTATTGTCTCCTACTCACACTCTCTCTCCTTCCCACTTCTCTTTCTTTTAATAAATTACCATTGTTCTCTCTCATGTTCTCTCTCCTTATTAATGAGAGCATTTTTGGAAAAAAATTATACTTTTTACATATTGATTGTTCTTAACTAATTTTAACTGTTTTTTTTATCAACGTAATTTGGTTATTCGTCTCTTATAATAAGGAACGGAGGGAGTACTTTATAATATATTGATCGTTACTGAAAAGTGCCTTAAGATGCTGAATGCACTAAAAGTTAGAATATTGAGTGTTACTAAAAAAATGGACGGAACTTAATCCATTTTACAATTCGCGTGTAGCAACATGAGCTAGTGGAAATTAGACATTTGTTTTGGGATTTGCAGGATGACATGGACCATTATGTGATAAACTACATTCAAGAGAGCCACACGGACATAAGTGGGTCCTATGTGGTTTATGCACCAATGGACAAATCAGCGGTAACAGAACTACTGGAGGGAGGAGACCCAGAAAAAGTGGGCATATTACCTTCAGGTTTTGCCATTCTCCCAGATGAGATCCCAATGGACGATGGACCCCACAGTGGGGTCGCAAGTATTCTCACTGTTTCATTTCACATATTTGACTATAACTCTATTAAATCAGCTGTGCCTTCTCAATCATTGCATGTCATTAAGAAGGTTCTCAGACGAACTTTTGAGGCTGTTAAAGCTTTTGTGTTCAGTGCCAGAATATGACTCTATATCTAGTACTACAGTGTGTCGTGAGCTGTATGAATAAGACATCACTATCTGCCCCTTTTACGTTTTTCTATGTCTGTTTGTTTGGTTAGATTGTAAGGATCTTTTTGGTTTTCTCAGAGGTACAAGTTCTAGTGAACGGGGGCATGCCGAAAGATGGGTGTACAACCGATGCTGAAATTGAAGTATTGCTGTTAATAACCCTGGCATGCTGTATTATCTCTATGATTGTTATTTGTCCTTGTTATACTACCCCTGATTTTTAATAATTCCATTTAAGATATTATCAAATACAAAATGCAAACACCCTTCTTAACGAGGACTCAACGTTATAAGAGACTATTTTTTTTGGCTAAATCCAAACTCTGTTGGTTAAAAATCAGTTTTCTAAGCAAAAGAAATATCCCATATCTTTGGCATGTAGATGATGAGGTCAGTAATAGAATTGTTTTTGGTCGTACAGCAACCCAAGATTGCATCTTTGCACTGTGGGAGCTTAAGAGGGGATCAGATAGATGATACATGCCTACTAAGTTACACTTCAACTGAATTAAAATGAACGAGATTGCAAGAATGCGGGTAGAAATATCTTAGAGAATTCGAACTTCAATTTTCAACTGGATTGCTCCAGTTTTTACAGTGTGTGAAAAGACGCGAGGAAATATGCTTTGGTAAAGGAATTTAACCTATATATATATATATATGTATTGTTATATGACCAACCTCAAGGGCAATGTTACAATAGGAATTGATACAGTATTCAGTATAGAAAGATAAGCCTTGAACCATAGCACAAAAAAGTATCGGTGATGGCATACTCAAAAATTGCTCAATATGAAACTAGAACGACCATAATCGAGAAACAATCGGCAAATTGGCTTTCGTCATCTTCTGGGAATGATATCCGAGAACGAGAAGTCATGAAAAGGTGCCCCTGTAACAAGAGAGAACCCAAATGTAAATATCAGATTTTTCTCTAGCAACTCAGATTTGATTTAAACTCTCAAGTACCATGAGACATGGACAAGCAAAAATCACAAGTTATGTTCGTGTGCATGCGCGTGTTACCAGCGAGAGAAAGTAAAAGCAATGGTTACTCTACTACTTTATACAAACTCAATTTTTCAAGTGCTCATGAGTAGATAAACTGCACAACCCACCACCACTGAGAAACAGAGACAAGGAAAAAGAGTAAAAAGATATTTCACCTTCTAGCTCCCCAAGGAGGTAAAAAGGAACATGAGCAATCATCTTTCTTGACCCTTCATTCCAGTTTATGCTGCCCGCTTTCCGCATAGTACCTTGTGAGGGTCGTGAAGGACCTAGGATGGATGAACAAATGGCAGGATCATTCATTAAACCGAGGAAATCACGGGCACGTGTCCATACTCTAGCATCTGAAATTTGAGATCGAGCCACCTGAAGCGCAAACCCTTATTAAATAGAGAAATAATCAAATCAACAGCCTTGTAGCTTGCTTGCAGAAACCAGAAAAAAATACCTTGCCCAATGATACACGTGCCCTAGGGAGTAATTCTCGGTGGTGTGTAGCAAGTTTTGCAATGGCTGTTACAACAAAACATAGAAGCCTGGACTGTGATGACTTGCTGTAGGCCTCCTCATTGGAGCTACGGGATACATCTTGCCTCAGACCCAAACGACTTCCAAGCAAACAAAAGTGGATGAATCCATCAAACAATGACTCAAAATCAATATCTCCAAACAGAAGGAGGCAATGGGTTTTGCATGTCATACCTAGTTGAAAGGTTTTCATACAGAAGTAGTTCTAGACTCTCAAAAAGCTCCCGTGCTTCATCTTTGTGAGATCCACCACCTCCACCGTGCTCTCCAATGGCCCAACATAATTGCAATGCCAATTCTGTCTAGACAGCAATCAATGTATTTTCAAAATTTATTGCATCACTCACTCCCTCTCTCAACAATAGTGAAATGGTTGCTAACCTTCTCTGGGCTGTCATAAGCTTCTCCCACTCTGTCTATTATAGGTTTCTGCAAAGAATTCATATAAGCAATAAGCCATGACCTTCTAAAAATAATCACGAGCAATTATTGACTCTATAAACCTCTCACCAAAATTATATCCTCACATGAGCTTCCAATTCATAATAGATTTTATTTGTCATCTTAAAAATATATAAAGTCCATTGGACTGAGCTCAAAATTAACTATAGTTGTTTTAAAATCTTAAATGAAAGCTGTATATTGTCAAAACAATACCTTCAAAAGAGCTATAAAATTTGGTGAGTGCTGAAAAGCAGAGAGCATGAACTCCAATATCCTCTTGTGAACCTAAAACCATTTGTAAACATTGACAATGTGATAATTTTGTGAAAATAGTAGTAGTCACAGACTAATTTGCCAAACAAAAGTCAGAATGACAATCTTATAACTACATCTGCGGCTCAGTTCTTTTGACTGGAAACACCAACTGATATTCATGATTGCATATTCATCAAGGAAGGGGAGTATTAAAATGCTGCTTTGAATGTTTAAAATAAATAAAAATCAGCTCTTACTGAATAAATTAATAAATTTGTAAAGGTTGATGGGTGTTCAAGTGGGATAGGAAACCCTCCCCCAAAAGCAAGGTATTCAATTGGAAGAAACACCCTACTTAAATACTCCATTAAGTATTCCATGTTACTCAATGTAGAATTTAGGCATCCCATGCTACCCAAGTCTCCATTAGTTTCATTTTCCTAAATTAATAAAAAATTGTATTCTGGTTGCTGACAATAATGGGATTAGACTTCACGTAAGATCCACTGTTTCATATTAAACAAGATCTTAAAAGATGATGCAGTGGAATAATGATCTTCCATGCGGAAAAGATAATCCATGATGCCACCTGATCAACACAAGCAATATCTTGGCAGTATCAAGAGTAATACAAATACCAATTATTTCCTCTTATTTCTAGCTTTTGCAAAACTTCCTTGGTATGATACGTAAATTTTAGTGCAGCCAATCTTAATGAGTTTGCTCAATGTAGGAAACTTTTTTAAGAAAAAAACATAGAAGGCCAAAAATTCAAGCAACATTATCTCCTCAGGCTAAACTACTTAAACTGATGTTGTTTCAGAATGGAGATTGCCACTGATCAATCCCGAAGGACAGCAACGTTCTCAAAAGCTATTTGAAGCTGTCATGCTAAGAGAAGATAATTTCAATAGTTCCACTGTATACATACCTCATGAGAAAAGTTTTTGTCAGGAAATATTGTAGAATATCTTGACATAAGCAGAGGAATTAATGCGCACATCAAAGCTGAAAATGAATTTGAATAACCGGTAAGCTCATGAATACATCTTAAATAAATGGACAGATACTATGGACAATGAACTCTCACCATATATAATGAAAAATTGAAAATAACGCAATGTCACATAGAGACTCTTGTGGAAGAACTTACATTCATTGACTTCATGCAATGCTATGGAGAAGTATACATCAAGAAGGGGAGGTGCCAGGATGAGTGCTTGTTTCAGCCTATCAGAATAAGGACTATTCACCGCAGCCTGTAATAATGCAGCCATCCCTGGAGATGTCCAGTGGCGTTCCTGGCATATGATATAACTTACATCAAGGCCAAGGAAACTTAGTTGACATTCATAAAAAGTATCTAATGAATTATGAGTTCAATACATCCTGTTTAGTAGAAAGACGGATATTCCTTGCTCATTATCAGCGAATCACTTTGGAACCATATCACATCCGGATCTGATTTGATTAGCGCAACACATTATTTTATTTTGAAATGTCAGGGGGCTAATCCGCCTAAAAAGCCTCAAAGTTTAGTTAATCACCATCCTGCTGCCACCAATTATAATAAGGATGCCAAACTGTAAAACATCAAAGAGCTAATTGGCATACTTCTTGAGGAAAACCCGAAGATAATCAGCTTTGGCTTTACCAGTCAGTCAGTAAACGTTTCTTTTTAATGAAAGACTTGACTATGTCATTAACAATAATCATTAGATTTAACCATTAGAGAACCGAAACTTATGTAGAAAGAATGCCACTACACTAAAACCAAGAATTTATTATCCAAAATTAAATATTAACCTCACCACTTCAATGGTCAAGTTGGCAATTATCTGATTATAACTATGATATGTTATTGTAATAAATAAATAACAGAATTATGTGAGTTAGTTAGAATAATAGTTAGTTACTAGCAGTTAGACTTCGCCTATATAAACAGGCTTATCTCTCATTTGTAAGTGTGCTGTATTGTGATCAACCTAATGGAACTCTCTTTCTCTTACGTCTATTGCCTTCTACTATTTCCCCCTTCTCTCTAATTTCCCCTATTCTCTCTGTTTCTCTTCGCTTTCTCTCTCTTTCTTTTCCAATAACATAACAAACTATGACTGAAGGTATAACATTAAACATAAAAAGAGAATCTATTCAAAATAATGATTAGGATGGGAAGCTTTATGCATTACTTCTCGTAAGGCATTGCCAAACATTGATTCTAGGATTGTCGAGTGCAGAAAACATTTTTTGAGTAGCAACAAACTTTACTAATATTCAGTCCAAGTGATAAAAATCACTTATAAGCATAATGCCTGAGAATAAATGGCAAAACAACTAGAACTAAACCCAACAGACAACAAGAACCAAAATAGACTGGACTAAACAATGGCAACCAGTAAGATGAAAGGTGACCATACAGCGAGCCCATCATTTTCATCCTTTAAAAGCTCCAGGAACAAAGGGCTATCTACATCAATAGCACTGTTATCCTCGGATTCAGAATCTCCTGCACCATCTTCTATAGTCGAACCAGTATAGGCTTCATCCATAAGGGCAAGTAGCATCTGCATCGTAAGTGACCAAATTTTCTTATATTGTATAGACTTGTATGATTGACACTAAATTTTCTCCAACTTATGGCGTCAAAGATAACCTTAGGAGCTGTATTTTGCTGAATTGAAGCTATACCAGTTCCAATTAGGGGTCCAGAGCTTTTT